GTGGATGGGTGGGTGAGTGAGTGAGTGAGTGGCTGAGTGAGTGAGTGAGTGGGTGGGTGAGTGAGTGAGTGGGTAGGTGGGTGAGTGGGTGGGTGGGTAGGTGGGTGAGTGGGTGGGTGGGTGAGTGAGTGGGTGAGTGAGATGAGTGGGTGAGTGGGTGGGTGGGTGGGTGAGTGAATGAGTGGGTGGGTGGGTGAGTGAATGAGTGGGTGGGTGGGTGGGTGAGTGAATGAGTGGGTGGGTGAGTGAATGAGTGGGTGGGTGGGTGAGTGAATGAGTGAGTGAGTGGGTGGGTGAGTGAGTGACTGGGTGATAGCGTGAGTGAGAGGGTGAGTGAGCGGGTGAGTGAGTGAGTGAGTGGGTGGGTGAGTGAGTGACTGGGTGAGTGGGTGAGTGAGTGGGTGGGTGAGTGGATGGGTGGGTGAGTGAGTAAGTGAGTGGGTGAGAGAGTGGGTGAGTGGGTGAGTGAGTGAGTGGGTGAGTGAGTGGGTGAGTGAGTGAGTGAGTGGGTGAGTGAGTGGATGGGTGGGTGAGTGAGTGAGTGGCTGAGTGAGTGAGTGAGTGGGTGAGTGAGTGAGTGAGTGGGTGGGTAGGTGGGTGAGTGGGTGGGTGGGTAGGTGGGTGAGTGGGTGGGTGGGTGGGTGAGTGGGTGGGTGGGTGGGTGAGTGAGTGGGTGAGTGAGCGACTGAGTGGATGAGAGAGTGGGTGAGTGAGTTGGTGAATGAGTGACTGACTGGGTGAGTGAGTGGGTGAGTGAATGAGTGACTGGGTGAGTGAGTGGGTGAGTGAGCGAGTGAGTGACTGGGTGATTCAGAGGGTGGGTGGGTGAGTGAGTGAGTGGGTGAGTGAGTGGGTGGGTGGGTGAGTGAGCGAGTGAGTGAATGGGTGGGTGGGTGAGTGAGCGAGTGAGTGAATGACTGGGTGAGTGAGAGGATGAGTGAGAGCGTGAGTGAGAGCGTGAGTGAGAGGGTGAGTGAGCGGGTGAGTGAGTGAATGACTGGGTGAGTGAGAGGGTGAGTGAGTGAGTGGGTGAGTGAGAGGGTGGGTGAGTGGGTGAGTGAGTGATTGGGTGACTGGGTGAGTGGGTGGGTGGGTGAGTGGGTGAGTGAGTGGGTGAGTGAGATGAGTGGGTGAGTGGATGGGTGGGTGGGTGAGTGAATGAGTGGGTGAGTGGATGGGTGGGTGAGTGAATGAGTGGGTGAGTGGGTGGGTGGGTGAGTGGGTGGGTGAGTGAGTGAGTGGGTGTGTGGGTGGGTGAGTGAGAGGGTGAGTGAGAGCGTGAGTGAGAGGGTGAGTAAGCGGGTGAGTGAGTGAATGACTGGGTGAGTGTGAGTGAGTGGGTGGGTGATAAGAGTGGCTGAGCGAGTGAGTATACAGACACATGTAGCCCCAGTAAGTCCCCCAGTGAGTACCCCCAGTTAGTCCCCAGTGAGTCCCCCAGTGAGTACCCCAGTGATTACCCCCAGTGAGTCCCCCAGTGAGTCCCCCAGTGAGTACCCCAATGAGTCCCCCAGTGAGTACCCCCAGTGAGTACCCCCAGTGAGTACCCCCAGTGAGTCCCCCAGTGACGACCCCAGTAAGTCCCCCCAGTGAGTCTCCCAGTGAGTCCCCCAGTGAGTCTCCCAGTGAGTACCCCCAGTGAGTACCCCCAGTGAGTACCCCCAGTGAGTCCCCCAGTGAGTACCCCCAATGAGTCCCCCAGTGAGTAACCCAGTGAGTACCCCCAATGAGTCTCCCAGTGAGTCTCCCAATGAGTCCCCCAGTGAGTACCCCAGTGAGTCCCCCAGTGAGTCTCCCAGTGAGTACCCCAGTGAGTACCCCCAGTGAGTACCCCCAGTGAGTACCCCAGTGAGTACCCCCAATGAGTCCCCCAGTGAGTCCCCCAGTGAGTCTCCCAGTGAGTACCCCAGTGAGTACCCCAGTGAGTCCCCCAGTGAGTCTCCCAGTGAGTACCCCAGTGAGTCCCCCCAGTGAGTCCCCCAGTGAGTACCCCCAGTGAGTCTCCCAGTGAGTACCCCCAGTGAGTCCCCCAGTGAGTACCCCAGTGACGACCCCAGTGAGTCCCCCAGTGAGTCCCCCAGTGAGTCTCCCAGTGAGTACCCCAGTGAGTACCCCCAGTGACGACCCCAGTGAGTACCTCAGTGAGTCTCCCAGTGAGTACCCCCAGTGAGTCCCCCAGTGAGTACCCCAGTGACGACCCCAGTGAGTCCCCCAGTGAGTCCCCCAGTGAGTACCCCCAGTGAGTCTCCCAGTGAGTACCCCCAGTGAGTACCCCAGTGAGTCTCCCAGTGAGCACCCTCAGTGAGTACCCCAGTGAGTCACCCAGTGAGTACCCCAGTGAGTACCCCCAGTGAGTACCCCAGTGAGTAAACCCAGTGAGTACCCCCAGTGAGTACCCCAGTGAGTCCCCTCCAGTGAGTACCCCAGTGAGTACCCCCAGTGAGTCCCCCAGTGAGTACCCCCAGTGAGTACCCCCAGTGAGTCTGCCAGTGAGTACCCCAGTGAGTCCCCCAGTGAGTCTCCCAGTGAGTACCCCCAGTGAGTCTCCCAGTGAGTACCCCCAGTGAGTCTCCCAGTGAGTACCCCAGTGAGTCTCCCAGTGAGTACCCCAGTGAGTACCCCAGTGAGTCCCCCAGTGAGTACCCCAGTGAGTCCCCCAGTGAGTACCCCAGTGAGTCCCCCAGTGAGTACCCCCAGTGACGACCCCAGTGAGTCCCCCCAGTGAGTCTCCCAGTGAGTACCCCCAGTGAGTACCCCAGTGAGTACCCCCAGTGACGACCCCAGTGAGTACCCCCAGTGAGTCCAGTCTTCAGGTCTTCGGATGTCTTCAGGCTTGAGTGGGTGAACACTGCCCGGCCCGTCCAGAGGGCCGGCCTTTTATCCCCAGGTCGGGGTCATCCCTCCCATCCTGACCCCTCCCGCTCCCAGAACCTTCTGGAAGTTATTATCTTAAGGGGCTTTAGGGACGGGTGGGGGGTCAGGGGTGTTAGTCTCCGGTCACGGGGTGGGGGGCGGGGGTTTAACCTTTGGTCGACCCCTACGTACCTCCTTCTCTCTCTCTCGGCTGCCCCCTGTTGACCCGTGAACACAGTCACCAGAGTGTACTGCACCTGGTCACACTGGGACATAGCCTGCAGCAGTAGCAGCAGCAGTCAGATCATCAGCAGCAGCAGTAGCAGCAGCAAGATCATCATCATCAGCAGTAGTAGCAGCATTATGATCATCGTCATCATCATCAGCAATAAGATCGTCATCTTCATCAGCAGTAGTAGTTACATCAGCAGCAGCAGTAGGAACAGGAGTAGCACCAGCAGCAGTAAGGTCATCATCATCATCAGCAGCAGTAGTAGTATCAGCAGCAGTAACATCATCATCAGCAGCAGCAGTAGTAGTATCAGCAGCAGTAAGCTCATCATCATCAGTAAGCTCAGCATCAGCAGTAATAGTAGTATCAGCAACATCATAAGCATCATCATCAGCAGTACCATCAACAACAGCATGATCATCAGCAGCAGCAGTATCAGTAACATCATGACCATCGTCACCAGCAGTAGTAGTAGCATCAGCAACATCTGAACGAAACAAACCATGCAAACTAAACTATTTTAATTGACCAGGTGAGGCCCCACTGAGCTACTGCTGTGTAGATCTCCTATCAGACAGGCGACGTGGCCATCACAATGATAGCAGCTCCACCACGTGGCTGATGTCATCATCATCACCACGTGGACATTCACAGCAGCAGCCAAATCCTCTGAACGCATAGAGACTCATAGAGACCCACAGAGACCCATAGAGCAGCAGCCAAATCCTCTGAACGCATAGAGACTTATAGAGACCCACAGAGACCCATAGAGCAGCAGCCAAATCCTCTGAACGCATAGAGACTCATAGAGACCCACAGAGACCCATAGAGCAGCAGCCAAATCCTCTGAACGCATAGAGACTCATAGAGACCCACAGAGACCCATAGAGCAGCAGCCAAATCCTCTGAACGCATAGAGACTCAAAGAGACCCACAGATACCCATAGAGCAGCAGCCAAATCCTCTGAACGCATAGAGACTCAAAGAGACCCACAGATACCCATAGAGCAGCAGCCAAATCCTCTGAACGCATAGAGACTCATAGAGACCCACAGAGACCCATAGAGCAGCAGCCAAATCCTCTGAACGCATAAAGACTCAAAGAGACCCACAGATACCCATAGAGCAGCAGCCAAATCCTCTGAACGCATAGAGACTCATAGAGACCCACAGAGACCCATAGAGTAGCAGCCAAATCCTCTGAACACGTGGTGGTGGTCACGTTGATTCTAAATGTGGAGGGGAAAACCGGAGGACCCGGAGACATCCACACGGTGACCACCATGGGGAGAGACAGAGAGAGACAGAGACAGACTGACAGAGAGACAGAGAGAGACAGAGAGAGACAGAGACAGACAGACAGAGACACAGACAGAGACACAGACAGAGACAGAGAGAGAAACGTCGTACGCTATTATGTAATTTTATTATTTCTTATTTCTACGTGACTTTACCAAAAAACCAAAGAGTAAGTAGAACGTGTTGTCTATATTTATTTAAAGTTGCGTATTTTGATGTGACGTCAATTTTCTCAAACCCCCCCTCGTCACAAATGTCAGACCCCTCCCCCCCCCTGGGAGCGTGACGTCATTTATGGATGGCCCCTTACGTTAGAAAACATTTTCATACGTCATCACGTATCGCCGTAATACGTCATCGCGCAGTATTACGTCATCGCAGATCGCGCGCGTCATCGCGCAGTAACGCGCGACGTCACGTCGCGTTGCGTCTGGCTGATTGCACCCGTCATCTCGGCGACGTCGAAGCGTAACGCCGGTGACGTCATTACGTTTGTGGCGAAAACTCCGCGGAGATTCCCCCACCGCCGTTACGAGTCGACGTCACGGCGTTTTTTTTTTGCGGCGTCATGACGAACGTTCGGTATGACGTCAATACGCTTGTCGGCGGGACCTCTGCAGAGGTTTTCCCCCCGCCCCCACCGCGGTTACGCGTTGACGTCACGACGTTTTATTTTTTTACGGCGGATGACGTCAGCGCGTCGCAGCGGCGTAACCGCCAGGATTTGAAAAAAGCCGGAACGACTTCGCCTCTCTGCCTCGCCGCGTAAGTCTGAACTCGGCGACCACTTGTTCATGTATAGTCGATTCCCTTGTTGTTGTTATGTTATGACTATGAACGTTGTAATTATTGCAGTTATGTAAACACGATTTTGAGTTGTCGAGAGCCACCGAGTACGCGATGTAGCTACAGGGCGCAATGGCCGTGAATAAGGGCAGTCGCCCGAAACGTTGCCGATTTTTTTTTATACACGGTATATTTTAAGGCCATCTTGTTGCCGTTTGCTGACGAGTGTGTTGATTTGTATTCTTGTGTTGTGCATCACTGCCAACGCAGCAGCATCCGCCAAATAACGTGTGATCTTGCTTAACACGTCCGCTTTCGCGACCACTTATCCACAATAGCCCAAAACATCTTCATTATGGATAATGTGTGATCTGTTACGAGTCCCTGCCTTTAACATACCCGTCAATCCATACGGTTTACCCCGTATTCCTGTGATGGGACTTTGTAGGATGAACGTTGGGATTTATAAGGTCACGGGGTGACCTCTGAATTGGTCTGTAATAAGGTAGGGCACTGACAAGGGGTTGACAGGTTTGTGTATAGTAGTGTATAGTAGTGTCAACCCATACGGTTTACCCCGTATTCTTGTACAGGGAAATTGAGTTTTTAGGTCTATACAGCGTACAGCCGTTTCAACACGGATAAAGATGTTTTTGTTTGTATGTTTGTGTTTCTCCCATGTGATGGGACTTTGTAGGTTGAACGTTGAGATTTATAAGGTCACGGGGTGACCTCTGAATTGGTCTGTAATAAGGTAGGGCACTGACAAGGGGTTGACAGGTGAACTTTAACCAAACGCACCCGACCTCGCCAAGCTAAGCAGTTGTTGAGCCCGGACAATGCTTGGATGGGCCACCACCAAGCACAGCGGGTCAATTGGTTTATAGCCTGCGTGTTGGGGCAGCAGAGGGCAACATACAAAATATTGTACCAGCACTGACCAGCGTGGTGAAGTATGGCCCGATAATAACCCCTTTCGCGACCGACACGATATTTGGGGTGGCTCTCATCCTAGCAGTGGATTGACTAACGGGCCGTTACATGTATATTGAGTGATTTAAAGAATGTAAATATTGGACCGTGCTATATTATTGATTCAACAACTACTGTACAGTATAATTGCTACCACTTGCGTGAAATCTTAACGTGTTTTTTTCTCTTTACAGGGGACACGAATGTGTCGATTTCACACAACGGTGGCATCTTCAATAATACGAGTGGTTTTAGCTTAATATAAATTCAATTCGTGGTGTTAAAAAACAACATACTGTTGAATACATATTTAATTCATTCTCCAGCTTGGTGACAGGACAGTAGTCATTTCAGGCATAAACCGCCACTTGGGAGTGCAATGTCCTCCGGGAAGACAACAGAGAAAGGAGCCGGTGTGACCAAGAGAGTTGCCCCTCTGGCTCCTGGTGGGAATGCCAAGGGCATTCTCCCAGGGCAGGGCCGACCGGTGCCTGCCAATAGATCCCCCTCAAAGCCACATCCCAGCTGCTCCTCCTCCTCCATGGACCTACTGCAGAAGGAGAACGCTGCCATGAAGAAGACCATCGTGGATATGAATAAGGCCAAAGGGAAGATGATGGACCCAGAGAGAAATGCCTTGCTGCAGGTATTTCACGTTGGGGTGAACATCTGGAATTCTTTATAGAAACAATTTTGTCACCAATGCCATGGACCATGTGGTAGTTTAGAAGGATGAGACTCCCGATGACAACATATTGATACACCCAAGTGTGTGTGTAGCTCAAACACCTTTTCTTAAACAGCTGTCTAATTGAATAGTGCATCTGGAGTAATTGCGCAATGAACCTGGTGCCCTTAGATTGATTAATGGCCATGGATAAGTAATATTGATGTTTAAAAATTTTGCATCAGTGGCTTATGGTAATACCTGAAAGAGTTGTCACATTTCACCAAACCCCTCTTCCCCCCCGCTCCCATTACCGACCATTGAGAGTTGATTGTAGTCGTTTGTTGGCTGTGTGTTGTCCAGAAAATCCTCTCGCTGGAGACGCTGAAAGTGAAGCAGGAGCAGCAGCTGTCTGAAAAGGCCGCGGAAACGACGCGGCTGCGCGGCGAGGTGGCATTGTTGCACGATGCCAAGTTGAAGGACCAGCGCGGAGAGGCAAACCACCAGGAAGCCGTCATCAGGTCCCAGCGCCAGCAGGTGGAGGTGCTAGGGCAGCAGCTGGAGACGATGACGCGGCGTTGCCAGGTGCTGGAGAGTGCCTCCAGAGCCACGGTCGGCATGACGGTGCGTGCACGCGGCATGGGTGGCGCACGGGCGAGTTATTTGACTTTGGTTGATAGGAATGTGAAACTGTTTATTAGTTCAAATCTAGTATACGCCGCTCATGTTGTATGTGCGAGAGCTCAATATGTGGGTATTGTTCAAATTATATATAAATGATATTTTTTATCTCTAATGTTAAAAAAATCATGCACCCAAGAGGTAGCGATGCAATTGGCTATTGTGCGGATGAAAGATGGATTGTTGCATTGCAAGACTGTGTCAGGAGACTTGAGGATCATCCAGCAGGAGCTAGGACATGGCCTGATATGCTAATGTTACTTTTAGGTTTATGGAGCAAACAAAACTGTACAACCGTGAAGGTAAAATACAATTTTGAGTTTTGAATCAAATTACGACTCCCAAATTATGCCAATTCACCAAGTGACAATTTTATGCAATTTGGATTGTGTAAAGCAGGGGTGGGGAACCTTTTTTCTGCCAAGGGCCATTTGGATATTTATAACATCATTCGCGGGCCATACAAAATTATCAACTTAAAACTTAGCCTGTTATATTTGGTTAAACATTTAATTAACTCGCCCCTGATGTGATGACTGGAACTGCTTCTCTTTGGTGAGGCGGTTGAAGTTAGCCGGTATTGATGATGTTGCTACTCGCAACTGCTTTTCCAGGTTGGCTCCTAGATTTATTTAATTTCGAGTCCCCCCTGCGGTTGCCTTGGCAGGGCCAGACCAAATGATTTCGCGGGCCTTTTATGGCCCGCGGGCCGCACGTTCCCCACCCCTGGTGTAAAGCATCCAAATGTGACTGCATCTCAAGACAGTGTACAACAAAGAGAAGCTTAAGCATTGAGACCATTTGGGAAAGTGAGTGAAGGGGCAAAGAGGGGAAAGGGGACGTTTTTATGGTAAGGCCAGAATGTAGAGAAATCAGGAGATCGAATCAATCATAGGTAGAAGGTTTTAAGTCTGGAACTAAAAAATGCACCTCCAAAGAATCGGAGGTGCACGCATCAAGAGGGATGAAATTGCCGCCCAAAGGTGTAGTAGCAGGGAAGGAGTAACCTCTAATTGGAGTAGAGGTTGATGGGAGGTTTCGACAGAAGACAACATTTCTTGTCTAGAACATCACCGAAGTGGCATTACACTTTCAGACACAGCCATTATCTTTTTACGTGTATACATTGTTTTGCTTATGTTGACCGCGGAACGTAAAAACTTGTGGTTATCCCAACAGGCAGCTGCAATGGAAGGAGGGATCATAAAGCCGAATGCACCTGTCGACATGGAAGGAGTGGAAGAACGTCTGAATGACGTGCGTGTAAAACATTGTGCGCAATTTCAGTGGCAGGCACTGGGCGGCGCCAGATTAACACCGCAGCGGTCACAAAGCAGTGAACGCTTCTTCTCTCCTCTGCATCATCATCATTAGACCTCCTTTGCCAGTACCAAAATATAATAATAGGGTTTTTCTCCTTTTTTCTGGTAACAAAACTGAAACCTTTTACAAGGAATCATGTGTGCATTAACCACGATACTTGTGGTCAAAATGCAAACAAAAAATACACTAAGGACAATGCATATATTATTAGTGTGTTTTTTGTTTGCATTTTGACCACAAGTATTGTGGTTAATGCACACATGATTCCTTGTAAAAGGTTTCAGTTTTGTTGCCAGAAAAAAGGGGAAAAACCTTATTATTACACTCCTCTGCATCTTTGTTGCTGCCACTTTACGGGTACGATTTTCTGTGCTGCAGGCACTGGAAAAGAACCGGCGGTGGTTGGTGTACGACAATCAGAGGGAAGCCTACGTCTGCGGTCTTCACATGCGAATTTCTCAGTTGGAACAGCAACTCGCCGAGATGCTCAATAATGCGCAAGGTAAAGGCAGAGTCGGCCATCATTCAGACAATTGTAGTGTTTGACTTTACGCGGACAACTTCTGTCTTTCTTCGAACACCGCTTTATTTACAACGTTCAACATGTCCTCCACACTCCACAGTATCCTGGTCACCACGGCTCGCTCACCGTGCTCCGCTCGTCTCGCTCACCACCTTTGTCTTCCCACTATCACGTCACTTGCTTCGCACTCAGCGACTCCCCGTCCAGCAACTCCGCACACAGCGTCTTCAGCTCCGTTACCGCTACGCTCTCTCCACTGCTGGCTATTCTCCTGAGCTCCTCCACACACAGCGTCTTCGCACACAGCGACTTCGCACACTCCGCACACAGCATCTTCAACTTCGCTATCGCTACGCTCACTCCACTGCTAACTACTTCGTCTTGCTTCACACTCTGTTCCAACTCCGTTTCCCACTCTGTTTCCAAGCTCTGTTTCCAAACTCTGCTTCCAAACTCTGCTTCCAAACTCCACGTCTTCCTCGCCCAGCTCCCAACTCCAACTCTCCGCTCTCTGTGTCTCCCCCAATTTATCCCCATTCTCATTATCGCTAATTAATTGGCCCGCGTGCCTCCGCACGCTTCGCGTCCTCAAACACCTGCCTTTCTCCAGACATCCCGACGCCTCCTCGCTCTTTACAACAGCCACAGCCAATCACCGCCGTTGCTGATCCTCTGGCTTAATTGGCCCGACCGTTACCTCACCAGCCCAGCCTTTGCACCTGGCTGTCCTAACACGACCCACACTGTTTTCGCCTTCTCCACAGGCTGACCCCAGATAACCCACACTGTCCGTGTGATCATGCAATCGCGCAGTTTCCACAACACACCTTCATACTCCACTACACAAGGCATTTATGGAACTTGGCATAATTTATAAAGTATAAGACATGGCGATACGAAGTTGTACAAATAAGTTATTTGAATCAAATTTAACAGGTTTTTATTAGAAGTCCATTAAATTACTATGCTGCCATGGCAAGATGTTAACTACCTAACCTGGTATGCAGGAGGTCGTGGGTTCGATCCTGATCCTGACGCCTATATATTTGAGGTTTGCAAGTTCTCCCCGTGGTCGTGTGGATTTTTCTCCGGGTCCTCCGGTTTTTCCCTCCACATTTACAAACATGCGTTTCGAGTATTTGGCTGCTGTAAATTTCTACATGATAAGCCACTGTGTTGCGCTATCATTTGTGGCCAGGTCGTGTCTGAAAAAGAGCCACATAGCTCAGTGGGCCCTACCTGGTAAAATAGAACTATATTTTTTCGACTTATATTTGTCCATCGCTGCGCTCACAAGTGGAGCCACCCCGGCTCGCCTCACGCGCACACACGCAGGCACTGTGACGGAGGAGAAGCAGGGGCACTTTGACCGGCTGTTGCTGCGGGCGCGCACCGACCTGGACGGGCAGCGAGCCGCTCGCGCGCGCGCCGAGTCGGAGCTGGAGCTTGCGCGGCAACAGCAGGAGACGGAGCGCGAGGCTGCGACGGAGGCTCGCGCCGAGCTGGAACGGGAGCGCCAACAGTGGGAGGCGGAGCGCAGCGCGCACGACGGCGAGCGCGAGCAGACGGCGCTCCTGAAGCAGAGGCTGGAGGGGGAGAAGGGCAACGTGGGGCGGCTCCAGGCGGAGCTGTCGCTCGTGCGGCAGCGCTTCGAGGCGGAGCAGAGCGCGTGCGGGCGGCTCCGGGCGGAGCTGGGACAGTTGCACAAGCGGATAGAGAGCGAGGTCAAACAAGCAGGTGCAGAGGGGGGCTCCGTGTTCAGGCAGTGCTGCCGGCAATGCGTCGCATCAACCTGTTTGTGTCTAACATGCAGTGCACGGACGACTTGATGGACTGACTTACAGAGTCCGATCCTCCCGACGTACAAATCTCACTTGATGTGTGATGTTTCAAGCTTATCCCGTTGTCTGTCATTGCATCATGTCAGCCTTTTTGTGTGATTATATCTCCTGTTGGTTAGGCACATTTATAGTCCTACATGTCTGCACTTATAGTTGGTAAATCTTGTACTTCTGGGGGTCAAATCGGTGTTTTTATTCCATCGAGTCAAACTTGTGTAGCTTAAATATGAAGTGGGTTGTGTATGTCGGTGCATCATATCAGTCTTATATGCAAGTACATCCTATTCACCCTTTGTGAATGTCATCAAGTCAGTTATGTAAACTGTCCAATGATAAAATAACTACCACTTTTTGGGGGAAGGCCAACAGTGGTTGTCCTATAGATAGACTCTCTCCCGCCATGGGAAAGTGGAATTTCAACCGTGGTTCAGGGTTGTCAAAAGGAGAAAAGCACCTCCTTAAGACGCATTTGAGCATGAAATCACTTGGACTTTTGACTTGACTTTATTGTATGGTTCTAGATTTGAAGCTTTCGTGACTGCAAGGATCCATACTCTTTGGTTCTATTCGGTAAAGTCACGTAGGTGTGACTTTACCGAATAGAACCAAAGAGTATTTATTGTATGGTGTATGAATTCATAATTTTCAAGTTTATTCATATCAATCAATACATCTTTGAACCAAGTTAGTGCTCATTGAGACAAACGTCTCTTTTCAAGGAGATCTGCCCTGCAATTATATATTGCGATATGCTTATACGCAATGTTTAATAAGGGACATATCTATTAGCTTTAATCCGTGGCGTCTGTTCACTTGATGAAAAATCAGAACCAGCTTTACCGTTTCTGGCAATAAAACAGATGTTAAGATGTGTAGTTATTGCAGACTTTATGCCTTTGTAATAAGTGTCTATTCGGTGTTTGAACATCTGAACGCCTCTTGTTTTAGTGTCAGAAAGGGTCGAGCCTTTTCTTATTTTTTCATGATTTTGATACTGCCGTGAAAAAAGTCCCATAGATATGTCTACTCACTTCACGGTTTGCCGAACGTCGTGCGATGATACCGCCGCCTCTGCTGCCCGCTGCCGTCGAAATCGCGCAGAGGTGGCGCTGGAGTGGGAGCGTCGGCGCTTGCTGGAGGTGACGGCGAGTCTGGACGCGGAGAAGAAACGTGTGGCGGAGCTGTCGGCGCGGCTCAAGTCGGAGCAGGAGGCGGCGAGGGGGCGCGAGGAAGAGCGGCGCCGGGCGGAGGCGGTGGCGCGGAAAGGGGACAGCGAACGCAAGCGCGCCGAGGAGGAGCGGCGCGCAGCCGAGGAGGAGCGGCGGAGGATGGCAGAGACGGCGCTCGGGCTGAAGAACGAGCTGGAGCGGTACCGCGCCCTCTACGAGGAGAAGTTTCAGAACGCGGCGGATTACTGCGCTCAGGTAAGACGATCGTTCCACGCGACGGTGCGCATATTAGCGACATGGGGAGGGCATGGTCTAGTAATTAATGGGCATATAACCACACGTTGATTCGTTGATGAAAATACATTTTTATGCACGTGATACATGCATCAAGTAATGAGTGTGAGAACTGATTATTTATGATCGATAATAATCACGTCCACCGCGGAGATGGCGCGATATGCAGGTCAGGTGCTGGTTGGATTGTTGCATCGCAGGACCAACCATGAGATGACTGGCTTCGGGGGATCATAATTATTGTCAACGTCATAAATGTATATTGCTACGTGATCAGATGTTTGCATTGCTTCAGAAGCTCCAAGGGGTGTTATTTAGGCAGCTGCTTTGAAGTATTTAATATGATAGATATTTTAGTTTTTTGTGCCAAAGAAGTTCAGCATATTAGGAAGCCACTGTAGCTGTGCACTTTTAAATCTATATTGAAAACTCATTTCTTTAGAACTGCTTTTTATGTTTAGTTTGTTGTCCTTCCCCCCACACCTCCGATTAGCACGGTTGGCTACGTGCAGTGTAAAACAGTTTCAACATACGTGTGAGAGCCGTGGTGCAGTGGTTAGTGATTTGTACTGTGAACATAGCCAACTGTGTTCAATCCCCGGCCACCAACATGAGTGGCAAGTATGTAATACCTGAACCAGTGCTGGACCAACCTAAATCCTCCCCCCCCCCCTTCATCTAACATGCACTGACCTATGTGATGAAGTAAAGTCAAACAATCGCTATGGGGATGCCTCCATGCAGCAAAATGATGAACATAAATTCAGTGAAGGATGAGTTGCTAACATTTCAATGATCAGGTACAAACTTCATAAAACTTGAGTATTATATACAGTGGTGCATATTTTGGAGATAATACATTTTACACAACGTAATTTGACTGATGGGTAGTTTGCCATTTAACAGCAAGCAAAGGGCTCACACAAACGGCTGTTGTTTCGTATCCAGTTTCTAAATAGGAATGCCTTTCTCCCTAGAGTATCTACAAGGACTGTTTTCAATAACATGTAGTTTGGTTTATTGCACAACCAGCTCCAGCCTCTTCATTCAGAGCAAAGCTATTTCGTGCTGTGATGGGTTAAACAACACCCAACTCCAGTAAAAGAGGCATGTGGGTCAAATGTAAAATTCTGCAATCGTGAGACTTGCTGTGCTATAGGGCTTCTTGCCACATGCATTTTTTTCTCCCTATAATAGTTTACTTCCAAGAAATAAAGTATATAATACACACAAGATGCAACATTATCACGCAAACTTTGCAGCTAATGTTGCTGTGATTTATAATCATTTCCAATAGAAGAGCTGCACATCTAGCATACTGCTGCTAAAAAGCGTTTCCAAAGCTCAAGCAGCAGCGAGGTTTTTTTCCACCGGTTATGGATCAGTTGTTTGACAGGAACAGTCTCATGGGAGAAGTACACAGTTGCATAACTACTGAATGGAATATGATATATACCAAAAAAGAAGTGTTATTTTTGGAAAAGTGAAAAAGTTCTGTTTTTACCTTCCCATATATATAATGAGATTGTGCCGTCGGCAGCATGTCACGAGATTAAGAAGTTGTGCAGTGACAAGGCTGAGCCCGTCAAGTTATTCAACTTTAGAACCTGGTTTCGTCATGAGTGACTGCCCGTATGTAAACCCGAGATCTTATCAGTGCTGGGACCCCTAAGCTACCTGACCAGCTATTGAAAATGTGTTTTTTTAAGAACTTCATCCATATTTATTTCAAATAATTCACCATTCAAAGGGCAGCATACCGTCACTAATATTTATTTCAGCACATGTTTTCAATCTTCACAAGAATGGCACAAGCAGTGTATTGTTGGTGCAATGGACTAATTTGCCCCACAGTATTAGGAAAGAGTAATATTTCACAATGGTATGAAGCCTTATGATATTAATACTAATGTTATTAACGCTCACGTTGGTACACTGATTATAAATTAAAAACTGTCAAATTTCAAATCTTACTGACACAATGTGATGAGATGTGTTGCCTAGTTCAATTTTATGTTTTACATTGCAGAAAGCATTCGCCTTAAATTTTCAGCAAGGATTATGGATGTAATCCTCAGTTAAAATTGATTTGCGGTGGTCTTTGTATAGCCATTGTGTCATGCACCACCACTCCACTCACTTCAATGAATTAATTTAAATTTGCGTATGCTGTATGTGCCTGAATGATAGGTACCGTGTAGCTGCTATAAATGCTTCGTTACTCTACAGGAGAGAGAAAAAAACCTTTGTCAATTTCAACATTGACAACGAGTGAATATGTTCTGTGTAATATTGCCATGTGTGTTTAAACACATCTGTTTTGTCTATAGGTGCAGTTACTTAAGAAAGTGTTAAACCAGAGAGACAAAGAAGATGCAAGGCTTGCCTTGCTGGAGGAAGAGGTATGTATGTTGGTTGAAACATTTTACAGGTACAGTTAATTTCATTTATTTTCTTATTTATCCACCTTTATGTGGACTTTCAAATGAACTTCTTGCAACTCTTCATTACCGATTTAAGTACTTTTTTACTTGTGAAAATGGGAACAATCGTCTGTAATGTGGTTAACATCGCTTTTGCACCTCTGCATTTTGCTGCCAAATTAACTTACCAACCTAATGTGAGTTGTTTGCCAGTCGTAACGTCTCAAACTGCACGTTAGCCTATCTTTTGTTTGCAGAGGTGTAAAGATGAGATTCCAAGCAAACATCAAGCAATAACATTGTTCTGGTGTAACCCACCCCAATGAAATGCAAACAGTCAGTAAGCGTGTAACGCAGTTGAAAAACAAGAGCCCGTTTCCATGAACAAAGTGACTGAGACATGATGTCTGCTGAAACACTCACACATGTCTCAAATGACCACGATGCTGCTGGAAAATTATTAATCTGCAATACAGTATAGGCAAGTCGAAATGCATTGATTCGTCGATGAAAATCGAATCTTACACTCATGATACTGCATTCGATGGATTATTTACGATTCATGCAAATACTAACGCTTCATTTAGGCTAAAATCATAGCTAAGGAAACAGAACTATTGAGATACAAAATTAAAAATAAGTCATTCACGATAAACATTATTCTCAAATAAAATTGCTACCATGATGCATGACAAGTCATTGAATCGCTGGGTAGCGGCATGAGAGTGAATTGTTACACGCGTAGCAATTGCGCGTGACTGCTGTTTCAACGGGGCCTGCACTGGAGGGGTAGTGTAGTGGTTGTTCGCGCACTAAACTATGAATTATATTTCCGGTCATGGCTATAATCACCAATAAGTTCTATTTGAACAAGTCCTGGTTCCCCTCTTCGCCAATTCACACTGATCAGTGTAGTCAAATATTGTCAACCCCCACGGGTGACATGGCATAGGGTTTCCTTCATCCAGCAGTGGATTGGCACGGAAGTGCAACTTATTATTCAAGCAAGGCCCAGGTGATGTGGCGTGGCTTGTGCATTTCTGCAGGTGAGGAGCGGCCAAGGAGACCGGATAAGACTTGAGGGGGGACTCAATAAGGTGCTGAGGGAGCTGCGACGTGCGAGGGACCGCAGCCGTCACCTCGAGGCTGAGGTCTGCATCATCACTTTGAGTAGTCACCTTACCTTGCATACTGTGGGGAGTGTGGCTGCTACCGCGTTCAGTGCTCATTCACTCACACGTCCACCGTGAGTTTGTTAATGCTGGGTTGTCATTCACTACGTTCACGTTGTAGCCCAGTGCACTGGAAATTTATACTTTTCAATCACATTTTTCACTGTGAAGCAAGACAAGCGCATCCCCTGAACGACCGGCACTTAACCTTGCAGATCGCCAGCCTGCCGAAGGGACTGCGGAACCTCTGTCAGGTCGAGCAGCCATGCCACCCTCATTTGGACGACGACGATATACCGCAGCTGCTGACGCGGGAGCCACGTCAGTCTCCAAGAGACCTGCGCGCCGTCCGTCACTCAAACAGCGACTTGCTGGAGGAAAGCCTGCTCGAATGTCCCAACTGCAGCGCCGAGTACCCCGTATCCCGTCACCGGGATCTCCTCAATCATCTGGACATCTGCTGCCAGTAGTGGGAGGACTTGCCTCGACAGGATACGAAAGGGCCTTGTTTGAAAGCCATGGGCGCCAACGCGTCCCACTCCAGGCGTGTGTTTCTCAAATTAATGTCTCGTGAGGTTATGAGCAGTTATGTTTAAGTAATTTATGTGTTGTCGGAAATGCTCTTCTTTTGCTTTGGTTTTTCGTGATGCCTCATTTTTAAGTTCCTTTATTTTATTGCGAGCGCCACAATGTGTTGCCTGCTGAGCTTGTACGCAATACCTTGACCAAGAGAAATAAATAGAAACGCCCTTGCATAATGAAACCAAAAATGAAAGACCAGGGAGCAGAACGTTTGAATGGCATATGGACATTGTACTTACACCACTGGAAAATGTTAAAAGACGTTTTTAATTGAATAGTTTCCCATTAGTAATTGTTGAGTGAACAAACCCTTAATAGTCAAAATGAAAATTCTCAAATGTGACCGTTGGACAATGCCATTTGAGATGGTAGCTAGTGGCATTAACTTTTATTGTTAAAAGTAAACCTTTTTTTTTTTAAGATTATAGGTGTAGAAGCCTGAGCCTTAGAAACCCCAAAATATACCAAGTGAGTTAGTAAGTGGAAGGAGTCGGCTGGTGTTTTTCCACACTGCGTTATAAGCACGTCAACCTAAGTTCGATTCCTGGGCCGCGGCTAACAGCGTGACGTGTATGGCCAAACAAACCCCACAATCGACACTGCCGTGAAGAGGCCTTCAGCAGTGGAACTGCTGAATGACTTGATCAATTATACCTGAATTTGTTCTTCAGTTGAGACAACAAAAGTGGTATTCTTACTATTATGTGGGTCCTGATTGACATCGCACCATCTGGACTCAATATTCACAATACAGCTTGGGAGGTTTTCATATACAATTAATTAGGATAACATCGTATACTGTACATGAGAAATTGGATGGCTGACAGTTTGAAACCCCCTGTTGACGTGTGATTGCAGTTTGTATGGTATCTATTTTCCTTTTGTTCAAATTCCCGCAAGATAGCAAAACGACATTAGATAATACTGCTTAGCTTTTCTTACTCAAAAATTGCAACAACTTCCTCAACTTGCACTCATGACATGACCTGTTTTTATGATATAACCCATATTAAATGTATACACTTTTTTTTTAAAGAATGTTATTTTTATTCAAATGAAGGGAGTTATGTTTTGCCAAAATAAATAAAAAACTGGCTCTGGAATTGTGATTTTTTTAATATACATGAATTTGTAAAGTGCTTCAACCTGTGCATTTTGTTCTCTACATGAGTTACACAATTTAATGCAAGTGTAGTGGGTCCAACTGAGTCGCAAGACGTTTCTTTTAGAGGCAACACCTTTATTTGTAACACCGTAACACAAAGGGGTAACTGCCCCTTTACCAGACTACAGCGAGTTACTGCTACGAAGGATTCGATCCCTCACACGGGTCTCCGACCACGAGGTTGCCTCGTAGGACGGAGAGCTTCAGCTTGAGACGGAGAGCTTCCCACTTGTAGGTGTTGAACTTCCCGCTTGTAGATGTTGAGCTTCCCGCTTGTAGAATGCAGCGACCCCGGTCCCTCTCAGGGACCCACCTTATATCCCTCTCCGGTCGGGGCCGCTCCGCCCTTGGCCTCGCCTGCCTTTCCGAACATTCTCGTTCCCTCTCGAACCTTCTCAAGAGCTCTCTCCGGACACGTGATCACTTATTAGTCCCCCCCACCTGGGGCCCCCTGTGTGGACATTCCTGATCACGTGTCTACGGGGTCAACCAGAGTGCCACGGCCCGGGGCAACCCTGCCCCTGGGCTGACACCCCCTCTTCGGGGGAAGCCTCCACCATACGCTGTGCGTGGTGCCCGCACTATCCCAGCGCTCGCCAAGCCCCTCTAGGGCTGGTACTACACACAGCCACCCACACGGTGCTGTCCACGCTAGGGCTGGTGTTACACACAGCCACCCACACGGTGCTGTCCACGCTAGGGCTGGTGTTACACACAGCCACCCACACGGTGCTGTCCACGCTAGGGCTGGTGTCACACACAGCCGCCCTCACGGTGCTGTCCACGCTAGGGCTGGTGTTACCCACAGCCACCCACACGGTGCTGTCCCCGCTAGGGCTGGTGTTACACACAGCCACCTACACGGTGCTGTCCACGCTAGGGCTGGTGTTACACACAGCCACCCACACGGTGCTGTCCACGCTAGGGCTGGTGTTACACACAGCCACCCACACGGTGCTGTCCACGCTAGGGCTGGTGTTACACACAGCCACCCACACGGTGCTGTCCACGATGCAGGAACATCCAACGGCACGACCCTTACGGGCCGGCACCATACACTGACATCCCCGATGTCACTACACAAGTATAAAAAACTTGAGGCGCTGTATTAAATATGTTTGTATACTCTTTGGTTCTTTCGATAAAGTCACGTAGGTAGAAAAAATATTATCACGACGTTTCGATCGCAACGCAAGCAATCGCCCTCAGGCATATTGCTTGCGTTGCGATCGAAACGTGATCTATTGGTTTTTCTATTTACGTGACTTTACCGAAAGAACCAAAGAGTATGGATTCCTGCAGTCACGAAAGCTTCACATCAAGATTAAATATGTTTGTGTTTAATTATTGTGTGCTTTGGACATTGGCATATTCTGTTAAGTCTACATTTACAGCCCCTTTGTGAATCCACTGCTGGACAAGCGCCTCCGGTGTCGTGTGGATCGTGGACGTTGTTTGATCATACTTTACGATGATCAAGAGTTGGTGAAGGCAGAGAACATAAGAGTACAATACAACAATGCATTTTGCTCGACTGCCGTCTTGATCACCAACAGCACAGCATGCATTGTGCTCACACATGAAAAGTTTAATCCATGATCAACTCTGCTTTAGCTTCTGAGATTTTTTACGAGATGTGGAATTTTCAGGCGATCTGGTCTTTGGCTGTTGACAATAATATGCAACAATTTAAATTGCACAACATATATTTAATTATACATTTGCTTTGTGTTTTTTTTATATAAATGCAGTCTTTGAGCTGGCCACGGCAGTAAAGTAATTTTAGAGCAAGCTTCTACACTGTTGACGGTGCACGAAAGTTTTGATGTAAGTCGTATATATTTTTTTCCCACCTGCACAATTAAGCGATCAATGTGTCACCTCAACATTGCCCCCTTTGAAGTAAACATGCACGCCAGATTATTACTGGGAAACTAAAATATATCAATACTGATTGCAGATACTCTTTGTAGTGGCTTATATTAGTCCCGCAGTAATGGCATACAACGTTATTATTACATGCCTGCATGTTGGTACCTGCATAGGCTGTGCAAACGTCAGCAGTTTTCTTAATCGCGTGGTTGGGCGGTGATTTCAAAGTTTCAGATATTGCGTAAACAAACAGCTTCATACATTTATATGTTTATGTCTATACAATGTAATAAATGTCAGCTCTGATGGATTGTGAATTTTCCACTCCTGCCTCAAGGCTGTGAAGGGGATTTCAGTATCAGCCCATGCTCGTATGAGCAGGAAAACACTGACTTTTTAAAAATGATTGTTTTCTTTCATTAAACCGGTTGAGTGTCCGTGAAGACAGTGGGCCCTAGCCATGTGTTTGATGTTCATCATTCCACCGCGCAAAAATGCTGCACTCATTCCACCAACACTCACTCGCCACTGACATTATTCCTGGCCGGGAATCGAACTCCATGTCGCCGGATTTGCAGTGCCGTTTATCTTTCCACTGCGCCACCGCTCCCCTCCACTCAGACACATACACGCACAGTGGGAGAATGCGACACCCCCATGGTTTCCTCTGGGCTATTGATTCAAGTAAAGGGGTTCGTGCAGATGGCAGGGAAGGTGAGAGGAGGGGAGTGAAAAGTGGGTTGCGATGGGTGGCAATGCATTACCAACGCGGCTGCCTAACGGTCAACACTCAGTGACGAGTGGCATCTGCTGAACCGTTCCTGGCCCTCCTATAGGTCGACCCAGCCTCAAATGAGTACCTGATGTGATGTGCAAACATCAGCACTGGGGAGACAAAGGCGGCCGGATCCGATTCCCTGCCACGACTAACATCAACCCGCACTGAGCAGCGTGGTGACGTATGTACAACTCATACGAGCGACGCAGTGGATTGACGAAGGGCTGTGCGATAATATTTTTTTAAAATGATAAACACGAACAATACGGTGCACATTCGCCCTATTAAACCGCACTTTCCCTCCACTCATTTAAAGAAAACGTTGGGATTGCGTCTTACAATCCGGTGTGTGTGACCGTGCGAGAATATATATGTTTTACTTTTTTTTCTTTTAACCTGGAAAACCTTTTGGGCACATCTTAATTTCCAGAACGCCGTGCGATCCGGAAAAAAATAATATACCGATGAAGATTAATCCAATAGGGTTGGGTGAGGAATGGGTCAAGAGCAATGTTACGTAAACTTCTCTCGCAAATGCTTCTGTGGTCATAGGCGCGCATGCCTGAATTGGAACAGCGCCTTCCCCCAGCCTCAGTGCGCGTGTTGGGGGAAGGGGCAAGGGACGTTTAAAACCAAGACAAAGGTGCCCCCAGTATGGGCCTCAGTTCCGGATTATCCCAGTAGCAAAAGTAGCCACATATGTAGCTACGGGCCCCGCACTTTCAAGGGCCCCGCGCTAAATGCTTTCAAGCTATCAATTCCGGTTCAGTGACTCTGCACTAGCTCTATTACTATAGTACTATACCGCCTTCAACTTTTACGAACGACTGAGTGTTTAAGGTTAACGATTTGTCGGATTATCTGGCTGTATAGCAAATGAAAAAATACAATTACTTTACTATGCAAGTGAAACATTTTTTATTATTATTTAAAGCTTTCGTGACTGCAGGGATTCATATTCTTGGTTCTTTCGGTAAAGTCACGTAGAAGGGAAACATTTACCAGTTGAAACGTCGTGAGAATTTTATTGTTTTATATTTTTTTATTTTATTATTTTCTTGTTTCCCTTCTACGTGACTTTACCGAAAGAACCAAGAATATGAAACATTTATGTTTTTAATATTCATGTGTTTTTTTTGTATATAGGCCCCTTTATAACATGTGCTACAGGCCCCGCACGAGCTTCATCCGGCACTGATGGGCCTCCTGTTCGCGGAGCACACTGGGATTTGGTGTGGCCGGAATTTGTCGCGCCCGGCCGCCTTTGTCTCCCCGGCGCTGATATATTTATACACGCACTGCGCCGGGCACTCGTTTAAGGCCGAGTCGTTCTACGGGAAGGAATAATGTCGACGGTTCAAATGTTCGCCCGCTGATATTCATCGTGAGCGGCTAATCGCTAACCACGACCCTGCCGCTCCCCTGCCACCACACACAAAGGCAAAGACTCCCCCCCCCCCCCCCCCCATAGCCGAAACAGATTATTGAGCCAAGTGCTGTTAGCAAGCACCAATGAAGGCCGGCACGGCACACGAGGGGTTGGCTGGCCCAGCACCACACCCGGCCGCCTTTGTCTCCCCGGTGGCGATATGTACGCACCCACACCAGGTACTCACTCGAGGCTGAGTCGACCTAGGGGAGGCCCCAGGACCGATTCGGATAATCGCCTCTGGTATTGGGCCGCGAGCGGCGAATCAAACCGGGGTCGCAAGGCTCAGAGCGCAGCGCGTTATCCACTCCCCCCCCCCCTAAAGCCCTCCACACAGACACGCACCCCCACACACACACCAGCAGCATCTCAACCGCTCTCACACTCACACACTTGGCCGTGCATGCTTTGTTGTAGCAACGCTCATCACCGTCAATTCATTATTTATCAGACCCGTCACGCCGGGTGACCCAGCCGCGCAACAGCCAGCAGCGCTCAGCCAGCCCAGCTCCGCTCCAGGTGGCCTGGGCTCGCGGCTCTTCGCGGGCGTCATCATTCCAGCGTGCTGCAACTCTAAGCCGCACATCACAATTGCAGGCAGATTCCGTCTGTGTCGCTGTACGTCTGACATCGTGACCAAGACGATCTGACCCGTGCCAAAACACCCGATATACGGGTTTCTGAGTCCCAGAGAGGGAACTCTTGGCGAGATCCTTCCACCCGCAGTGGCATCAACAAGCAATTTGAGGACTGCGCCTTCAACCTCGCATCTTTACCGCGACCCTTCGGACGAAGTGTTCGCGTTGTGGAACCGCCACCACCACCACCAACCACCACCACCACCACCAACCACCACCAGCGCCACCACCAACCACCACCACCACCAACCACCACCACCAGCGCGACCACGATGAGCGTGGTGGCTCGAGCCTCCCACAACGAGCGATCGGCGTTCGTCCAAATGCACAGCAACGACAGCCAGCAGCAGCAGCAGCAGCTCTTCTCCTACTTCACCGAGGTGGGGCAGGCGTCGACCCACAGGCACACGGAACACCTCGTGGCCCAGACCCTGGTGCTGGCTCTCATCTTCCTCACCGCCGTGTCCACCAACGCCCTGCTAGCCGTCGTCCTCCTCAAGAACGCGCGCTCCTTGAGCCCCACGGCGTGCCTGGTGCTTCACCTGACACTCGCCGACCTCCTCTTCGTGTCCGCGGTGCCCACCGTGATGCTGGGCCGCTGGAGGGACTCGTGGAATTTCGGGGTGCCCGTCTGCAAGGGGGTCATGTACACGCTGGGCTTGGGCATCTCGTCCATGCTCTACGTGCTCCCTGCCATCAGCGTGTGCCGGCAGCTGTGCGTGAACCAGGCGCCCGGTCGTGCGCTCGCCGTTCGATTCCCCGGCGGCACCAAGGGGCTCGTCGTGGCCGTGTCGCTGGCCATCGTCGCGCTGTCCGCAGCCGGCACCGTGCCCGTTGCCATGTACTTCCAGGTGGTGACCGTGCAGGTCAAGAACCATGTAGGCGATTCCTTCCACGCGGCCGCATTGCCTCGCGACCCACCTACCTTCTTAGTTCGTGCGGGTGATGCAGATGGAGAGCGTCAGCTGCAATTTCACATTCAGGCGTGCGTGCATGTGCGTCTCCTGTGTGTGTCTCTGTGTGTCTCTCTGTGTGTCTGGGGAGCGGTGGTGTAGCGGTTAGCGCGCTGCGCTATGAACCCGATCACCCGGGTTCGATTCCCGCTCACGGCCAACACCAGTGACGATTATCTGAACCGGTCCTGGGCCTCCCCTAGGTCGACTCAGCCTCAAATGAGTACCTGGTGCGGTGTGTAAACATCGCCACTGGGAAGGCAAAGGCGGCCGGGCGTGGTGCTGGCAACCAACCCCCTCGTGTACCGTTGTGGCCTTCATAGGTGCTCACTAACAGCACTTGCCCCTACAGTCTGTTACAGGCTATACGGGGAATCTTTGTCTTTGAGACCATGATAGGCCTTTCTCCCCCATTATGGTGACCTCTAAGGGTGTAGTAACAGCACGTCGCGACGTCCCCGTGTCTCATCAGACGGTCAACATCTGCACGTTCGTGTCGCCCGCGTCCGTCTCCTACGCGTGGTTCGCGCCGCTCTCCATCCTCGCCTTCCTCGTGCCGCTGCTGCTCATGGTCGTCAACTACTGCAGGATCTTCAAGGTGGGATGATGCGACGCATCGGAGCACAGGAGCCCGCGTGCTGTCCGGCACGGTGTCCGACGTTTTGCCCCGCGTGCCGGGAACTCCTTACAGGAAATTAATTCGGCGAGTTCAGCTCAGTTGTTCGGTGAATTCTATTCCTGAGTTTTCGAGGCGAAACGTCGGACATCGTGGCTTACAACATGCGTTACCACCTGAACTTTTCAAGCCGTTGATTTCGGATCGCCTTATTTGCTTTCTTTTGTCGTCTCCGCCCTCGCTCGGCCTCGATAATTGTCCATTTCCCCCTTGGTAATTCTGCGCTCAAAGATGTCTGTCATATCACGGGCGCATTTTAAAGGTGCGTCCTTGTTGTTGTTAATAGACTTATGTGATACTGCATTAAAGCACTTGCAGGCAGGAAACGTAAGGATAAATGTCACTCAAGTTGAAAATTAATAGTGGAAATATGCTTTGGAGTTAAGCCCTAATGAATTGTTAAATATAACTAACATTGATCAGTCTTAAGCATTGAGACCTGTGTGTCTTAATTGTTGAGACCTGTGCCTAGTTGCATAAAACATGAAAATGTCTCTTAGTTTTCGATGTAAGTCAATGTCAATTCGGGTGTCAATTTTAACTCAAGGTGTTTTAGGCTACCACCCACGGTGTCTTAAGTATTAAGTTAAATTCGTGTCATTGTGCAACACTCTCCAACCTCCCCAACTGGTGTCTGCAGCGTGCGCAGCAAACCTTTAGTGACAGAGTGGCGGAGTGTTGTACCATCGCATGAGAATGCAGAACGGAGACCGGGAAGGCGTCTGCTCCGCTTTTCCGGCCATTCCAGGTTCATGGAAGTGAACCGAGGGCCACAGAGTGTGGTCGGAACATGAATCTAGAACAGTAACGACATACTCATTGAAATGAAACTCTCTTGACACCAAATAGGGCACATAATTGTGCCTGGATGGCTGACAGGAACGAAGGGAAAATAAATAAATGCCTATGGCCGTACTGCCCAAAGAGCCCAGGCAGTATGAGGTATTCATTATTCATACCGGTTTACCCAGACCAAAAAAAAACAACCTCCCCGCCAAACAGGGTTTCATGTTCAAAGCTCAGCGCAGATGGATTCAGGAGGCCATCTCTGCCCCGCAATCTCATGGGCACCTTTGCATCCTAAAGCCCTACGACACCTGGCATCCCAGCAGAGCTCGTAACCACGTCAAAATGACGAGGCATCCCATTCCATTCCCCGCGTAGTGTAACGATGAGCAGCACTCGCCATTCCCCGCGTAGTGTAACGATGAGCAGCACTCGCCATTCCCCGCGTAGTGTAACGATGAGCAGCACTCGCCCTGCAGTGCAGGCGTCGGCGGTTACGTCTCCCGGAGAGCGGAAGGTGAAACAGCGGTGCAAAGTTACTGAAATCCCAGCCGCCCAACCTTTGTCCACCCAGCCGCGGTGTGCGCGGGTGCACCGCACTAATGGCGATTGGCACGATCGCGCGTGGTGGGGTACGACTTGGGTAATCCCATCTCTTCTAAGGTGTGTGGTTAGCATGGAAGAGAACACCAAAATGCCCCTTAAGGGGCTCTATAAAGGCCGATCTGCCAGCAGTGGCGTGAGAAAGAAATTGCAGGGCTGCACCTTGGGCGCCGCGGTGACGAGATGTTAGCTCCCTCGCCTGGTATGCAGGAGGTCGTGGGTTCGATCCCGACCCTGACGCCTGCTGCACATTTGGAGTTTGCGTGGCTCTCCATGGTGGCGTAGGATTTTTTTCCGTCTCCTCCGGTTTTTCCCTCCACATTTAGAAAATGCATTTGTGGAGTGTTTGACCGCTATACATTTCCACGTGAAATGATTCGTGGGCAGGTTGCTTCTAAAAAGAGCTATACAGCTTTAGTGGGCCTTACCTGGTAAAATAAAAAGTTTTGATCTCTCCGTAAGGCTTGCCTCAGGCTGATTGTCACCAAACGTCTCCATTAATTTTTGGTTTGTTTGCCGTGCCGTCCGCAGACCGTTAGGCAGAGCAGAGACCGCACCTGGAGGAACGGCCTGAACCTGGGTCTCCAGCCGAAGCAGCAGCACAGAGCGAGCCGGTCCCTTCGGAAGCTCCTCCGCTCCCTCATGCTCCTGGTGACGTCGTTCTTCATCTTCTGGCTGCCCCTGTTCATCACCGTGTGGCTGATGTACCTGGACAGGGCCGCGAGTAGCCGCATGGAGAAGCTCAGCACGCCGGTCTTCACCTGGGTCGCCATCCTCGCGTTTACCAACACGTGCCTCAACCCGCTGCTCTACGGCTTCTCCAACCGCCGCATCCGGGCCCTGCTGGCCAGGAGCTGCCCGACCTGGGGCGTCCCCGCCAACCGCGTCGACCCGGGCGGCGAGCAAAGGGACGGTGGCGACGGGAGGCAGCAGTGGCGGAAGCGGAACGGATCCGGGCGGGTGCAGGCGACGGTCAGCTACATCGAGGACTCGAACGAAGACTACTCGCAGATCGAGGAAACGTGAGGCGAGGAGGGAAGTTTGAGATGAGGCGGTCGCGGCTGTGATCGTCGTCCCCATCGTGCCGTCGGGGTGGCGTCAACTGAGCTCATTGCTCTGTCCGCACGACGGTCATCATGATCATCATCATAGGTGTTTGCCAACCTTTGGCTGCCATTCTGTCACCCATCCTTTCTCGTAATGCATCCTGCCAAGGCTCAATATTCTTAACAGTCAGTATGCTGTTTCCGATGTGTGTTTGTTATCTCATCCACTTGTTCCTATTTACGTCTCTCGGTGCAATTCACAGGACGCATCTCTCGCCGTGGTTCCGTTTCGTCTGTCGGTGTCGATGTCTTCTAATCCACGGCCAAGTCGGCAACATCCGCTGAATTAAATCTTTGCTTTGTCGCGGTGCGCTGCTTTCAATCATCAAATTTACATTTGAATCATTTGGCGGGACCCCGGGGTCCCGCAAAAATCAGGTCAATAATAATCATTTTTCAGTCCGCCCACTCGTGATCCCGACAGCAACGCGCCGCCCGCCCAGACTCGCGCCAACAAGCGCCAGCAGGCGGCGATCAACACGATGGGCACCACCCCACCGGCCAAACGCGAGCCCCGGGGGGCGTCCGCCGCAGTCGCGCGCGGCGACGACGCCCTCCGGTCAGCCGTCGATCCTCAGCTTCTTTGAATTTAACGTGTTTATGTAATTTTTCAACTTTTTACGAAACTTAGTGCCCCGAGTAGCTCTCGACGAGGCCAATCGATTGACCACTAGAGTTTTGTTGTCGGTAAGGCAACAAGGCTCGTGTCGCTACGCGGTTTTTCCCACCCCGGGGCAGTGATGGGACCCCGGGGTCCCGCCAATTGCTTCATTTGACAACAAAAAGAACCAGCGGAGTGCAATGCAGCAGGGCGTGAAATGTTAACGATTTAAATAGCGGCACGATGGAATTCTACACCTTTGCGTCCATATAGAGGGGGGGGGGGGGGCGGTGAAAAATCGTCTTAGCCGCCAACCACGTAGGCGTTTCACACCACCGCGAACCATGACAGATGCACTTTATTTTTTTAAAGCTATGATCCGTACAAAAAGTTACATTAATTGCATGTTCATTTAATCAAAACCAAGCACGAAATAAACACCGTGCTACGCCTGCGAGCTAAATCACCTGGAATGCGCCTCATCTCCCTAGGCTATCGGAAGCTAAGCAGGCCTGAGCCTGGATAGCACTTGGCGAGGGCAACCCCCACTCATAAAATCGGTGTCGTAGGCCGCAGTGGGGCTACGCGGCGGGCAGCAGAGGGTAGCACAACAGCGGCATTAAATTGTACTCTTGTAAAGCTACCCACCTTCAGCAACCCGCACGCGCCAGCGCGGTGCAGTACGCTCAAATTAAGCCCCGTGACCCCGCGACCCCGCGCTCTGCGGGGAGGCCCTCCTCCAGCAGTGGATTGGCAAAAGGGATGTGCATGCGCGCACACTGAGGCACTTATTGCTAGTTATGGTGAGTAGGGCTCATTCAAAATTCGTGGGCCATGTCTGTGAGCTGGTGTTACATCGAAGAAGCACTTTATCTTTCTCTGAGGCGGGCAATAGCGGGACACATCCGCCTGTACGGCAGGTCGTGGTGTCTGTTGAAGGCACTACAGAGAGTAGGGTTGTTGTCCGATTTGTGTTGAGTTCTCGTGTTTGTGGGTTTTCTCCAGGCGTTCTGAGTGAACTCAAAACAGGTACTGGGCCAAACATTGCAAAAACAAGTAACCCGCTGAAAATGAGGCTTGAGGTTCGGCCAGGCTTTCCTGGTTGAACGTGCATTGTTCTTTATGGTCACATAACATATGCACGGAATTATAGGTTAAATGCCCAATTTTATAAATGTCCCATATACTTTCAAATTACATATTGCGGCTGACCTCGTGACAGCAAGTAAGATGATGGTAGTCTTTATCCACCTGATGAATACTTCCGTCCCCTTTAATAACTCACAGCCCTTTGTCAATCCACTGCTGGATGAGGACCTCCCCACGCCCTTTCTGTTCGTCGAGGTCGTTTGACCTTAATCCACCATGCAGGCGAAAATCCGGTTGATGAAGGGGGTATCCAGAACCAGTTCAAATATCGTCCGCCACTGATGCAAACCGTGGCCTAGAGAAAAAAAAAAACACGTGACCGGGTTTATGTCTCAGTGCGCTGACCACTGCACCGCCATTCCATAAATCTTGCTGTTGACCCATGGCAGCAAGTGATGGGATCGTAGTTTTTTTCTTTTAGTGCAAACTACAATTTCCGTCGTTGTGGACACAACGTCTCGTTTGTAAAGCTGTAGGCTGGTGTTCCCCATCATGTCGTCGTGAATGGTGATGTTCCCGGCCGCCTCACCATTTGAGTTGTCGTCTAAGCAATGTTTTTGGGAACAAATTCAGGCTTGGCTGCATGTTTATTCCGCCGTCCTGCTGCCGCGTGCTGCTTGGCATTACGTCCGACGTTTCGCTCCATGCGCTGGGAATGAATCGTCAGACAACCATGGCAACAACAAAAAACGCACGCGGCGCAGCCCCCGAAAAAAAAACACAGCGGAGAGATAATTTGAAGAGAATTCATAACACTGGTTCCCCATTTGATTGGTGTCTATACATGGGCTTTGTCCAAAGTGTCAATTTTATTTTTCTGAAAATGGGGTGTCACGATGAATCGTCGTGCAGAGCTTTACGGGCGTCCGGCGGAAATTAAAGCGGCGATGTTTATTTTTTCTCGAGTACGTGAGCCGACAGCTCAGTAGTTATAGCTGTCAAAGTGTGCAGGCGGTGTAACTGCAACGGTGCAACTGCAACAGGGCATACGCCCCCCCCCCTTCAGGAGCCCCCCCCCCCCGCCGCCGACTCCTATCTCTTGCACCAGGGCTCACGCCAATCAAGCTAAGCCAGTGAGACACTTACTAATGATGGACACAATGCAATACACAAACATGGTATTTTCAGATGCCCGATTATTATATATGTGTACTCACGATTATTTGTCTACTGCAATGCAAACAAGAGTGGTATTGAATTTTGTCATTGGTTTTATTGTTTCATGAATTGCAATATTTTCACAATTACAAACTAATCGTATGCGGAATTACAATCTACAAATGCTTCGTTTATATAACAGTTATTAAAGTCCATAGCTAAAATAAGAACATGACATACGATACACTTGTCATTAGCATAGAATAATCAAAACTATCAGTATAATGCAGTGTGAAGCATGTCAAACAGACAGCTGTGCGAACAAATTATTACAGCGGTATAGAAGAATACATTGGGTTGTTTATTTTTTTAAACTCACGTTACGCATATGGATGTGCTCTTTACCGAATTCAAATACAATGAACAGCGTTGTGGTTTCAAAATGGGGAAATTCACTCACAATCAATCCACATCCATTCCTGATTAAGGACACAGATCTGCGGGAAAAAAGGAGAAAATATACGAGTGTTAAAACAAGCACAGCATTGATCGCTGACTCAGAAGTGCCAAACTTTACAATAAACTTGATAACATTTTACGGAAGGATAAAGTTTTTTTTTCAGCCGTGTGTGTGTGTGTTTTGATGTGTCGTATGTCGTCGCTGGTAGTGGTGCGATGCTTTATGCGCTACGCTACAAACCCGTTCACCTGAGTTCATTTGTCAGCCACGGCTAACATCTTTGGTAAGTTACATCTAAACCACCTCGCCGAGGTTGACTCGGCTTGAAATGAGAACCGGGTGCAGTGTGTAACCGTCGGTACTGGGGAGACAGAAGTAGCCGTGCTGGCCTTACTTGGTGCACACTCAGAACGCTTGCCCCAACAGTCTGTATGGGGGATCTCTACGTGTGTATGCACGCACACTCGTACATGCACACGCACGCAATCATGCACGCACACTCACGTATACGCACGTGCACGATCGTTGATGTAGGCACACTCGTGCGTGAATGATCACACATGCCCGCACGAGTATGCTTACATGAGCCATACGAGTGTGCATCAACGATCGTACACGTGCGTATACGTGAGTGTGCGTGCATGATTGCGTGCGTGTGCATGTACGAGTGTGCGTGCACAAGCGTGCGTGCATGCATGATTGGTAGTGTGTAGCGGTTAGCGCGCTGCGCTACGATCCCGGTGACGCGAGATTGATTCCTGCTCACGGCCACTAGTGACGATTATATGATTATATAGATCGACTCGGCCTCAAATGAGTACCTGGTGCGGTGTGTAAACATCGCCACTGGGGAGACAAAGGCGGTCGGGCGTGGTGCAGGCCACCCACCCCCTCGTGTACCGTTCCGGCCTTCATAGGTGCTCGCTAACAGCACTTGCCCCTATAGTCTGTTAAGTCTATACGGGGGGTCGTTGTGCGTGCGTGTAATATCAATCAAGCAACCCGTGGCACCTGGGGTCTGACCCGTGACCTCCTTGCCAGCGGGCGTTCGACACTTCACGTGGCCTTAACGTGCACATAGCCTGGCATAAGCGTCGTGAAGACGTCACCACCACTTGGCGGCGAATGCCGGTTGTTGTTGCTGTCGTGTGTGTGTGTGTGCGTTTGTCGCGCTCACTCGAGTGCTCCACGATGTGGTACTTCCCCGCCAGGCACAGCGACTCCTGCTTGAGGCGGATGCTGCGCTGCATGCTCGGGGTCATGCCCTTGAGCTGACGCAGGAACACGATGGAGTAGTTGTTGGCGCACGTCCCGTCGTCCGCACGCTCGCGGCACGAGTACATGATGGCGTACGAGTCGTAGTCCGTGTCCACCACCCAGAAGTCGTCTTCTGCAAACGCGTGACCCAAGCGTTAGCCCAGCGTTTTTGCTGGGCAGTTTTCAAACTAGGCGCTGTCCTCCAGACAGTCTCGTCCCCTTCACCTGATGAAGGCCGCTTGTGTTGTGGCCGAAACGTCGTGAGAATATTATTGCGTCATTTTATTTTATCAATTTATTATTTTATTCTCATTCTACGTGACTTTACCGAAAGAACCAAAGCAGATAGGCGCATGCCGTTTCGGTCGCGGGGCGTTTGCCTTGGCTGTACTTCGCCGCGCCGGTCACTGAGGGTTGCTTCAAGGCAGGCAGCGAATATGTTTTGGAGCGCAGAGGGTACAGGACAACAGTTGATCATGCTGCACCGTGCTCTGCTGCCCGCATCACGTAAGCCCGCAGTCACCGGCGGCAACACGGCACGCATGGTGGCTGCCTGCCCCAGCGCTATCAAGGCTCAAGCCTGCTTAGCTTCTCAGGTGTGACATGAACGGGCGCATCACACGTGTCCACGAGGGCATAGGAACTATTCACAATGGACAGCTCTTGTGTCAATCCGCTATGAGGCTGAAGGGCTGCCCATGCCGTTTCGGTCATGGGGTTTGTTTGACTATACTTTACCACACTGGTCAGTGCGGCTTGGTGAAGGCAGGGTGGGGTGGGGGGGGATGTGTATAACCGGTTCAGCTGTCACTTGCCACTGATGTTAGCCGTGGCTGGGAATTCAACTCAGGTGGGCGTTTTCTAATGAGGAAAGTGGATTTCCCAGAGATTGGGTAGCCTGAAAAACCCTCATTGCAAGCAAGCCTTATAAACTAAACTTTGTATACTCTTTGGTTCTTTCGGTAAAGTCACGTAGATATAAAATAAAATAAATTCAATCACGACGTTTCAGGCGCAACACAAGCGTCCGTCATCAGGTGGGACAACCACAGTAAGAAGCAATTGCTGAAGTGGGCCCACTTCATCCCTGCAGTCACGAAAACTTCAAATCTAGATTAAACTTTTTATTTACCAGGTAAGGCCCACTGAGCTATACAGCTCTTTTTCAGAAGCGACCTGGCCACAAATGATAACTCAACGAAGTGGCTTATGACATGGAAATGTAGAGCAGCCAAATACTCTAAATGCGCGTTGATTCTAAATCTGAAAGGAAAAACCGGAGGACCCGAAGAAAAATCCATGTGACCACGGGGACAGAGACACGCAAACTCCAAAAATACAGGCGTCAGGATCGGGATCGGACCCACGAACTCCTGTATACCATGCGAGGTAGTTAACATCTCATCACCCTGGCAAGATTTTGGGGGAGCGGGGAGGGGGGCATTCGTTTCTCAAAGTTGAGCCAACGGGCATTCGATTTATTTTGACGGTGTGTGGTGAGCGTACGTCCTGTGGCGAGGTAGTTGGCAAGCCCCCAGTACTTGAGCTTCAACTTGGCCGGGTTGTCGGTGTCGGTGAACGTGCCCACCATGTCGGCGCATATCACCCAGTGGCTGCAGGAGGAGAAAAAAGGTGGTGGGGGGGTGGTGGCGGCGACCGTGTGGCTAAGACGTGCGGAGGAGTTTCCATTCCATCTCGCGGGCCGATTCGCTCGCTGGCCTGCCGATGGTGGACGCGGAACGTTTCTGTCGGTTCACTTGAGAGGTAAGGGTCCATCCTATAGCCCGGAGAAGGTGCCGCAATGTTGGGTCGACGTTGGCACGTGGTTGGAAGCGACGTTGGCCCAAAGTTTCCGTATTAACTGGGAGCTGCGTGCGAAGTTTGTCCGATAGTTTTTTCCCAGCGAATGAGAGCGACGTGGCTCGCGAGTGACCTCAAGCGTCCTGAGGTTTTCTTAATTTTTTACAAAAACGGTTTTAGAAATGTTTAAAGCCCCGTAATATTAGCAATCACGAAACGTTTCAACATTTTTTACCGAGGTCAAAGGTCATGAGCCATACATCGATCATCACCACCACCAGAGGTGCCCGGTTTCTTCCGCTGCAAAATGAGTCCTTACGCAACTCTGAACGACGATAACTGCTCGGACTAAAGGGCTGTGAACGACGAAAGATGTCCCTGGTATATAACGACAATACCCTGCAGTCAAAGCACCGAGCAGCACATACGCAGTATTACAGTGGATAATTCCGAGGAGGAACACGTGGACCAGACAACCGATACCGTGCCATGCTCAAGCAGGACACGTCACACAGCGGGGATTGCGATGGCCGGCGGTGGAGACTAACGGCGTATTCACTCCCAAAGGGTGGAACGCTCCCGACAGGACGCCCGCGCCCTGAAGATGGATCGCCTCACGCGCGCGCCAGAGGCGCGGCGATTCCACTCCGCCGCTCCTGACGCGGCTATCTGGCTCGACCAGCCGAACGTCAAATTGCAGTCGCTGCTCCGCATCTGCGTAAGCCGTGCAGAAAGGAAAGGGCGCGGCGCGCAGGAGCCGGGCGGATCTTCGCGACGGCCGGCGACGGGATCGGCGAGGCCTTCATCGCACAGTGGATAGATCCTGACCGACGGCGAAGACGGCGACTCACGGCGATCGATTTTACCTAAATATGGTGACGCGCCCACGGGCAGAGGCCATCATGCACCCATCCTTGACGGTGAACTTGGCGTGGATGTTGTCCTGGAGGAAGACGCCGTCTGGGTTCTTCTTGGCCACGGCGAACCACTGTCCTGCAAACTGCACGAGGGCACCGCCGGGCGGGGGAGTCACCGCGCGTGCTACTTTCTCGTGCCGCCGCCGCTGTCGCTGCAATTGCGGCGATGGGGGAGCAGGGGGGTGAAAACGTCTGCAAGTGGGGAGGCTGTCCGGGCTACCCCGGCTGGCTCTGAGGTCTCAGTGTTGTCGATGTCGATCCGTGACGACGTTTTTTGTTTTGTTTTGGGTTAGGTTGAGTAAAAAAAAAATTAACGCGTCGTTAACCCGCCGCCACCCGACACAGCCGATGGGTAAGGTTTGTCACGTGAACCAAACGTGCCAATTAGTTACGACACACCGGTATGTTGGAGAGTAAACCCACAACATTTACAATATGAGTAGGACGTTTCGCTGGCGATTACAACTAGCTTCATCAGGCAAAATTTGCCAGAATTGTGAAGAAGGCTTCCCGTTTCGGTCTTAAATAGAGTAAAGGTGATGTCATCACTGTTGTTGTTGTTGATGTTGGGCTGCAATGCCTTTGTCCCAGGTTGTGCCCTGATGTTGCTCTCTCTCTGCGTGTTTCCCTGACCTCTCACGTGTCACCCTGTGCCCCACCGCCCCCACCTCCCACTGCGCTCTGTGCTCCAACTTCTGCAGGATATTTTTCTATGACGTTATGAGAATAGGTTTTCCCCTTTTTTCTGGCAACAAAACAGGTGTTGAGAAGTTAAAACACCAAACTGAAACCTTTTACAAGGAATCATGTCTGCATTAACCACAATGCTTGTGGTCAGAATGCAAACAAAAAAAACTCTGATAATATATGCATTGTCCTTTGTTTTTTTCGGTAAAGTCACGTAGAAATAAGAAATAATGAAATTACATAATAGCGTACGACGTTTCGCAATGCAACACAAGCAATCATCATCAGGTACAGAAGAGCTAAATTTACGAGAGAGAGGAAACACATAACCGCAGATATATATACAGACACAGATACAACAGGGGATGCAGAGAGAGAGAGAGACGGAGGGGCACACTCAATCAAACAGGGTTTAGCAAAATTTGGAAACCATATAAAGCAACACAGACGGTCGGTCAAAACACAATTAACGCATGGTCTGGTTCATTACGCTATTTCAAAGATTGCTAAATTGCAAGTTAAGTGTGTCTCTCTCCATGTGTCTCTGTGTTAACTCGTTCTGCTTGGATGTCTATATATGTGTATGCGGTCTGTATTCTTTAAATTTCACACTTAACTTGCAATTTAGCAATCTATGAAATAGCGTAGTCAACCAGACCATGCGTTGTGTTTTGACCGACCGTCTGTGTTGCGTTATGTGGTTTCCAAATTTTGCTAAACCCTGTTTGATTTAGTGTGCTCCCCCGTCTCTCTCTCTCTCTGTATCCCATGTTGTATCTGTGTCTGTATATATATCTGCGGTTATGTGTTTCCTCTCTCTCGTAAATTTAGCTCTTCTGTACCTGAAGATGATTGCTTGTGTTGCAATCGAAACGTCGTACACTATTATGCAATAGTATTACTTCTTATTTCTACGTGACTTTACCGAAAAAAAACAAAGAATAATTCTTGCAGTCACGAAAGCTCCAAATTCAATATATGCATTGTCCTTGAAACTGATTGGTCCACACCAGAGATAGCTTTCTTTTGAGCCTCGTCTCAGACGGTGTTAGACAAGAGGACGCCAAAAGGCGCCTTTCAGTTTGGTGTTTTAACATCTCAACACCTGTTTTGTTTCCAGAAAAAAGGGGAAAACCTATTATCATATTTTTCTATCAAGTTTGAAAATTGCCTTGAGATACGAGTGCATTCAGAGGCAAATGCAACTTGTGATTGTTGTTGCTGTAGCGACTCAAAGCAAATTTGTTCAAGAACTCTTTTGAATGTTTAACGTGACACACGCAACAGGGCAGTCAATGTACGTGTGTGTGTTAAACTTATTTCGCACCGTACGTATCCAACCGTGCGAATCGGACGTGCCAGAATGAGGTGACACGGGTGTCATCATCATAACGAGAAGGCATATATATAACAAAATGGGACAAAGTTTAATTTTAACTGTGCAATCCTGAACGTGTTCAATAATTATGCTTCATTATTATTTCGCACAAATGTTGTGTGAAACCCCCATCCCGTGGGCCTCGTGGAGATGTCCTACCGTGGCTCGCCAGGAGATGGCGATACATCAACAAAAATAAGTGGACCCCCACCTGTTCCATCTGTATCACATAGAACAGCGGCCTTCACTTATTTTCAGAGGGGGGCTACTTTCGCCGATGAGACATCGTCAATGTGAGGGCTGTGACACAGTTGAAACCATTGGGGTTCGAGAGCAGCACGATGATGATGATGATGGGGTGGGTGTGTTCACGTGTTGTCTGTTGTCGGGGGCCGCAAACACATTCCTGCGGAGGGAGGAGCTGGTAGGAACGTTGGGTTGCTCGGTCAATGGCCAGGGTCAACAACGGCAGCACCACGTGGTGTATTCCACAAATATGCCCGACTGTGAGGGCGGGCACAAGCCGGCGTGAGTAGGTTAAACGTTGAGTTTTATAAGGGCACCACGGGGTGACCAGCCCCTCCCCACCCAGCCCCACCCCTCCCACCCCCCACCCAGCCCCACCCTCCCCACCCAGCCCCTCCCCACCCAGCCCCTCCCCACCCAACCCCTCCCTCCCCATCCAGCCCCTCCCCACCCAGCCCCTCCCCACCCTCCCCTCCCCACCCTCCCCAGCCCTTCCCCACCCTCCCCTCCCCACCCAGCCCCATCCCTCCCATTTCATCCGGGTGTCCGAATACACGTGGACAGACATCCACAGACATACACAATTAATCCCCTGCCTCCTGTGATAATCCCGGTTGGGCTTCCAGTCCACTACGTTTCCTACTACCAGTATAAAGGCCACCAGGAGCCGTCAGTGGCCCGCGGGAATTACAGTGAAGAATACTGTCATCGAGTGTTTCCCCCTCACACGCATGTTTTCTCCGGATGCTCTGGTTTCCTCCCACAATGCTCGACTACTGTGCACTGGTGCGGTGTTACAGGTTAACGTTATTATTCATATTAAATTATGTACTCGATTCCTGGCCAAGGTGAGTAAATAGTTGAGTCAATGCATCCAATAATGTAAGTAACAAATTATGCGGGCCCTTCGTTGCTTTATTTATGTTTTTATTAAATTGCGCATTGATTAAAAACCAATAATAGGCTTTACGCTTTTTGGCAATAAAACAGGCGTTAATATGTTTGAACAGCAAATAGATACGTAATGCAAGGCATCAAGTCTGCATTAACCACACATTCATGTGGAAAAACATGCAAACAAACATGCTCTGAATATAATATATGAAACGGATTGGCCTTCACCAGAGAAAGTCTTCATTATGGCCGTGTCTGACCCAGTGTTAGACCACAGAATGCCAAAAGGCAAATAATACGAAGGCAAGTTGAGCAGTTATATTATTAAAAAAAACACAGCAATATCGCTTCTATCTATATACAGGCCGAGCACGGGCACAATTTTACTGTACATCTGTGAAAAATTATAGCTTTGCTCATCGGATTCCTTCAGTACAAATTAATATTCTGATTCCCAATTCGGACGATGATGGGACATTTGCTAACACGTGGTTCAATCTTTCCTGGCCCGCGAGGTAGCCGTCAGTGAATGGCGGGGGGTGGGTGGGGGTGGCATTTACCCTGGCTTTATCAAAGTCCTTCATCACAGGAATGCTGTCCACTTGGCAGTCGACTGCCCAGCAGCAGCCCAGAGCAGACGCGAGGGCCAACAGCGTGGCTAGGAGAGGAGTCGAGGCCATTCCTGACGAATATCAAAGCAACCACGCATGGAGTGTACACACATCAAAGACGAAGATATCTCCCCCCACCGCATAGCCTTTAACAGACGGTAGTGGCAAGTGCTGTTAGCGAGTAGCACTTGGCCGGCACGGCACACGAGGGAGGGGGTGGGGGGTGGCCAGCACCACGCCCGGCTGCCTTTGTCTCCCTATTGGCGATGTTTACACATCGCACCAGGTACTCATTTTAGGCTAAGTCGATCTACGGGAGGCCCAGGACCGGTTCAGATAATCGTCACTGGTGTTGGCCGTGAGCGGGAATCGAACTCGGGTCGCCGGGTTCTTACCGCATTGCTAAACCGCTACACAACCGCACCACCCACACACACACAAAGATCAAGAACACTGCATACCCACACAGCAATACATACACACACACTGCATACACTCAGCATACACACACTGCATACACACAGCATACACACACTGCATACACACAGCATACACATTGCACACACAGCATACACACACAGCATACACACACAGCATACACACACCGCACACACACACTGCATAAACACAGCATACACACATTGCATACACAGAGCATACACACACAGGATACACACACTGTATATACACAGCAATACACACACTGCACACACACACACTGCACACACACATTGCATACATACAGCATACACACTACAATCATAGCATATGCTGGATAAACAGCACACACAAACACTGCATACACACTGCACACACACACTGCATACATACAGCATACACACTACAAACATAGCATATGCTGGATAAACAGCACACACACAAACACACTGCACACACACACTGCATACATACAGCATACACACTACAAACATAGCATATGCTGGATAAACAGCACACACACACACTGCATACACATACTGCACACACACACACACACTGCATACACATACTGGATATCATGCGAGCCTCCTGTTTTATTCCCAGAAAGGGTAAATCCTATTATTATATTTTGATAGTGGCAAGGGTGGTACCATGATGTAGCTGCTCAACCCCAAGCTGTCAATGTCCTGATAGTGGCATTGTCTTGGTGCTGGTCGCCTTTGGGCGTCCTCTGCCCTAACACTGGGCTGAGACTTGGCTCTAAAGAAAGCTGTCTCTGGTGCGGACCAGACAGTTCTCAAAGACAATGCATCATCATATACTAATCAGAGCATGTTTTTTTTGTTTGCATGTTCACCACGATTACATGTGGTTAATGCAGACATGATTCCTTGCAAAAGGTTTCAGTTTGGTGTTTTAACATCTTTAACACAAACTGTTTTATCGCCAGAAAGGGTAAAAAACTATTCTTACATACTGGATCCACACAGCACACACGTCAACGACTATGGCTGGCCACCGGACAAAGACGGCGGTCACCGCATCGAGCGCTTTCAGATGCGCTTCTGCGGCCGTCTGGAACGTCTCTTCCTTCCGACATTATAAAGCACCTGAAGCTGTGCACTTTTTAAATCATCTAACTTGAAAACTAATTTCTTGAGAACTGCTTCTTGTGTTCAGTTTGTTGTCCTTCCCCCACACCTCCGATTCGCACGGTTGGCTTCGTGCGGAGCGAAAGAAGTTCAATATACACCACACATGCCCCATACACTACAAAGACCCCCCGTAAAGCCTTAACAGACTGTAGGGGCAAGTGTTGTTAGCGAGCATCTATAAAGGCCGGCACGGCACACGAGGGGGTGGGTGGCCAACACCACGCCCGGCCGCCTTTGTCTCCCTAGTGACGATGTTTACACATCGCAACAGGTACTCATTTGAGGCTGAGTCGACCTAGGGGAGGCGCGGGACCGGTTCAGATAATCGTCACTGGTGGTGTTGGCCGTGAGCGGAAATCGAACCCGGGTCGCAAGGTTCATAGCGCAGCGTAGCGCTAACCGCTACATTATCGTTCCCCATACACTACATACACATAGACACAACACACACACACTGCATCAACACACAACAACAATCGCTACACACAATATCACGAAAATGTGTGTGAACAAATCCATACAAATCTGAAAAATATATAGTTCAGACTTCTCCAAAAGCCGTCGCTTTCACGTGTTACGTGCCATCTAACTCGCAGGCTAAACTGCCACAAGGCGATAAAACAGACAACGCAGCACCCAAATATACGTTCATGCAAACATGAATACATCTTAAAAATAAAATATCCACGAGCGGAAATGAACTCTCATCTAAAATTCACGGCGAAACTCGACAATTAAAGTATCTAAAAATAAACAGCCAAACGCAGCAATCTAATTCATATCTGAAAATCAACAGCGACACACAGAGCAATACAAATTATATCTGGAAATCCACAGCGACAGAGCAATACAAATTATATCTGAAAATCCACAACGAAAGACAGACAAGTCAGTGAAAATCCACAGAGAAACACGGCAAAGTAAACGATATCTGCACAAGGCAACACGATTTTACCCGAAAGTTGCCTGGGCTCTTGCTCTCGCCCTCGATCGGAAAAAAAATTAACGCAATGTGGGGCTTCTGGGCAGAGACCTCCAGCCTTAACTTCCCAAGGTCATCGCAACCATTGGCTCCTGCGCAGCACGTGGCAACGATGCCGCACGTGCCTGCAGAATGAATTGCTTCAACATGTCAGGCAAGTTGCGGGGGGGGGGGGGGTATAACAGCCAAGGGACCCTGTGTGGGACATTCGACTCAGGCGCGTGTGTGCGCAAAAGCTGTCAAAACACCGGGTCACCGTCAGGGCTCTCTGTCTCTGTCGTTCTCCGCGTTGCTCACGATGCCACCCCCCCCCGCCCCTTTGTGACTCCCTCTGCTTTAAAGTCTCCCCTGAAGCTCGTTCACGCCGGGCATTTCGGAGCGCCCTATAATTTTGTATTTTTTCTCCCCTATTCTCCTCTTCGCTGTGTTGTTGTTATTGTTGTTGTATTACGCGTTGTTTGTTTTATCCGAGCCAATCGCTCTCACATTGCCCCCCCCCCCCCGGATAGGCGAACGTTGATGCTCACCGTTAATGTTACATTATCTGTCCGTCTTAGTCTCTCCCTACCTCTGTTCCTTTGTTCATCGCACTTTACGACAAACTACTGTGAGTTCCTGTCACGGTGTACAGTTTAGCGCTTCACGCCAATCTATCGCAGACTACCTTCGCTCGTTCTTCTTGCCGTTTGTCCACGGGGGGTGCACAATTTGTCTTCTTTCTCTCGATCGGTGGTTCAGAATCTGGGGTGCACGCACCCTCTGGGGGTGCCAGATGCCCTTTCTGAGTGTGCGAGACGTGGCCAGATTTTTTTAGAAGGTAAATCATCCAAACACAAATTAAGCACGTACGTCCAACTCACTTTGTTTCATCACACCCATGTATATATTAACATCAAACCTTTTTTTCTCTCCCACAAATGAGAACCAAATAGGTGCAAGGCTGCAGTAAATGTGAAGAACCACTGCTCTCTTAGCATCAAAGTCCACGAGCTGTGTGAGCTCCCTCCTGTCTGCTGCATTGATCACAATGGTGAAACGTCCGTCGCCTTAGACACACACTTAGAGCAATGACTTGTGTCTCCAAGTTGTAGCTCATTTCCTCCGTACAACCGAGGCATGCCAGGGCACTTCAAGAGCCACCTGTATTCTTGCCGGAATGGGTAAAGCCTATTCTATCTTGATTTGAAGCTTTCGTGACTGCAGGAATCCATACTCTTTGGTTCTTTCGGTAAAAGTCACGTAGGTATTCTTTTATTTCTACCTACGTGACTTTACCGAAAGAACCAAAGAGTAAAGCCTATTCTGTTTTCGTCATCTTGATACTGGCAAATACGGTCCCGTAGACAGAAGCATATTTTATGTAATTACCCATAATGCTCAACAACGGTGGCTCGCGAGTTTAATGTTACATGTCATTAACTGTGGCCTCTTGGCTGGCATAGGACCTCACAATGAATTGCGATTGGTAGTATTGCTTCTGTTTCCTACCTGAACAATGCACCCACTAATCCTATGGAGTTGCACACCCGTCATCCATGAACGATACGAAACATTCTAGTTCCGGGTTGATTGTTTAACCGGGTGGAGAACTCGTAGATACCAGGATGAGTCTCATTTGCAAGGGCAACCGAGGGCATCGTTCTGCTGCCAGCAGGGAGCGACAATGGCTACGTTAAATTTCAAATGGAGTAAATGTGTGGGCAATACTCGAAGTTGGCCAATTTGGACCGTGACGGCAGCACACAACGGCCTCGTCTCGCACACGACGCCCAAGGGGAGGGGGATCTTCAACGTCCCCTGGCGTAGCAGACGATTACACCGCGCGCTATTAACCGGGGCGGCCGCTGGATTCGAAGCGCCAACCTCTGCACACGAACGGCGAACGCGCCGTTTGGGGGGGAGCGCAGGCGGCGTGAACGTAAATGACGCGCGGAGACGACGCATTTGTTTCACACAACGGTTTATTTTCATTTTTTTAATACAAACGACTACAAAATTAAAAAAATGCAAGAGAAAGTGCATTGAAGCGGTTTACGTTGAGTAATACTAAGGATTAAATTAAGACGCGTGGTGAAAGAGGAACAAGTGTCGGACATTTTAAAGACGTAGAGCTAATTGCGTTGTGCTTTAAAACAAAGAAAAATTGCTCCCCTTCTCAACGAGCACAGCGCTTAACGTCGCTGTTACACAAGCGCGCGGGACATTTCCCACCCTGTGCTCGTTTTCTCCGGAAAATATTTTTGGTACTTTTCCCGCTTGCAGTATCGGGGGAATCGTGCGACAAAAAAACAATCCGTCCGTCAAAAAAAATCTCACGGGGGCAGTGCGACCGATGCGCCGCCGATGTCCGCGAATTTGGAACGCAACTTATTTTCACGTATCTTTTTCTTTATTTTCACGTAGCTCCGTATTAAAAAAAACGAACCAACATTTAGTCGCCTTCTATCGTTACACGATCAGGGGGCGCACATACCTGCGCACACTCTACTACGAGTTTAGTGTTTGTCACATGACGGTCAAATAAATAGTTCGCTAAATTAAGTGCGAAACCAAATTACATTTTTACGGCGTTTTATAGTGCATTCATTGGTGATTGGGCCCGAGACCATCGACTCGCTTGATGGTCTGGCTCCACTTGAGAACTTTAATTTAACCGTTGCCAGGAATCGAGCCCGGAATCTCTCGTAACTTTGACCTCGAAGTTGCCCGATCACCTCCACACCTTCTGCTCTTAAACCAAGTTTTATTTATGTACTTACTTAACCATACTTTGAAGCAAACTGGGGGGGGGGGGGCTTTGCGTCTCCCAATCATAAAACAAGTCACCGGTAAAAAAAAAAATGCAGGACCGAGGGCAAGACAAGTGGCCAGGTGTAGAGGCAGCGCGATAGGAATAAGACACCCGTCCGTTCGCACGTGTAACCATCTTGGCAGTTCACAACGACAAGGGGCACACGTTCATCTGCGCAGCGGTGTTATGCCGACGTGGCCCTGTTTTGCGTGGCTGAAGGCGCTGCAATGATTTCTCTCCCTCACCGCCCCACAGTGATTTCCTAAAACGTTACGCGTCACGATACGATTTAAAAAAAATAGCTTTTGTTGTGTGTCTCATCTTAACTGTCATTTGTATTGTGTTGTTTTTTTAAACCTCGGGTCGTACAAGTTTGTTGTCAATCCATTAGTTAAAAACGCAACTTTAGCTTATTGTTTGTATTCAATTTGCGTGAAATATAAAAAAAAACTGGTTCGAACACGGCGCTGTGTTCGGCATGCATCGTGAGCGCGAGAGCGAGAATAATTTTTAGTCGATGAATCGATGGGATCGTTGCATATTTAGCCGTGGATATTCCGTCTGTAACTCGTGAAATGAGATAATCTTGTAGAACAAATATACTTTATACCGAGATCCAACCACCCTTAACAAGGTCTCAGTAAAAATTAACTCATTTTATTATAGGGCTGTGAGAGCATGTGGCTGTGTGTGGTGATCAGATAAACAACATTGGAATTCTTGCTCTTCACAAAATGCGAGGTTGTTTTAGCTCTGTCGTAGTTAATTATTTTCATCGCAAATTCAACTCTATCGCAATGACACAAAGGCATTTCCTTCTGAAAACTCTAATGATAACTATCCGCTAAGTGCTAGCTGTCCTTTCTTTCTTCAAACTAAGAGGCAGTGGAATGCATAGAGTTGGAAATGGCAGTGTCACTTGTACAGGTCTCCCCACACTGACCGCACAATCACATGGAGGGACGTTGCTAATTTTCAATAAACAACACTCTCTGTGTGTGTGTGGGCAGCGTCTTCTCAGTCTCATGCTGCTGCCCTGCGGTTTCTTCTTGAGAATCCTGCCTCGCCTGCGGGAGGCAAATGAAGATGGGTACGGTTACAGAGCCATCATAAATTTGTGTGCCAACTTAGAATCCATATGGCTGGACAAGTGTTGGTGATAGACATTTCAATTCCTGTAACAAATAAGTTAAACAGTCTTGACAATTTACTGCCCCTGTCTAAACCCTTCTTGCCCATGACTGCCTCTTCTCTAAAAATAGATGCGATATTTCGACAAAGATCCCCCTTATAACCTCAACAGATTATTGGGGCAAGTGCTGTTAGCGAGTGCCTATGAAGGCCGGCACGGCACACGAGTGGGCGGTTGGCCAGCACCACGCCCGGGCGTGAGTGGTGCTGGCCACCCCACCCCCTCGTGTGCCGTGCCGGTCTTCGTAGGTGCTCGCTAACAACACTCGTCCCTACGGTCTGCTCAGGTTATATGGGGGAAATCTGTCTTTGGATTTCAATAGGAAGACAAGAGTGCATACCTTTCTGACCCTTCTGGCCGTCAAAGCCAGGAGAACCGGGGGGCCCTTCTGGTCCTGAAATGTCAAACATAATTTGGAATCAGCATAATAAGAATGAAGAAGAAGAAACGTTCACTTGATATTAACCCTGCGAAGTATATAAACATACACAGCAAACAGGCTCCAGCCTCCATCCGTCGGTTTACAGTCAAAACATGACGACACATTGATTCGTAGCGAGCAATCACCGATTCTTTATACTCGAATTGCGTTTGTGTAATCAACGTTTTTCTATCTATTTACATCACACGTAGTGGGGCCAAATTACTACTTTAGCCACCGCTACATCCGCCACAAGGTTAGACAGAACAATTGATGCTCGATTGTGATCGTGGTTACGAAGCGATGGATCGATCATTCAGGTGGCTCAGTGGGTGGGAGCGAGTGTCTCGCGATCGGAAGGTTTGCGAGTTCAACTCCTGATCGCTGGTTGACTCAGCCCATCATCTTTCTGGAGTCCTAAAAAAACGAGTACCATTTTGTGCGGAAGTCAACAGTGGTTGTTCTATGGATAAACTCGGCCCCGTCATATGAACGTGGAGTTTCCACCACTGGCTCAGGGCTATAAACAGGAGATGAGCACTGCCTCAGTGCTCATTCGAGCAGGAAAAAAAAAACATCTCTTGGGGTTTGTTGGTCTCGTTTGTGTACAGTAGTTTTATATTCTCCATTATCATACATGTAACGTTGACATATTTGAATAATTAAAAAAAAACCAAACTGCCTGATTATTACATTGCACGATTTGATGCACGTATCATGAGTGTAGGAATATATCTTAAACTTAGAATCAATGCAACTGCTCAAGGTTTTTTGAGTTGAACCAGGAGAGAAATCAACAGACCAGGATGAGTCTCATTATTTGCAAAGAGTGACCTGGGTACATGTGGAGTTTAACGTGTCCATGGGGGATTTAAATACACAATTCGAGAGACAATAATCAGACTTACCAGGCGTGCCTGGGAATCCTTGCTCACCTAAAAAAAAGTTCAAAAACAAAATCATTAAGTTGACAAAAGTTTGCTTGTTCATTCATATTCTCCCACCAAGCAAAGTCGGCCTTTTGTAAAATAATAAACATTTAAGTTGATATAGTAATAGGTTTTTACCCTTTTATCTGGCACCAAAGCTGACACCACATATCACGTATGACCCTCCGCTTGAGCACCCACAAAATGGGTGGTGCTCAAGTGCAGTGAGTTGATGGCCTCAGCTTGGTCAACCAATAACTCTGAACAAAAATGTTGCTGACCATATTTCACCACGCGGGTCAGTGCGTGTCGGTGAAGGGGTGTGGAAGCACCCAGAACTTATCCCTGACGTTGGCCGCAGCTAGAACTCATGGTCGGGTCCCCAAGTTCATCGCGCTATACAAAACTTCCGGCGATGAGACTTTGCATCTTTTTTTACATCCGTGGAAGCACTCTTTCTTTTCATAGACTTAAAAAGCGTACCCCCTGGTGTAGAAAGAGAGGCCACATGAAGTGACCTCGGCAGTAGCCAATCGTGCTAATCGGAGGTGCGGGGGAAGGACAACAAACTAAACACAAAAAAGCAGTTCCAAAGAAATACGTTTTCAATCTAGATTTGAAGGGGGCATAGCTCCAGTGGCTTCCTAATATCGGAAGGAAGCGCATTCCTGGCGGCTGCAGGAGCGCATCTGAAAGCGCGCGATGCGCTGACCGTCTTTGTTCGATGGCCCAGCCAAAAGCGGCTGCTGCTGCTGCTGCGAGGATGACCGGAATCCGCGTGATGGTTTGCGCTCCTTGACGATGATAATGATGACGATTACAATGAAGAAACATACCGCGCGACCCACTGGGTCCCGACAGCCCAGGCTCCCCCTGGTCGCCTTTCTCTCCTGGTGCTCCCGGCGCCCCATTGATGCTCCGGATAGCTGTGACAAAAACAACGAACCGGGTAGAGGGGTCACACCGGCGACGTACACAGGAGCGGAGCCAGGGGGGGTGACAGGGGTGACATTCTGCGTTATAATTGTACGACACTCGGTCTGGCGGACTCCGTGCAACTGCATCGTCAGAGTGTGTCGCCAACCGATGGCGTCTAGTTCAACAGCCTGACTCTCTAAATCGTTCTTGAAATTAACATTTGTTGAATGTCACCCCGGCCTGAAATCCTGGCTCCGCCCCTGGACGTACAGAATGGCACACGGGAAACTGGCAAACTGTACGTTCAGATTCGATATCGCGGCCGAGCAAAGAATTAGAGGCTGTAGGGGATGACAGAGATTCAGTGATTAATGCTGTAAATTTCACATTGAATGCGCTATGAAGAAGCTTGGCCATTGCCCCAAAATGCACCCGATCGTGATGTCTTCCCCGTTTAAGGCCACAGGTGTTGTTTATGTTTTGTTTATTTGCGATTTTTGCACCGCTGCTGACGCGGCAGTGTCACCAAATGAGCCGCAAGATCTAATATTTCATCTCTTTTAAGTTGTTGAAAAAAAAGCCCAGTCTTTTCTCAGCCAATTTTTCCAATCCAATTCAATCTTTATTTCATCCGGAGATGGAAACGTGGGATGTGGTTGGTAACCACTGTAATAAAGGATTTTCAGCAAAAATATGATCGTGTAATATAAAAAACAATCATCGTCTGGCCGCCAATATTTAGCTCAATGATCATGAAGTTTGTGAATGAGCCATCCAATGAGATGTAGTCTCTAAAACAGCGATGGAGAACCGACGGCCCATGGGCTTGATATGGCGCGCAACTTCATTTCACACCGCCTGTGGCGATACGAGGCCCTTCCACATTGAAACGACCCTCAAACAACATGCGTCTTCATCATAAACCCTCAAACAACAGTTGTCTTCATCATAAACCCCATTATAACATGTGTCTTGTCAGTGCAAGCATCTCAGCCGCACTAATCGGGCAACATTTTCGACGACAGCAGTACGTTTCTTATCTGCGCGCCGCGCTCAGTCAATTCTGTCACCGCACGGGCCTCTTTGCAGGGACAGTGGCGACAGTCAAGGTGTGTGGGTGTGTGTGTTACGTTCGGCGCAGGGTCCCCGTGACTCACATCTCAGGTACTCCTGTATCTCGACGATGTTGTGGATCGTGCCAGGCACACCAGGGGAGCCAGGCACCCCTGGACGCCCACGGGGCCCTTGGGGTCCTTGAATTCCTCCGTAGCCCTGGTAGTCTGTGGGGGGGGGGAGGGGGGTGGTGTTTTTAAAGAACAAAACAACAGCCATGTTTAACATAGGGGATAATTGGCAGAACCCTCCTGAAACAAGTCTTGAGGCTTTCCTGGGTAAACAAGTGCAATAAATCACAAATGCGAACGGAAACATTTACACCAACTGAGATATAATGCGTCCGGTATAGATGTATGTATGTACGTATGCCGAGCTTCTTTCGTTAGATAAGCCAATGTTCGGTGCTCGAAGGATGAGCAGAGGGCTCGAGAGGTCGGGGCAGTACCGCGCGTCCGCTGGCAAAGCGTCATCAAACTAACGGACCAGGCGGGAGTAGCGAGAGGTCGGAGAAGACCAATGGACGAGTCGGAGGCAGCGGTGTAGCGTCAGCAGGCGCGTCCCGACTATCGCGATGTGCAGCACAACCCCCAGCAGCTACCTGTACTCCAGCTGCTTCCACCGCCAGAGCCAGGTGGTCCGGGTGGGCCGGGCGGGCCGGGCGGCCCTGGGATGTACTGCACAGACGACTGCTGTGAGCCACGATTGGAGGAACCACTCGAGAAGCTGCCACCACCGCCGCCACCGCCGCCACCACCGCCGTTCCTGCCACCGCCTCCATTGCTGCTGCTACTGCTGCTACTGCTGCTGCTGATCTCTCTCTGAGACACCGACCAGCTCTGCTGCTGCTCGAGCTCTCCCACGCCGACCATGATGGAAATGTCCTCGTCCGGCTGAGCGCCGTGAGTGGCGTCTGCGAGCGTGTGGGGGGCACGGGAGGGGGTGGGCACGGGGGGGGGCACGGGAGGGAGTGGGCACGGGGTGTGGGGGGCACGGGAAGGGGTGGGCACGGGGGGGGGAGGGGAGTTGGGGGACACGGACGGGAAGGAACAAGTTATGCGCCATTCCGCGAGATCAGACGTACGTACATTTGGATGCGGGTATCAATTTCGAGCAGTGATTCTTAACCTGGGGTGCACGCAGCCCCTGGGGGTGCGAGATGCCCTTTCTGAGAACCAAAGGGGTGCAGACTGCAGTGAAGCTTCAGAGCCACTGCTTTAGAGATATGCGAGAGACGTGGGTAGTGCTCGGCTACGGTATTGCAGCCGACTGGGACTGTAGTTTTTGAGCGAGAAGAAATGGTCGTGAAATACCACGGTGTCGGACGTACTGCGACCAGATGATTTCATTTCATCCGTTCTGCGTGGGTGATGAGTCTCCGGTGTTTGGTTTCGTGCCCTCGAGTAAAATCATCCCACATTCGGTGCGGTTGCTTTTAACGTGGGCGATTGCTTGGCATTTCATTTGCCAAACATTACTCTCGAGATATAACTATAATCATTATTTCATCGATATAAATGAGTTATTCCGAAAACGAAACTTGAGTGTGTTTAAGAGAAAATTTAACAATTATATTCATCACCTTTGCCAACCCTCTGCTGGTTGAGCCCCATGCAGTGCCAGTCGTAGGGGTTTGTTCGAACATACTTCACCACCACCACCACGCTGGTCCTTGTGGATTGGGGTGGCACGGTGGTGAGATGTTAACTACCTCGCCTGGTCTACAGGATGTCGTGGGTTCGATCCCGACCCTGACGCCTGCTGTATATTTGGAGTTTGCAGTGTCTCTCCCCCTCGGTCGTGTGGATTTTGCTCCGGGTCGTCCGGTTGTTCCCTCCACATTTAGAATCTACATCACGCGCTATAAATGTCCACACGATAAGCCACTTCGTTGAGCTATCATTTGTGGCCAGGTCGCGTCTGAAAAAAAGAGCTGTATAGCTCAGGGGGCTTTACCTTGTAAAAATGTAAAATAGTAACAAAAAAATAAATAGTGAAGGTGAGGCCTGAGAACGATTTAGATACCACTCACTGCTGACGTTAACGGAGGCCGGGAATCTAAACTCAGGTGGCCGGGTGCTCACCACTGCACCTCCACTTACCGCCATACAGCTCTCATAATTACAACATGCGCTTATATTACATGGAGAGATCGGACAGCAGATCGTGTTGTTGTTATTGTGGCCTGGAGGAGGGAGGGGGGGTGGGCAGGGTTCATTGTGAAGGGGGCTCGCTTGACTTAAAGCAGCAGTAACGTGATCTCTGGAGTTGGTTCAGTGTCCGTGTGGCGAGGGGGTTCATAATGAATTACCTCTGCCAGGGCGGCCAGGAATTCCTGGAGCACCGGGTACCCCGGGAGAGCCAACGTCTCCTGAAGGAACAAACAGAAAGGTTCATCAAGTGCACACACACACACGTCTTGGTTTCGTTAGGTGGGCGGCTACGTTGTTGTGCATTCAACGACTCTCTAGACACCTGAAGCTAATCCGTGCCGTTCAAGCCGTGGTTGGCAAACAGACAGTTTAACACATCGGCTTTCTGGGTTAGATCGCGTAAATGTATAAATGTGTCGTTAAAACCCGCCACCACCCGACACGGCCAACTAGTAAGGGTTGTCACGTAAACAGAACGTGGCCAATTCGTCACTAGTACAGCACACCGGTGTGTTGGAGAGCCAAGCCACAACATTTACAATCGGAGTACGACGTTTCGCCAGTAATTACAACTAGCTTCATCAGGCGACAGCCAGATTTGTGGAGAAGTCCTCCTGTTTCGTTCCTTATATAGAAGCGCAGCTGTGTGGTCACCACTATATTATGGTTGGATTCATAGCGCGGGTGCGGCGAGTACAGGAGCAGGGGGAGGGGGACAGAGGACGACCGCACGCCGTCGTCCGGATGCGTGGCAGCAATGGCAGAGCCAGGATTTTCAGGTGGGGGGGGGGGGGCAACCCCTCCAGCAATAAAAAATGATAGAGGAGTTGTTAGGAAGCAAGAACCGCGTTGTGTGATCGGCATCGCACTCGCTGAAGGTGTCGATGCCTTCAAGGAAGTCGTGTACTGTATACGCAACTGCGCACAATTCTGTGAGTCACTTATAACTGCTTTGCCGTTACTTATTGCCAATTATTATGGTCCGATCGAAATTAGGGATTTCGATCGGATCATTGGGGGGGGGGGGGGGGGCACGTGACACCCCCACCCGCCCGCCCCCACTGGCTCCGCCAATGCGTGGCAGGATTGTTGCAAACGAAGCTGTGGCTTGGTGGCTGATACATTCGGTGGGGCCGGTGCAGGCATCGCAGAAGCTGGGGGGGGAGGTGTGGGGCTAGAGTATGGCTCCTTGCCACGGGTGCCAACATGCCTACCTTACCACGAGTGCCAACATGCCTACCTTACCACGGATGCCAACATGCCTACCTTACCACTGGTGCCAACATGCCTACCTTACCACGGGTGCCAACATGCCTACCTTACCACGGGTGCCAACATGCCTACCTTACCACTGGTGCCAACATGTCTACCTTACCACTGGTGCCAACATGCCTACCTTACCACGAGTGCCCACATGCCTACCTCACCACGAGTGCCCACATGCCTACCTTACCACGAGTGCCCACATGCCTACCTTACCACGGGTACCAACATGCCTACCTTACCACGGGTGCCAATACCACTGGTACCAACATGCCTACCTTACCACGGGTGCCCACATGCCTACCTTACCACGGGTACCAACATGCCTACCTTACCACGGGTGCCAATACCACTGGTACCAACATGCCTACCTTACCACGGGTGCCCACATGCCTACCTTACCACGGGTACCAACATGCCTACCTTACCACGGGTGCCAATACCACTGGTGCCAACATGCCTACCTTACCACTGGTGCCAACATGTCTACCTTACCACGGGTGCCAACATGCCTAGCTTACCACGGGTGCCAACATGCCTACCTTACCACGGGTGCCCACATGCCTACCCCTTGCCAACGTGCCTAGCTACAGCTCTGAGTGTGCCAACCACCGCGCCCCTGCTCCACCCCACATCACGCTGAGTCGTTCCGAGCGGAATGCCTCGAGTACCTTTGTCTCCTGCAGGCCCGGCGGGGCCTGGGGGTCCCTGCACGCCAGCGTAATGTCCGCCCAGGCCGGGGGCCCCCGTGTCTCCCTTGGGGCCCGGGATGCCCGGAGTGCCCGGAGGCCCTGGCGGCCCCGGGGGCCCTTGCTCTGCTGCGATAAAAAAAACGGCGACGTCAACGGATCAATGTGCGGGGGGCCGGGTGGCCCACGAGTCGTGGTGCTGCCCACGGTCATTCGGCAGGGGAGGAACATGAGCTTCAGTCCGCCCGTGATTCTCAAGTGTAGGGAGTTGATGTATTATGTATAGCTGTATAGTGTCTAGTAGTAGCAGTGGGGGAGCGGTAGTGTAGCGGTTAGCGCACTGCACTACGAAACCCGTCGACCCGAGTTCGATTCCCCGCTCACGGCCAATGAGAATTATCTGAAGGGGACATGGGCCTCTCCTAGGTCAACTCAGCCTTAAATTAGTACCTGGTGCAGTGCGTAAACACCGCCACTGGGGAGACAAAAGGTGGACGGGCATGGTGTTGGCCACCCACCCCCTTGTGTGCCGTTCCGGGCCTTCATAGGTGCTCGCTAACAGCACTTGCCCCAAGTCTGTTAAGGCTATGTGGGGGATATTTGTCTTTGTTTTGTTGAGTAGTGTATAATATATTGTAGTCTATATGTATGTACGTGTGTGTGTTAAACTTATTTTGCACCATACGTAGCCAACCGTGCTAATCGGAGGTGAGGGGGAAGGACAACAAACTTAAACACAAAAATAAATTCAATAGAAATGAGTTGTCACGGCCAAATCTCTGACACACCACGCGGCCCATACCTCTGTAGCCTTGGCCAGCAAATCCTGGAGCCCCTGGGACACCGGCTTCTCCTGCAGAGAGACAAAACCGTACCCAGTCAGGCACCGTGACTGCACACAGACACAATGCTTGCGTTTGCACTAGTGGGTGGTAGCACGCCCCAGCGGTGGCGCGTCTTGACCACACTTCTCCACGCCGGTTCACCGCGGCTCAGCGAAGGCGGGGAGCATAGACGTTGGGCCATAGTAGAGTACGACAAACGGCTTTGCTGCCCTGCCCTCTGCTGAACAGCGCATCGCTCCGCAGGAGCAGCGGCCTATGGCGCTGTCACGTGCGTGGTGGTCGTCCATCGAGACTCCATCCTCGCTCGGCCGTTGCGATGTGACGAGATTGGGCGCGTCTCGGGTGGTTTGGCCACAGGCTCAACAAGTGAGGCGATCGGCAACAAGTGAATGAGCGAGGGAGAGGTTTGGGGCCGCTGTCTCTCTGTCTGGCTGGCTGGTACGTACCTTTCTCTCCAGTCTGGCCTGGACTCCCAGGCATTCCTGGTAGTCCCATTTGTCCTGCAGAGCAACATCAACACGCCAATGTTTATTTGTACAAGGACATGGTGTACTTCCTTTCGTACGAACGTGTCTCGAAGTTTGATTTCGCTGGGGGATTTTCAACGCACTAGAATTATGACCTTGCTACAGAGTGATTTTTTAAAAGTTGTATAATAACTGCTTTATGCCACGTTACAAAAACACGACAGAAGAGAGAGAAAAACACATTAGGTTACTAATTTAGCAGCTTACATAACACAGAAATTACTTGGTCGGCGAATACTACATAACAATTGCATGTGTTAAGCGCTACCTAACTATGAATCAAACTCTGTGTTGGCTTGTGCTGCTGTGTGAGATACAATCACACGTGTAAACGCGATACTAACGTTTAAAGCGATGATGATGACATTGCTATATGTATTTATGTTGAACTTCTTTCGTGTCGTACAAAGCCAACCACGCTGATCGGAGGCGATGATGATGATAATCAGTTTCTGTGCAGATTTACTTTGATTTGATGATTTATGCCATTCTAAGTTCACATTCAAGATGTCAAGCGAAGAAATTACCCAGCCCACAGCGAGCGTCATACTAAACCGGTCGCTGGATTTACAACTTAGATATCAATTTAGTGTCGCTACTCTAGTCACATCCAAGCAACGGAGAGAGAGCGACCACAAAATCATTCATGACCCCCCTAGACTCCACATTCACGAGGTACAAAACAAAACCCCGAGTGCGAAATCGAGTTTCCAGCCCAGCAGCAGAAGAAGTAGCAGCAGCGGTAGCGGCGGCGGCGGCGGCAGCAGCACATTTCTGCAGTATTTATTTGTGCTCGCGCGTGTGTCAAATCGGGCTGACAACTTGATGACGCGCGCGTTCAAGGGCTCGATCTGTCAGCCGCGCTGAGTTATGGGCGCAGGCATCTTTAGGGCGGCCATCTCACCTGATGGTCCCGGCGAGCCGCGGTTGCCTGGAGGGCCCATCGGGCCTTCGCGAGAAATTCCTGCGAAGGCACGGACACGCACGGTCGTTACCGGGGGGCTGTCACATGGCAGCTCTTTACCGCAAAACCTTGACGGTGGTGATCCACTCGGATCGTCACTGCTGGGATGCGTTGCATACTCAAGCCAAGTGACGCATCAAGGGGAGCCTCGCTGGAGGCTTATTCCGGTTTGTGGGTCGTAGTCCAGCTTCGTGGGTTCACAGGCTGGGTTTGTGGGATCTTAGTCCGAGTGTCTGATATAAGGAAGGTGCTGCGGTTTTTTTAATCAGTCTAAATATGTATTAATAATCTCTCATGCATTTCAAACTGTAACTTTTTACAATTTTGTGTATCTCAAATTTTTATGATGGGAAGCGCTCGGTGATTATTTTATTGTGAAGGGCGCTGAATTAAATAATGAAGTTTGATTGATTTTAGGAGGTTCCTGGATTGCATCGTTTGGCCAATTCCTCCTCCCTTCCCAAATTTCTGGATTAATATTCCATTCGTGTGGCACTGTTTGTACGTATATATTATATCGCATGTTCTGCAGGTGTTTAATGGTGCGTCAGTTCATTTATATCGAAAAGCGTTTTTTGCAATCTGATGCCTCTGTGAAACAGTGGTCTAGGTTGTCTCAATGGGTTCTCTCCTGGTTGACGTGAACTTATAATTCATAACTACCATTACATACCCCTTAAATAAATACATTTACTTCCCTTCTGTATCTTCACATGAAAATAAAAACGTACGTTTTAGTCAAATCAGCCTATTTGCCTTTACAGACTTATGATTAACCGGCAAACGTTTGTTTTACTCTGGACCGGGTTTCGCCCATCTGGGCCTCATCGGCAGAGCGACGCTCGTCCAGCAAACGCTGACGTTTTACGAGCCGCTCGTTCTTGGTGAGAGTTCTCCCCCTCAGCCGACGCGGCCCTCTCGGGAACGAGCAACCGACACGATCCTAAGCCGACACGATCCTAAGCCGACACGATCCTAAACCGACTCGCTCACCTGGTGGGCCGGGTGGACCGGGGGGACCTGGGATCTGCTGCTGCACCTGCTGCCAGTTTTCACTCGCTGCGGGGTAAAAGCACGAGAACACCGGCACGGGAGTCAACCGCGGGCGGGCCGTAGATTTTGCTCAGGCCGGCGACTCAGGACAGGGGTTGTAAACGCGGCCATCCCAACGGCGTTGCGCACGCAGATCAAAATCGGACTCGATATTTACGCTGGAGGAATCCGATGAGCTATGTAAAGCTCTTTTTCACGGATGTCCAGTAGGGGTTGGGGGGGGGGGGTCAGAAAGTTACAACAAACAATGCGGACAAAAAACATCGGAGTGCAAAGTGTGCAAAGTGTAGGAAAGGTAAGTGTGGTGGTCACGTGACAACATGCATGCAAGGCATGATGGGAATCGTGCCTTCCCTGATGTCTGTGAGCAGCACACCGTTGCATGTTGTTAAATCTGTTTCCAACCTGCACGCGTTTTCCCGTTTATTTTACACCATTTAGTCACAGTTTCCCCCCCCCCTCCAACAAACCCATCCTGGGCCACCGCTAGGTCCACTCAGCCTTAAATGCGTACCTGGTGTGTTGTATTAAACATCAGCACCGCGGTGCTCACCACACCACCCCTTTGTGCGCAGCGCCGGGCTCAATCGGTGCTCGCTTACGAGCACTCGCCCCAAACGGTCCGTAACTCTGAGCACCTTTGCCTTCCGTGTGTTTGCGCGTCGCCTTTCGGCACAACGTTACTCACATGAAAATCCTGGAAGTCCTGGAGGGCCTGGAGGTCCCACGATGGTCTCACCTGGAAGAGGGGGAGAAACAAAACGTCAAACACCTTCACTCACTCGGTTAGCCAGCGCGAGCGGAGCAAACGGGGGCGAGCGAGCGAACCGCGTGGTTCTACGTTGCCCCGCAGCTCTCCGATGAGAAACCGTCGGGCGCGATGCCCGACGGTTTTTTTTTGCCGAGACCTCCTTTGGGAACTTCTCCCGGCACCGAACCTCCCGGGTTCAGCAGAGCGGAAACGTCCAACGGCGCTCCGAACCGGAGCTCGCTGCAATGCCCCCAAACGCGTCGGGGCAGTGTCCGCTCGCGGTTCTTTTCTGTTCTTTCCGCGGGCAGGCCCGGAGTCGGCTCACGGTGACGGGGCGGCCGGCCACGGCGCGTCTCTCCAAACAGAGCCGTGGTGAGCGGCCATCCACCCCCGTCTCGTGCTGCTGCGCCGGCCTTCGTGGGTGCTCGCTAACAGCACTTGACCCCAAAGGTCTAGTCAGGCTACGCGGGGGATCTTTGTCTTTGTTTTGTATAGTAGTGTATAGTGTAGTGTATATGTATGTACGCGTGTGTGTTAAACTTCTTTCGCACCGTACGTAGTCAACCGCGCTAATCGGAGGTGCGGGGGAAAGACAACAAACTAAGCACAAAAATTCGTCCGAAAGAAATTTGTTGTCACGGCCAAATCTCTGACACACGCGGCCATTACCTCTGTCGCCTTGGCCAAAAGTCTACTTAGGCTATGCAGGGGATCTTTGTCTGTGTGCACCCGTTATACACGCGTGAAGGAATCAATGACATACAATGTACGTTCATAACGTGCGATTGTTACCTGAAGGCTTACGGCACGAAAACAAAAAAGCGAAAAACGTACGGATGACACAAAAGCGAGAAAGGAAAACAATACAAACGAGACGACAGAAATGAAACAAAATTCAATGCATGCTTGAAAGTAATTGCCACCCCCGGGGGAATGGTGCCATCGCGCGCCCACCCGGCGCAGCACACCATCGCAGCACACCGTCGCAGCACACCGTCGCAGCACACCGTCACAGCACACCGTCGCAGCACACCATCGCAGCACACCGTCGCAGCACACCGTCGCAGCACACCGTCACAGCACACCATCACAGCACACCATCACAGCACACCATCACAGCACACCATCACAGCACACCATCGCAGCACACCATCGCAGCACACCATCACAGCACACCATCACAGCACACCATCACAGCACACCATCACAGCACACCATCACAGCACACCATCACAGCACACCATCGCAGCACACCATCGCAGCACACCATCACAGCACACCATCGCGGCACACCATCACGGCACACCATCGCCTTTCAGCTGGCAGCTAGGGTGAGCGCAACGCAACTATGCTTGCCGTACGCCTTTGCAGAGTTCATCCTCCGGATACGCGGGGTGCAAAGGTGCGGATCTACGAGACGATCGTCTTACCCGGGGGACCTGGCGGCCCTGGTCTGCCCGGAGGACCCATTGGGCCGTCGCGTGTAATGCCTGCGAATGCACGGACACGCGCCGTCGTTAAGGGGACACGGATGAATGTCGGCCGACATTGAGCTGTACGGAAACAAGCCCGCTCGTCGTTTCGTTGCGTTTATGCGTTACCCAGTTACGCGTCGAACCAGGACCCATATCGAACGGAGAAGAGTCCATGCCTCGATGTGACATTTTAAAGCTGTTTCATGAGAGTTGTTGGATTGAAGACGATGCCTTACTGGTGTCCGAGGAGTAGCCTGGCTGTCCGGGAGGCCCGGGAGGCCCGGGAGGCCCGGCCGGTCCCTGCTCGTACGAAACTGAACTGGAAGCTGAGAAGGGAAAAATGCACACGGATTTAGATTTTTGTCGTTGTCCTTGTCCCCATTTTTATCCCTAATTGTGACTTGACCGAAAGACTCAAGAGTATGAATTCCTGCAGTCACAAAAGCTTTAAATCAAGATTTGTACTCTTAAGGACAACAAACTACAAACACGAAAATCCGTCCTGAAGGAATGACTTTTTCAATCTAGATGTAAAAGTGCATAGCTCCACAGGCTTACTAAGGAAGAGCGTCTCTCAGCGGTAGCTCAAGGAGCTACGGCTGAGACCAGCACTTCAGCACTTCGTCAGCCAACCTGCCAGAGGGCGGCGTTTGTCGCTTGAAAATAACCCAAATTGTGTAAAGGACCAAATTTCACGTGGTGTGTTTAAAAAAAAAATTCTTGAATTGTTTTGTGGTTGGATTTCTATTGCTGTCTAACTGCATGTGTGTGCGTCTTTTTTTGTGACCTCTGGGTCAAAAATCCTTAAGAAGTGTAAATTATCATTATTATTATTTGGCTGATGTAAATTTCCACGTGATAAGCCACTTCATTGAGCTGTCATTTGTGGCCAGGTCGCTTCTAAAAAAAGAGAAGCTAATCGCTCAGTGCGCTTTACCTGGTAAAATGTATTGTTTTAGTGATTCGCTTATCTTTCATATACTTTGCACTCCTATCGTGTTTTTGCATTGGTTGTTGTTCTTGTAACTTTCTGACCCGACCCCCTTACTGAACGCGGATGAAAAAGAGCTCTATATCTCATCGGATTCCTCCGGTATAAATAAACATTATGATTCTGTTGCGCGTGAGAAAACTTCCGACTCGTGATTTTACCTGCAGAGCGGCCCGTCGCGCCTCTCTCTCCTTGCTCGCCCATTTCGCCTTTGAATCCACGGTCGCCCTTCTCGCCCTTCTCACCTGCAGGGAGCACAGGTGCGGCCGGGTTGTGACCTCACCGCGCAGACTCACACGTGTCTAACGTGCAGCAGCAGCAGCAGCCCCTATTTGTGGGTGAGGGCCTCCCCCCACGCTGTGTGGCTCATAGGGGGGGGTAATCTGACCATACTTCACCACCCAGGTGACAGGGAGGGTCGGTGAAGGCGTTGAGCATAGAGGTGTGCGCCGCGGCACAGTACAACCACGGATTTTACCGCACTGTACTATGCTCACAACATAGCCCCAAAGCAACAAAAGCAGCAGCAGGAGCCTGTAGCACCTGCTATTATGCACGATGGTTGCCCATTCTTGCACTATCCAGGCTCAAACCTGCTTACCTTCCGAGTTCTGACTTGATGGTGATTTGGTCATAGGCTGAAGGCAAACAGGTAACTCAAAATGTAGAGTTTCTTGTATTGGAAATAGTGAGCCAGAATTTTTCAGGTATGTTTTCCTTAGGTTTGATAATAAATGACCGCGCAATTGTAAATCCGCTTACCTTGGATACCCTGGCTGCCAGGAGGACCGATGGGACCTGAAAAGCAGAGCAGCATTTTGCAACTTCTGTGAAAATCACACAAACGGCTAATAACCACGTTCGAACAATATTAACCAGCATTCAGCAACGACAGAGGAGGCATCCTCGAAATACATTGCAAGTTTGTAACGTTAACACGTTCAAAGTCTGGCCTTGTAGCCAATCGCTTCATGATAATTCTAATCCTAGTGTTCTTGGACTCGGCTAAATGGCTTTTTTTTTACTGCGAAGACATAAACGCCGTTGGCTGGTTTTCGTTACGGTGGACAGGGCATGTACCACGTGATCATAACTTTAGTCATAAAGTTGCGAGCTCGAATCCCAGTTGTTCAAATGTTTGTGGAGAGGTCAGCAGTGGTTGTCGTATGGAAATTCCACATTCCTATGGCCCCCACCCATAGGAATGTGGAATTTCCAGCACTGGATTGGGGCCTGTATACAGTAGACGAGTGCTGCCCCCGTGCTCATTTTAGCAGAAAAACCACGTAGACTTTGTGTTTTATTTTCATTTTACAAGGCTCCATCTACCAGTGGAGAGAGCAGGTCACACCATACCTGGGAATCCTTGCATGCCGGGCAGACCTGGCGACCCTGGTGGACCTGGGGGCCCGGGAATCGTGATCGTCTGAGCATTTCCTGCAATTCACAACCATTAACAGGGTGAAATCACGATGATTTTTTTTCTCGGTTCACGCTGTCGACGTAATCTGCACGTCCGTCGCGCAACCATCAGTAGATAGATAATGGCTGGTGATGATGATGACCATAAAAGGAAGTGATCGGTTTGCAGAAATCGCGTGCAAAATCGTACAAAGTTCTCGTACCTCCTTCACTGATAACGCTGCCAGGGCTGCCAGGTTCTCCTGCGAAGTGTAGAGAGAAAATTAAGTTCGAGGACACCTGCTCTTCTCTCTCTCAGTGCGTTCCTGGGACCCGTGGGCACAGGCTCGGAAGTGCACATGCATCAATAGACTCTCGAGCACGAAGGGGTGCAATGCTTAACACACGCGCGGGATCACGATGAGCGACAGAGAAAAAAAGACAAGAGGAACACAGACGTCAGATTGACTTTGAGAAAAGTACGTTGGGTTTGGGTGGGACACGTCGCCAGAAGGGGCGGACGATGGTCGATGGTCGAGACTAACGACAGAGTGACAGCCAAAGGAGGAAAAACACGCTCGAGAGGATGCCTCCCCCAGAAGGGATGGAGTGATGAAACCCATCTGCGTGCAGGGAAATTGATGGATTGCTTCATCGCTGGACCGTGATGAATGGCGGTGACTTGGGGGAGGTCGTCGTTCAACAGCGGATAGACCGTGCCTAAATATGGTGATTGAGATTATTTTTGTGTGTGTATACCTCTGAATCCAGGCTCTCCCTGCACTCCAGGCCTTCCCGGTTCTCCTGCGAGGCCTGCGATGTTTGGAGAGCAAAGGGTTAATGATGCACACTTAGCAGCCAGCAGCGGCAGCGCTACCTGATATCAGTTTTATCTGTTTAGCGAATGCTGTTAGACGTGACGAACAGAGCCGAGCAAAAAATACACAGCAAGAAAAATATAGTTATTCAAAAAAGTAAGACGTCAATGTAAAATCCATTATATTTTGTTGGGTGTAAGTTGTTATTGTCATTGCATACGTTGGACTGTACGCGATAGAGATTGTGTACTGAAAACGTCAGAAGTGAAAATATAAATGACAAATGAAATTAGAATTATGAAATAGTGAATTTAAAAAACAATGTATTTAGCCATGTTAAAGTGAACACTATGCATCACCAAACACATATTTAAGAAAATATTTTGATGCAAAATGAATTATAATTTATTTGTCACGTTTACAAAAGATGTGTAAGGATGCACCCCCGGCCAAGGAATTGATGAATAGTCACGATTCGATTCGATAATGGGATGATTTTTTAAATGAACACTATGGTGATTATATTCTTGGTTCTTTCGGTAAAGTCACGTTAGAAGGGAAACAATAAAATAATAAAAATATAAAACAATAAAATTCTCACGATGTTTCGACTGCAACACAAGCAGCAATCATCATCAGGCGTGAAAACCACAGCAAGAAAAATTTGAAAAAAGTGGCGTGGGGGTCCTGCCCTGTAGCGGCCACGAGTGGCTGCAGGGGTCACGCCGAAGCCATTCCGTACGTGCAATATAAACACGAAACAAAGCACATCGATTCTCACGCGCGCAATTCGATGCGTGCGTTGTTATTTAACGATCGTTATCGATCGATGAATCGAAGTATGGCTTACACCCCTTATGGGCGATACAACTGCTGTTGATTAATTTTCTGAAGTGTGCAAAATACCTGGCGGTCCGGCCACTCCTGGCGGTCCTACAGAGAAAACAAAAACAGCATCATATCGGTCCTTGGCAAGGCCCAGGTGCAGGGCCGGATTATGGCATCGCTGGCAACCCTTAGCTGTGTCAAGCGAAGGCTTCGTAAATCGAGGCATGCCTGCATATTGTTAGATCGGAATGAAAATAACCGTTTTAGATCAAGTCTTTTTTTCCCTATCGCCTCTATTTTTCAACGAACTCTTGTCATAAAACTTGAAACTTCGTATCATTATTATTATTTGTTCGTATTTTATGTATACGTATGTTGAACTTCTTTCGCAGCGTACGTAGGTGCGGGGGAAGGACAGCAAACAAAACAAAAAAAGCAGTTTTAAAGAAACTAGTTTTTACTTATTTCAGATTTAAAAGTGCATAGCTCCAGTGGCTTCCTCATATCGGAAAGAAGAGTGTTCCAGACGGCCGCAGAAGAAAATCTGAAAGAGCGTGATGAGGTGATCGTCTTTGTTTCAATGGCCAGCCAAAAGCCGCTGCTGAGAGGATCACTGGAGTTCGTGTGATGGTATTTAGAGGCCTCTCATAACGCGAGGCCCTAAACCCATAGCTTACTTAGATGATACCTCAACCCGGCCCTGCCCAGGTGCCGCCGCTATTCACGTTCACGCCGCCCCAAATAGACTAAGAAGAATTTTACGGTGATAAGAGCTGGGCCAGAGGCGGAGTGGTGAGTGAGCTATAGTGGTCAAAGAGATGGTTTGACCATACTTCACCCTGCTGGTGAGTAATGGATGGAGAAGGGGGTGAGGGTGACCCAGGACATGCTTCGATGTCAATCGCCACTCATGTAGGCCATGGATTCATAGCGTGGTGTGCTAACCACTGTGCCACCGCTCCGTGCAAAACAGGAACACAGAGCAGCATTGCTCAATGACAGTCCTCGCGACGGCCAACCACGGGACAGCTTTTTCTGATTACCAGACATCGAGAGGGGCACCACGGTAGCGAGATGTTAACTACCTCGCCCGGTATGCAGGTGGTCGTAGGTTCGATCCCAACCCTGATGCCTGCTGTATATTTGGAGTTTGCGTGTCTCACTCTCTCTCCCCGTGGTCACGTGGATTTTTCTCTGGATCCACCGGTTTTCCCTCCACATTTAGAAACGTGCGTTTAGAGTATTTGACCGCGATACATTTCCACGTGATGAGCCACTTCGTTGCGCTATTATTTGTGGCCAAGTCGCTTCTGTAAAAGAGCTGTATAGCTCAGTGGGCCTTACCTGGTAAGATAAAAAAATACTTTTGTTGAAATTGTTTTAGAGAGCAAGCAGTGGTACACACACGGCCTTGTGTTGCGCAATAGCGGCAACCAGGAAGAGGCAAACTGGGTGAAGGTCGCGAGGAATGGAGTTGAGAAACACCAATTCAGGGCAACAAACAAAACAACGCAACGCATTTGTCAATGACGCGGTGGCCTGGGAGAGGAGGGTGTGAATAGACACAGAGGGAAGAGACAGGAGGAGGGTGTTGTGTGTGTGTGGAGTCCTGTTTCTGGCAGTGCTGGTTTAAGCTAGTGTGGGGTCTGTAGCATATATTACAAAATGGCCGTAAATTTTAAAAAACACATGAATATATATAAAAAAAATTGTACTTGCATAGTAAAGTAATTGCATTTTTTTTATTTGATATACAGCCAGATAATGACAAATCGCTAACCTTAAACACCCTGTCGTTCATAAAAGTTGAAGGCAATATAGTACTATAGTAATAGAGCAAGTGCAGAATCGATAGCTTGAAAGCATTTAATGCGAGGCCCTTGAAAGTGCGGGGCCCGTAGCATATGTATCTACTTTTGCTACGAGGATAATCCGGCACTGGCTGCCGGTGATGTCTCTTACCTTTTGGTCCGGGTTCCCCTGGCTGTCCATCCGCCCCACGCTTTCCAGCACTGCCCGGGTTGCCAACCTCTCCTGCGGGAACAATGTGAGGAATAATGTCTAAGTAAATAACAAGATTCAGTTTTTAACCCAAGGAAATGTAGTTCGCTGTGCTTTGCATGCCGCTGGTAAACACGTGTGATTTTTTTCAAGATGTGAAATAAAAATGAGCAAATTTCAAAAGCATGGGTGATTCCACAGTAAAGGAGTTACAAAGCCCCATGCGAGCATTATCAGACACGGGGATGGAGTGCGATCTTCTATGCGGGGCAGTGACATGCCATGTAAGAACATTTAGAGGCTTATACAGTCCACGTTTGACGCGAACGATCAATTTTGCGATCATCAGGTTCCTCGCCACATACTGTCATCACTTTTAACGTGGAACTGACCGACCGTTCGCGTACGCAGAATAGCAACGGAAGACAACGCGCACGCATTTTAACGCGTAAGTCGTGGAAAGTACCTTGTGGTCCGGGACGACCCGCCGTTCCAGGCTCGCCTGTGGGAGGCACGGCCAGCTCATGAGAGATCGAGTGAAATTCAGCTTTCTTTCGACTCCAGAGCAATAAGTACTTTCTCTATGTGTGCTTGCGGTAACGGTAGCATCCTAAATCAGTGAAGCACTAAATACATGTTCCACATGTACATGTAGAAAATACGCATTTGAGTACTGTGGCAATTCTATTGATAACATGTGACATTACATTGTTTGAAATTATAAGGGTGCTATGAATCATTGATTTGGAAGCATGTCACAACCTGCTTCCACAAGGAAACTGGATGAACTGCCACGATTCAGGGTTACGACTCAGTTCGAGAATCGATGATATTCGTTGTAATTCTGTACCATCCGTTTTATATGTTTTTGTATATTTTTTTTTCCTATTGGATCGATTTTCATCGATGAATCACAGCATCGTCACATCCTTAGCAATTAACTCCGATGCAAATATCGTTTGCATAATTCCCGGTAAACGCGGAACGTTGGGCCGACTTTGGGCCAACAGTTTCATCCACATGCCAACGTCGGCCCAACGTTGCACGTTCGCTGGGTTCCTATAGCACCGAGGGTGGCCACCCTGTAACAGACTGAGAGCAAAAAAGTATCCGTGAGTTCTGCAAAGAGCCAAGTGTATACATATTTAGAGTTTTCGGCACAGCACGGGAGACATTAATTATCTCTTTGCCACTACTGTGATAGCGTGTTCTACGTTATGCCCCTTCCATAGAGCCGCGTGCGGTGGATTAAAGAGCCGCCAGTTGGCCAAACGCAGCACATCCTCTAGTGTGCGACAACGCGTGAAAATATTGAGAGAAAACAAAAAATCGTCACAATAACAACAACAACTCTGAATCACCTTTGTCGCCTTTTATTCCTGCTGAGCCTGCAGGGCCTATGGGCCCACGAAGTCCGATCTCGCCTGAAACGAGATCAAGCGAGGGCCCGTTTGAGGACAGAGAGACCGCAGAGGCCACGGGGAAACCGCGCACGCAAACATTTTCGCGTTGAATGCGACAAAAAACGCGGCGCGTTCAACAATTCAGGCTTCGTCCCATCTCATATATATATTTGTTTATTTTGCTTCTCGCTGCAAGGGTTAAACACGGCTCGCTCGCGGCCATTTTAAATGGTTGCTCGTCTGGTTATATTCACGCGCGCAAGCGTGCGCATTTTCACGGGCGATGCGGTCGACGCTTTTTCAAGAGCAGCATTTGAGAGAAGTGCTCACCTGCCAAACCACGCAGCCCTGCTTCACCTGCATTGCCTAACAATCAGAAATAAAATGACAACAAAAAACACAAAGTGAGACACACGGCCAAAGCAGCATAGCCGACTGATTTTGAAAAAAAAATATAGCCATGGAACAATGACTTTATAAGCACATTTACGTCCAGTCCTTTAAGCGCAGTCTGACTCACCTTTAACACCAGGACTGCCATTATCACCCCTGTCACCTGCAAACGAAGCACAACGCATCGGTAATCACCATTCACGTTTACGATAAATTCGTTCATTTCAACCGACGGGGCGGGGGGGTGGGATATGGGGGGTGGGGTGGGCACATATACGCCAGAGTGTTTTGGCTCGAAGTTTAATGTAACTTAGCAAAACATGAGACCCGAACTCTACCAGTGATTATTTAACTTACGGGCTCAATAATAATTGCATTTTATATAGCATCATTCATGCTGAACTTTCATGATATACAAGGACCAAATCCTATATTAAGCTACTACAGTGCAAATTAAAACCCAACCAAAATAAAAACATGTATAAACAATTCCCAAAAATTTGCACCGAAACAAAAAGCAGCACAAACACCAAAAAAGTGATCACAACAGATCAAATTGTTCACACATCACAGACCACGACCCCAACTTCCCGACCAAGCCAGGACACCTTCGAGGCAAATCGACATTCAAGTTAAAGTTTTGCGCGTTAAATCTTCCAAAACAGGTTCCGTACCCTTTGATCCTTTTTGTCCGGGCTCGCCTCTCTGTCCGGACGCTCCTGGCAAACCTGCGGCACAAGACAAGACGGGATGAGTGCCGGATTATCCCAGTAGCACAAGTAGCTACATATGTGGCTACGGGCCCCGCACTTTCAAGGGCCTCGCGCTAAATGCTTCCAAGCTATCGATTACGGTTCAGTGACTCTGCACTTGCTCTATTACTATAGTACTATACCGCCTTCAACTTTTACGAACGACTGAGCGTTTACGTTTAGCGATTTGTCGTATTATCTGGCTGTATAGCAAATGAAAAAATACAATGACTTTACTATGCAAATTAAAACTTTACGTGTTTTAATCTTTACGTGTTTTTTTTTTTTGTATATAGGGCCCCTTTATACCATTTGCTACAGGCCCCGCACTAGCTTCATCCGGCACTGGACGAGATGACGGGGGGGGTGGTGGTGAGCGAGAGGAGTGACGTGCCGTGCGCGCAGCTTCGTCAGCGCCGGCACTCTAGCGCTGACGCTGTGCTGCCTCCGTCCCCCACCCCACCGTGCATCTCCGTCGTGACGGGTGCAGCGCGGGGGGCAAGGAGGGTGGCCTCAGTCGCGGGGGGGGGGGGGGGGGGGGGGGGTGCAGGGGGTGCGGTCAAGAGTCCTCACCGTCAAATCCCGTGGAGCCTTTGTCTCCGGCAGAGCCTGTAACAGGCACACGAGCACAGAGTGATTCAACTAACGCTCAGCACTTTTATTTTACCAGGTGAGGTCCACTGAGCTATGCGGCTCTTTTATCAGCAGCGACCTGGTTACGAATGATAGCTCAACGAAGTGGCTTATCGCGTGCACATTTATAGCGGCCAGACACTCGAAAAGCGCGATGTTGATTCAAAACGTGGAGGGGAAAAACTGGAGGACCCGGAGAAAAAAATCCTTGCGACAAAATATACAGCAGCAGGCATCGTCAGGGTCAGGATCGAACCCACGACCTCCTGCATACCAGGCGAGGGCGTTAACATCTCACCACCATCGTCAATCACCCATGATCTAGCTGCTGTTGGATGAAGGCCTCAATTCTAATTGTATTTTTACATGTATTATTACCCTTGTTCACATCGAGTTCTCAAGACTCTTTTTTTTTTCTTCAGGAGGGTCCTGCTAAGTTATTTTTTTTGTTCGCATGAAGGGGCGACGTCGCTGGTTGTGTGTCGTCCCAAATGAGTAATTTGCAGCGTAGTTTTTAGCATATTTCGTATGGGTTGGCCAATAGCAGTTTCACTGCAGCCGGAGGAGAAACCCACGCAGAACACGGGGGGTGGGGGAACAAGAAACTCCGCATCGAAAGGCTCACGAGTTGTAACACAAGCGTGACCACTGTGCCACCCTGCCAATGTCCATCTTCAGTATTATTAATAAGCATTACACGCACGTGGGAATACGTAGGAATACGTGCGTGCGATACATTAGGTGCGCGCAAACATTACAATCGCACGTTCACTTGAATTCGTAGAAGACAGGCGTGTTAAGGAACGTTGCAGGCTCGTTGTTCTGTACGGGTTATGAATTCCGCGGTGTTTCCGGCTCACTTCCCGAGGAACGAATTCAACGGCGAAACAAATGATTTGGTGACGCTGCGGTTGCAGTGGTGCATAAGCACACATACTAACAAACAAATACAAACAAACAATTACTAACAAACCAAAACTCAATACATTGGTCAATGGCCTTAAAAAAGAAAAGGTATAAAATCGGCAACATTTTGGGCAATGTCCCTTCTTCAGAGCACAGAGAGAGGTCACGTGATCACCACCCGACCCCTCCGGCCTCGCTTGGTGCTGTGAATAAGCTGCCTTTGCCCAAATAAATAAGCAGATAAGTAGAAACATTTTAAAATTAATAGATAAATAAATTATTTGATTAAAAAACTAATAAAAATATATCACCGATTATATACTCTTATTGACAAATTAATACAATTTTCATTCATTATTGGTGTGGGTGCATCATTTGGCCATGGTATTAGTCCACACAGAGGAATGATGCACAGATGCCCTCTAAAAGTTTCCCAAGGAAGCTGACATCACACCGGCCAATCAGAGCTGCGCTGGCGCCGCGTGAGTGAAAACGTCCGGAGAGTCGCGCAAAATGCGAATCCCTCCAGCGCACGACGCTCGCGAAAATAAAAAAATAAACTTTTTTTTAAATCCTCCCCCACCGGTACCTTTTTGTCCGGGGACACCAGGAGGGCCCTGAAGACCTGGAAATCCTTGCTCTCCGGATGCACCTGGCCAGACATGTGGAGCAAAACCGTGTCAGCTGAATTCAAGCTAGACATAAAAAAAGCATCCACGGCGGTGACGACGACGATGATGATGATGTACGTACGCTGAGCTTCTTTCGCACCGTAACGTAGCCAACCGTACCAATCAGAGGTGCGGAATGATCATGATGATGATGACAACGACAATTTTAATGATTGTATAAGTGATGAATATTATGATAATACTGAATATAATAATGCAGATGATTAGGATCATGTCTTGTGGCGAGGCGCAAGTGTAACCGCTGCGGCCGACTTGACGCCCAAAGGAACCCCCCCAGCTGTGCCACACGTCCACTTCTGACACAAGTATTATTTTGGGGCGCTACGGTGGCGAGATGTTAACCACCTCGCCTGGTATACAGGAGGTCGTGGGGTTCAATCCCGACCCTGACGCCCGTATATTTGGAGATTGCGTGTTTTCCCCGTGGGCGCGTGGATTTTTCTCCGGGGTTTTCCCTCCACGCGTTTAGAATATTTGTGCTGCTATAAATTTACACGCGATAAGCCACTTCGCTGAGCTATCATTTGTGGCCTGGTCGCTTCTGAAAAAGACCTATATCGCTCAGAGGGCTTTACCTGGTCCAATAAAAATAATAGTTAATAGTTGGTGATCTTTGTGTTTTTGGAAGTGTCGGGAGTGACTCTCACCTCGGTCGCCCTTCTGTCCACTACCTGGAGCTCCGGGTTCCCCTCGAACGCCGGGAATTCCGTCACGGCCTTTCTGGCCAGGTGGTCCCTCTGGTCCAACGTCTCCTAAACAGCGCAGACACACAGACAAAGATCCCCCTTATAGCCTGGGCAGAATGTTGGGGCAAGTGCTGTTAGCAAGCACCCATGAAGGTCGGCATGGCACACGAGGGGGTGGGTGGCCAGCACCATGCCTGGCCGCCTTTCTATCGTGAGTATTGATGTTAACACCTAACACATACACCCACATGCTCACAGCACAGGTGTACTCATAAAACATGGACACAGACACAGGTCGAAATTTGACATTTGAAGACGCCGTTCGAATATTGATATTAGTTAATTTTTTTAAATGTACATAATGTAATGCTGCAATGAGTGACCAGGATGAGTCTCTTTAACAAAGAGGGACGTGATGGCAGCAACATGACCAAAAGCAATCGCATCATACAACGCGCACCAAAGAAGCGAATATAAATCAGAGTGAGGACGGCAAGATAGCAATGAAGGAGTGTGACGAGAGCCACCTACGACCCGTCATTGCCAACTCACCCCGAGCTCCTTTCTGTGCGACGGTCCCGTCAAATCCTTGAGGTCCCTGCAGTCCGGGGGGTCCCTGAATGCCTACGAGTGTGGGAGGTGGAAGAGAGGAACTTGATTCGATCAGTGGCCCTTTACTACCAGGTGACGGGCTAACATTTTTGACCAATGACAATGATGATGATTGTAATCGCGGGAGGTGATGACAACTGTGATAAAAAACACAGAATCGAAATATGTATTTATACTGGGAGGAATCCGTATCGGCCCTCTCATCAACACGAGGCAAATGACTACGGCGACGAAGACTATCACAAGCAGAAGAATACGATCGTGTACAGACGTGCAATGATATCTTACCCATGGGTCCTGGAGATCCTGGCGAGCCTTGCTGGCCCTGATCACCTGTTAAAGAAGGTGAACAATTTGTGTTAACGTGACTCATCAAACACGTGAGCGCATCACGAGCACCAGTCTCAACAGAAGCGTTGTCAACCCGCTGCCGTACGAAGGCCTCGCCACATCCCGTCGGACGTCGCGGTCGTCTTGACCATACTTCACCACGCTGGGTTCGTGCGGGTTGGGGAAAGGGGGAATCCGTTCCGACGTCACTCGCCACCGATATTAGCCAAGAATGGGGGCGGGGAATCTAACTTATGTCGCCAGGTACGCAGCGGCCGCACGGTGCGCTGGGCAGCACGGTCGAATAACTCCCACGAGCCGCAACGGCGTGAGGAGGCCCTCATCCAGCAGTGGATTGACAACAAGAGCCGTACGCGTCAAGAAATAAAAAAAGAAGAGAGACACCTACCCCTGCTTCCGGGGATTCCGGGCATGCCCCGGTCCCCAGCTTCACCTTTAACACCTGAAACAAAGCGTTCGGAACGAGCGTGAATCAACGCGTAAACACGTGTCAACTACCGTCTGCTGCCGAGGAAGTCAATGTGCATCTCTGTAAATTTCATCATAGTTGTCATCATTATTGATGAAAAAAAAAGAATATTTCAGTTGAACAGGCAGTAGACTTTCGCGACCAATATTATCCATAATAGAGGCTTTTGGGTGAGAGCTCGTAAATATATTAATGTGTCGTTAAACCCGCCACCACCCGACACAGCCAATTATCAAGGTTTGTCACGTAAACAGAACATGCCGATTCGTTACGAGTAGAGCACGCAAGAATAGAGTTTCCTATTTCTGGCAATAAAACAGGTGTTAAGATGTTCAAACACTAAATAGATACCTTTTGCAAGGAACCATGTCTGCATTAACCACGCATATCTGTGGTTAAACATGCAAACAATCACGCTCAGACAATATATGCATTGTCCTTGAAACGGATTGGCCTACACCAGACAACCTTCTTCATCATTACTATTATGATTAACTAATTCCATGTTATTATCAGATTCACCATCATTTATGATGTGCATTATTATTCAACTAATTGCGCATCAATTAGGAGAATCAATATTGATGTAACGTATCGTTGACGATGATATAATTTATCGTTGGTGATCATCGTCAATGCCATTATCATCAACTCGCAAGAGATTCTCAACTTGAGAACCGTTTTTTTTTTCAAGTAAGAGAAAGGAAAGCACAGCGCACATTGTTGACAGCAGGATCGGAGAGCCAGCACCAAAGCACCGCTAGGATTCCTGCGGTTCAGTGTGAACGCACGGGACTCGCAGAAGCGGTTTCCGAGAGTTGGCGCAGCCATCGATCGATAATTAATCACCAAGATATAAACAGGAATTTTGGTTGAATCGACTTCATCGCCTTATTGAAAGGCATTGGACCACCTTTTGTTTTGTTTAAACAACACGAGATTATAAACTACCGCCACTCCATAACACACCGGTGGGCTGAAGTTGTAACTAATTGTCGCGTTGCTTACGTCACAAACTTTACTGTTCTTTGGGTCTTTCGGTAAAGTCACGTGGATAGGTTCAACGAAAATAACAAACAACTACGACGTTTCGGTAGCAACACAAGCGGTCCTTACTGGCTGTGCCGGGTGGTGGAGGGTTACGACACATTTTATCCTTACGCCATCTCACCCAAAAACCTTTATTCATTAATAATATTGGTCGCGAAAGCCTGCCACGTATTAAACTACTGCTACTCCATCCGGGTCTCATTCGAAGGTTCCTATTCCCGAAGATCCTCCGAGAGGAACGCCTCCCGGCTGAAAGCAATCGCGAAACGACGATGAGCGGTTGTGTGAGGACGCGGCACGTCTGTTCGCGCGTCACTCGCGTGGGGATTCATCAAACCTCGCAGGCCGGCTTCTCCCGCTTCTCCCTTCGGACCGCGGAACCGATCTGTGGGAACGAAACGAGAAAGCGTGAGAGTCCATTTCATGTGAAAGTAATGCAAGGCACCGGACGAACACCCCGATAGCCGTACAGACCTGTTCGGGAAAGTGCTGGCAGCGAGCACACGAGGGCGCATGGTGTGGCCAGCACCACGCCCCGACCGCCTTTGTCTCCCCAGTTGTGATTTTTTGTTCTTTTCTTTTTACACGCTGCATCAGAAGGCTGAGTCGTACCCACGAGAGGCCCAGGACCGGTTCGGATGTTCGCAACTGATTTTAGCCGCGGCCGGGGATCGAACCCAGGTTCGTAGTGCAGTGCGCTATAACACTACGCCACCGCTCCCCGTGTCAACGCAACAACAGCTGGAACCGGTGCACAGTGGTTCGTCTGGCAGCAGAAGCAGCAGCAGCGAAGGGCTTTTGGAAGAACAGTTGAGAAACTCGACCGGAGTGCGCCACCCAGTGGCACACGTGTATCAGAGACACCTTCGGTAAAAGGTCTGGATCATACTAAACTAATACTTACTAATCTTTTTTTTTATTTTGCCAGGTAAGGACCACTGAGCAATATAGCTATTTTTTTTTCATAAAGCGACCTGGCCACAAATAATAGCTCAACGAAGTAGCTCATCACGTGGAAATTTATCGCAGCCAAACACTCTAAACGCGTGATGACGATTCTAAATGTGGAGGGGAAAGACCAGAGGGCCCGGAGAAAAATCTACACCACCACGGGGAGAACATGCAAATTCCAAATATACAGGCATCGTCAGGGTCGGGATCGAACCCACGACCTCCTGCATACCAGGCGAGGATTCACGTTTGCCAGCGCCTCGCTCACTCGCTCACCCTCTCTCTTGCGCTCAGGTTAACGAGGAACGGCCGGCGCACGATCGAATGAAAATCCGTTGCCATCGGCGAAAATCTGCATAGGTCCATTAAATATTTCCGTCGTTCGTGTTGCATTCGCATCGCGCGCCCGCTCCTCATCCCCCCCCCCCGCCAAGCGCATCACCCCAGCTACTATTCGTGGAAACACTCGGAAGAGGCCGGTGCGACGCGACAACGGGACCGCTCGCCTCCAAGAAGATCAACGAGGGGAGCTGCCACGGAGGGGGAAGGGGGGGGGGGGGCAGGCGGTCACCCACCTCTCATCTCCGTCGACGCCAGCTGCTGCTCGAGCATGACGCGGAGCCTGGTGCTGAGCTCCGCGTCCGTGGCCGTCCGGGCGCCGGCGTCCACTCCGGGGTTGAGGCTTTCCACGACCTGCGCCCTCCCGAGGTTCACGCCGGCTGCGGGTGCCACGTAGCGCGAACTCTGGCCCACGCCGCCCTGCATCATGCGCTCCAGCTGGTCGACGCGCGACTTCACGGAGCTCAGCTCGCTCCCTGGTGGGGGGAGGTGGAAAGGAGGACGTCGCCGCGTGACGATCGCCGTGCTTGGTGCTGCGAGTGCGCTCTCTGTGTCTCTCTTGCGCTCTTTCACTCGCTCGCCCTCTCTCTCTCTCTCGCTAGCTCTCTCTTGTGCTCACTCACTCGCTCTCTCGCTCGCTCACTCGCTCGCCCTCTCTCTCTCTCTCGCTAGCTCTCTCTTGTGCTCACTCACTCGCTCTCTCGCTCGCTCACTCACTCGCTCTCTCTGTCTCTTGTGCTCGCTCACTCGCTCTCTCTCTCGCTATCTCTCTTGCGCTCACTCTCTCTCTTGCGCTCGCTCTCTCTGTCTCTTGCGCTCGCTCACTCGCTCTCTTGCTCGTTCTCGTGTATAGGTCAAGTTGAAATTAATTTAGTTTCACCGCGGTGAGAGCAGGATGTGAGTCTCATTTTCTTCAACAGTGACCTGGTTCGCCAAAATGAACTCCAGGCAGGGGGGAGGGGGGGTAATTACGCAGGGAGTCCAATTCCATTCCACGCACGGGGGGGGGGGGGGGTGGTCCGTGCCAACCAAATATTTTTTACTTCAAGTAAGAAAGGAGTCACGGGTTGGTGCAGTTGCCGCTGAATGATACGCAACTGCTGCGGGGGGGCGGGGGGGGGGGTGGTGGTGGCGTTGCCGTACCCTGCGCGAGGAGTCCGGCCAGGAGTCCCAGCAGCAAGAGCCACGTGAGCAGCAGCCCCAGGAGCCAGAGCCACCAGGGGCAGCCACCGCAGCAGGGGCTGCAGAAACCGCCGCCCTTGCCGCCACCGCCCGTGCCCGAGCCGCCCAGGCCGCCCCTCTTGCTGGCGAACCACGGCTCGTCGTCCATTTGGGTCTCTGCGGAAGCAATAATAATGATTACGATGATAATGACAATGAAAAAAAACATGGTAACAAAGGTCAACTTTGTTGCTGCTGCTGCTGCTGCTGCAGCAGCTGCAGCGCGTCAACGACGTGATGAACGTCTTTTACGTTTGTATCTCATCATTATCATTAACTAATTCCATGTCATCATGAAAGTCACCATTATTTATAATTCGGATCGTGAATAACTAATTTGAGCCTGAGTCAGTATGATCAACATTAGTTGCATGACGACGATGACATATTTATTGTTGCCGTGGTAATCGTCAATTCCGTCATCAACTACCAAGGGTTTGTCAATAAGTACCGTTTTTCCAAGTATATGAGATAATCGATATGGTGGATTCATAAACATATTTATATCTACATATACCTACTTAAAAAAAAACTAAAATCCCACTGAAAACAAGGACGCGCTGTTGATTAAAACACCCTCGATTATTAAAAAACTAAATTAATCAGCGTCGGAGCGAGATATAAATACGTGGGATTGCTTTGTGCTCCACGAAAATGGAGTGGATTTCCCAAACTCTCCAATCGGAAGCCCAGCGCGCAGTTCAATCACTCGCTGCCATTCGCAGAGAGGGATCGAAGCGTTACTATGACCACCCTTCGCGGAAATTGTCAAGAAATGCCACCTGTTATAGCGGTGCTACAAACGAAAAGTGCGTGCGTGCGTGAACGCGCGCATGCATGTACGTGCGTGCGTGCGTGTTGAACTTCTTTGGCACCGTATGTAGCCAACCGTGGAAATCGGAGGTGCGGGGGGAGGGACAGCGCAATGGGACGTACCGATGAGTGTCGCTTTGTCCTTCACATACGTGCGGGTGCCTGGAGGGGCATCAAGTGCGCGAGTAAATACATTTAACTTTTTTTTTAATGAACGTAACAAAATGTAATTTTGACATTTCATTTGGATTCAGGGTAAGAAAATAGTCACGGGATGGCGCAGATGCCGCTGAACGAAACGCAACTGCGCGGACGGAAGCGATCGACCGTGGGGAATGTTAAATCATCATCGCTGGATCAATCGCAGTTGCGAAATGACTACGACGCAGCGGGTGGATATAACCCACATGGGGGAAAAATGCGGAGATAAAAAATAAACCCCTCGTAATTTACCAGATTTGTCCCTGGAGGATTGAATGACCAAGACGTCCTTCTTGGGAGGCTCTTCAGACAGATACATCTCTGTGTGGTGCACACCGGCAGAGGGGAAAAGGTTATCAGATACTGGCACCGCTGAAATTTTCACTCGATATTCACGGAACGCTGCTGGGCTGGCTGTTTTAGAAAAAAGATTGTCGGAGTAAGGCACTACAACCACAGTACGAGGCGCACCTGTCTGTAATAAGCATACATTGTTATCGTACACCCTACACTCCTATAATCCTATAAACAGGTGATTCACAATCACGTGGCCAACACTGGGCAAAGTGGAGGTGTGGCGTGTGCCAAGAGCATTCAGCGTCCCGGACCGTTCCGGCTCGCTGGGTTTACAGGTCACGATACACGACAGCTCTCATGGTTACAAAGTCGACTTCGTGGATATTGAACCCGTCGCGTGCCGGTGACCTGCGCCCGTTACCTTTCCTTGCTCCCTGGCCACTGGAAGTGAGAATCTTTACGTCGGAGCTGTTGGCGCTTTCATCCTCGCTGTAGAGTTTAGTTGCGGCTGTGATGATGACAAAGCAGAGCAGCGGCGCAATGACACGAAGAGCTCGCCGAATACGCAGACGGCTCGCAGAATAAGCACACGGTTCGCAGACAACAGGATTAATCGTCGGAGCAACCACGGTGGAAATGCTGCGTTGGGTTTTATTTACCCATTTCTAGAGGGCACAAAGAGATCTTATTAATGCGAGTCCTTTATTTTATGCAGGAGCCTCGCTGAGTCTCAAGACTCCATTTCAGGAGGGTCCTGCAATTGGCACGTTTGACCAATAGCGTTCAAGAGTGTTTGGCTCTTTGTGGGAAGAAAGAAGAGTACCTGGAGAAATGTGACGTACTTTCATGCGATCAGAAACAGTAAAAAAAATACGTACACAATGAGAGATTTAGCAATCGCTCTCCAAAGACACATGTTATGAGAAATGCGAGACCTTAAATCAGATTCCTTACATTTGCCTCTACCATTTAAAATGATGATGATGATAGCCTAGCTGAAATGTTTAATGTTATATTGCAGATATGCGAGCACTCACCACCTGCAGCAGTGTCGGAACTCTGTTTCTTGATGGCGATGTTTTCAATGCGAGTATTTACAGATCCTAGCGGACACAGGAATAATAATAAGTAACTTAGTTTTTCTTATCCAGGAGAGCCATACTGAATTGTAGGACTCAGAAGGCTCCTGCATTCTATTTTTTTAAGCCAACTAATGAGGAAACTGGAGCAACGGGAGAAAACCCACGCACGCGAGGGGGCAACGCTCTATCCCCGGAGAGATGTAAACAGACGACAACGAGCCCACTTGCTGTACTGCCTTCTCGTGGCGAGACAGGGTATGGAACCTCCTCGACACCAACGGGAAGGGAATTTCACACCACCTGTGCGGCGATTCACCAACCCTTGCTGCCTCCACAGTGCCGGGTTATGGGCCACGTGCAAAATCCACCACCGCCCACCATAGTAAAGACGGATTAAAATGCCGCTGCTATAATCACGCACATGCCCCCTCGCTTCACGGGTGAGCATACGCTGTGGCATTAAACCGCGTCTAAATGTGACCGCGTGTCAAGACGCGGTACAGAAACGGGGGGGGGGGGGGGGGGGGGTGAATACATTATTGAAACGCAGAGGTAAAAAAATAAACTTGAGCAGGAGTGAGGAGTCGACAGCACGCACGGCAGGGGGGAAGGGAGATTCCAAACGGAAGGTATTGTCGCTCGCGTGACGAGGTGTTTCGTGGTCGTCAATTAAAGCCGTGTTCGCTTCTTTTTTACCGCTGGCCGCCTTTGGCCGCTCGGCGAACGTGCTGTGCTTCTGAGTGGAGTAATCCTCGCTGAAGGCGTTCACTGCGGTGACAGTAAAAACAAAACGCGCACCCATCGTGAGCGACGTCGCAAGCAAGGCCGAGTAATAGTCGCGCTTGGAAAGCGAAGAAACTGAGAAGCGCTCGTGCGCGATGAGTTGTACACGAGCCGATTGCATTTTTGCTTTTAACATTTGGCGACAAAAAATATGCTCAGCACAAAGACGACTACCTACTAGGCAACAACAATGGTAAAAAAAACAACTTTTTTTTGATTGCGCTTAGGTGGAAACCCGATGATGCTGGAAGTATTTACCAGCGAAACGTCGTACTCAAACTGTAAATGTGGATTCACTCTTCAACACACCGGTGGGCTAAAGTAGTGAATTATTTGTCTTTTGTCAACGTGACACTTTTTTTGCTGATTGGCCATGTCGGGTGGTGGAGGGTTACGACACATTTATAAATAAACGCGATCTAACCCAAAAACCGTTATTATGAATAATATTGGTCGCGAAAGCCTACGTGTTAAACTACCCGGAGAACGTCCGCGCGTATGAGGGGATAACCCTCAGGCTTCCCACAAAGGGGGCCTCTACCGATCGTATCTGGCTTCGAATTAACGGCGTCGATTTCGCCCCAGATGACGGCGTTCGTTGCGATTAAGCGAACACGCGGCAGGTGATCCGCCGTGGCAGGACTCGACAGTCCAATAAAGCGCTGTAGTCTGCACTCCTTCAGCGGAGGAACGGCAAAAACGACGCAAACTCTCTCTGCTGCAGCCGCTCTCGTTGCGGGCAGCAGCAGCAGCAGCAGCAGAACTCGCCATTGGCTGCCGTCGTTCGCGAGAATAGAACGAGAGGGGGGCGGGGGGGGGGCTCTCGAGGAGGCCGTTCCGCTAGAGCGGGGGTCGGCGACCTGCGGCTCCGGATCCGCACGCGGCTCTCTAAGGACCGCCTCGTGACGTCGTTTATGAAGAGCCGCCTCGCATTCGCGTGAATTGCGGCTCTTGAAATATAGAGGGTTTTTTTTTTACGGAATTCTATTTAAAAAAAATGGCACTTCTTATTATTACTTCGGCTGTCGACCCCTGCGCTGGAGCGAGAGAGCGAGCGAGCCGTTAAGCGGTGCGAGAGCGAACGAATGAACGAGCGAGCGAGCGAGCGAACGAATGAACGAGCGAGCGAGCGAGCGAGCGAGCCGTACGGTCGACGGTGTTGTAGGTGGGTGGCTGCGCCGGCTGGCGCTGCTGCGTGGTCACGGCGTAGGAGGCGATGGAGCGCGACGTGGACGAGTGCGTGGGCATCATGGGCGCTCCGCCGGGCAGCGTCGCCTGCAGGGCGAACGCCGACAGCTTGGGGTCGGCGACGCGCAGCGGCTCGGGCGGGAAGTAGGAGAGGTCCTGAGCGGAGCGCAGGCGAAGGTCCACGTCGTAGTGGGGCAGCACCACTGCGGAAGAGGGCGGCAGACGGCAGAGTCAGGAGGCCGCTCAGCGGGGGCCGGCGTATCGTCGTGGAGGTGATCGTAACAACGACGTCGACTTGTAACACCTCCACCGCCGCGTTCGCTCGCTCGTCGCTCTCGTAGAGAGAGGGAGAGAGAACGACTCGGAGGCTCGAGGAGGAGCCGCGGACGTGCGGGGACGGCAGCAGCCACGCGGTGGTCGGGCGCCGACAATTGCCCAAGCTCTGCAGCCCCCTCTGTATATTGAGGTGTTACCGGCCAATATTCGTGCGAGAAAACCGGGGCACCTGGAGAAAAAACCACTCCATCCCAAACAGACAGAACAGGTGGAGTCCACATCTCCGCTGTACCGCCGTCTCCTGTCGAGCCAGGGTACGTATGGCACCTCCTCGACACCCACGGTGGGGGGGGAGAGTTTCACGACATGTGTGCGACCCATCAACCCCTGCTGCTGCCTCCACAGTGCTGCATTACAGTCGGCCCACGTGCAGCGCAGCCACAACCCGGCCCGGCTATCGCGATACCGTAGAAGAAGTCGTGTAAGAATGGCGGGTAAGCCACGCGTTATGACACAACAACTAACAAACTATAGGCGGACATATTTAAATTTTACTAAGTAAGGCCCAATGAGCTACGTCGCTCCTTTTTCAGCGACCTGGCCACAAATGGCAGCTCAAACGAAGCGGCTTATCACGTGGAAATTCATCACAGCCAAATTCTCTTAAACGCACGTTATTTCCAAACGTTGGGGGAAACACCGCGGGACCCGAAGACAAATTTACACGACCACGGGGGAGAGCATGCAAACTCCAAATATACAGGTGTCAGTGAGGGTGGGGATCGATCCCACGACCTCCTGTACACCAGGCGGGGTAGTCAACATCTCACCACCATGTCCCCTTATCTTTGGAAGTGGCCGTTGAGAGAGCAAACGTGAAACCACCTGGTTTGACGCTGTTGTCGATCTTGACCCAGGTCTCGTCGTCCGAGCGGTAGCCGCTCCTGCCCTCGAGGCTGGGCTTGCGCTCCAGGCTGGGCTTGCGCGGGATGGGCAGTGTCCCCATCGCGCTGCGGGAGACCGAGCGGCTGCGCGTGGGGCTCACGCTGGCCGAGCGCGTGCCCTTCACCAGGCGCTTCACGTCGTCCAGCTCGGTCCCTGGGGGTGGGGGGGGGGGTGGCGGAGAGGGTAGGGCCGGTGGGAGGTGGGGGGGGAGTTTTTGACTGAGGGTTCGGAGTTTTTTTCGTCTGACGTCGGGCGCACCGTGGGTGCCACGGTGGCTGTGAGATGTTAACTACCTCGCCTGGTATACAGGAGGGCGTGGGCTTGATCCCGACCCTAACGCCTGCTCTGTATTTGGAGTTTGCGTGTCTCTCTCTCTCTCATCATCACGGTGGCTATGAGATATTAACTGCCTCGCCTGGTATACAGGAGGGCGTGGGCTTGATCCCGACCCTGACGCCTGCTGTATATTTGGAGTTAGCGGTGTCTCTATCTCATCATCATCACGGTGGCTATGAGATGTTAACTACCTCGCCTGGTATACAGGAGGGCGTGGGCTTGATCTCGACCCTAACGCCTGCTCTGTATTTGGAGTTTGCGTGTCTCTCTCTCATCATCATCACGGTGGCTATGAGATATTAACTACCTCGCCTGGTATACAGGAGGGCGTGGGTTTGATCCAGACCCTAACGCCTGCTGCTGTATATTTGGAGTTTGCGTGTCTCTCTCTCATCATCATCACGGTGGCTATGAGATGCTAACTACCTCGCCTGGTATACAGGAGGGCGTGGGCTTGATCCCGACTCTGACTCCTGCTGTATATTTGGAGTTAGCGGTGTCTCTCTCTCATCATCATCATCACCATGGTGGCTATGAGATATTAACTACCTCGCCTGGTATACAGGAGGGCGTGGGCTTGATCCCGACCCTAACGCCTGCTCTGTATTTGGAGTTTGCGTGTCTCTCTGTCCGTGATCGCGTGGAATTTTCTCCGGGTTCTCCGGGTTTTTCCCTCCACATTTAGAATCACCATCACGCATTTAGGGTATTTGGCTGTTGTAAATATCCACGTGATAAGCCACTTCGTTGAGTTATCATTTGTGATAGCCAGGTCACTTCTGAAAAAGAGCTACATAGCTCAGTGGTACTAACCTGGTAAAATAAAAAAAGTCTTGTTTAGATTATGGAGCACCATTGGTCAGGCAGTGCATGAGTGTGGTGAGCAACTCACATCTGGGTGACGGTGAAGTACTCTGCAGCCTTTGGCGGATCTGGCTCTCTGTTGAGAGAAGGCAGTGGGGTCACGCTGCTGTTAGTGCAACGTTCAAATCATCGTTGGGAAACCTTTTCATTACCGATGGTCAATTGAAAACGCATTTCTTTAGACCTGTTTTTTTGTGTGTTTAGGTTGTTGTCGCCCCTCCCCCACACCTCCCATTACCACGGTTGGCTACGTAGGTCCGAAAGAAGTTCAACATACATAACACATTTATGATAAGATCCTAATATATATAGAGGACCGCAGAGCTTGGGGAAGGGGGGGGGGTGGAATTTGGCACTGACTCATCGTGTGGCTGCTGCTCCCTTCCACGCATTAGCTGCGTTTCCCAAGCGTGCCTCTGCACTTTTAAATACAAATTGAAAACGCATTCCTTTAGAACTGCTTTTTTGTGTGTTGAGTTTGGCGTCCTTCCCCCGCACCTCCGGCCAGCACGGTTGGCTACGTATGGTGCAAACGGAGTTCAACGTACACACGTACAAGTAGGACTTTCAAGCACCCTTGGCGACCCACACATGACCGCACACAGCCCAGGCCCCTCTATGACCTGCAAGCGGCCGCGTCCGTCGGTGACGGGAGTGGACGAACGCGCTGAAAATCACACGCGCGTTTTTATTTATTTATTTTATGCCAGGTTCGAAAACCATTCCCCCTCCAGCACCCGATTAGTGCGGCTGAGACGCCCGCAGCGATGACCAAAATGACGTCCGCGGGAGGCACAGGAGCGGTGAGTCTCATGTGGTGCCCTGGAGCCTGAGCAAAGTGAAAGCCGTGGGGCCGCGTGCGGCACGTGGGGGGGGGGGTCGTTTGATTCGACGTAGCCCTGTTGAGACGACCGACGGCAACCCATGACAATCAAACCCAGGTGGGTGTCCGTTCACCGCGGCGTGCCTCACCTCGAGACTGGCTGCGCCCGCGCGTCTCTGCAACACCACACAAAGGCACGCGCGGCGAGGTGAGTGGCGACGGTGAAGGTGGGGCGCAGCGTCAATAAAACCGCGCGCACAAACATTGAGGGTCGCCCCCCCCCCCCTCTTTGTCTCCGCCACGCGCTGTCCGCTAAGTTGCTCTCCGTGAGCAGCCGCTGCAGCCGCTAGGCCGGCGAGCCGCCCGCGTGTCCGGCGCCGCGCGGGCCGTCACCCTCGGGGGGAGGGCCCGCGCGTAATGTTCACACGTAGCGTACGCGTAACCGATTCCCGCACGCACAGTGTGATGTGTGTGCGCTCTGAGCTCAATCAGGGCACCATCGCGGCGAGCCGCACAACCACAAGGCAAAGATCACCGCCGCGCAGCCTTAACAGGATGTTGGGGCCAGTGCCGTTAGCGAGCAGCACCTATGAAGGCCGGCACGGCACACGAGGGGGTGGGTGGCACAGCACCACGCCCGGCCGCCGTTGTCTGCCCAGTGGCTATGTTTACACGCCGCACCAGGTACTCATTTGAGGCTGAGTCGACCTAAGGGAGGCCCAGGCCCAGTTCAGATAATCGTCACCGGTGTTGACCGTGAGCAGGAATCGAACTGGGGTCGTCGGGATTTTTGAGCGTTGCGCTACCACTCGCCATGAGCAGCAGCTGTAAACCACACTCACACAAAAACCAAACTGCCGTCTGTCACTCCACCTGTGCTCACCTTAAGCTAAGGATACACAACAACAACTACCGAATCGAGATCTATTTAGGCTTGTCGTTTGTAAAGTAAGAAGTTCGTACCAAGATTTTTACGAGCTGGCTCTGGAGATGATGGGCGACTGGAGGTGTCTGCAAAGAAACATCGAGTCGAAAAATCAGTCGTAGGTAGAGGGGGAAAAGGTAGGTCTTGAGTCTGGATTCGAACTGGGGCAGGCAGCCAACAGCACGAGTGGCTGGGGGCTTGAAGACAGCACGCACAAAACTACCCCACAACATCACCGAGGCTCAAAGCTGCCGTCTCAAAAAATCGCACGCGTCTAAGCGCCGCCACCTCCCCCCCTCGGATTCCCAGGACGTTCTCTTTGTGAATCAGCTCTCCTGGAGAAACTTGTGTCGGTGTTTTCTCGAGACGTCATAAGTCCCCGTATTTGCCAACAGTATGTTGCGCACCAACAATAATCACGACAATAGTTGCACACACCGTGAGAAGTTCCACTCGCCATGACCCGTCCCGGTCTGTGTGACCCTTCACTCCTCCGTCCATGCCACGACAGTGCACGAGCTCACGTGACCCCGCGTGATCCCCGACGTGACCTCACACGACCCCACGCGACGACGCCACGCGTCGACCCTCACCGCTGCTGAAGTCGAACGCGGTGGCCCCCGGCGAGCCGAAGCGGCGTTCCGCCGTCGTGGAGTTGCTGGTGACGGTGGTGGTGCTGGTCATGGTGGTGCCGCCGGTCGGGCCCCTGGTGGGAGAGCGGCCGCGGGGGGCGGCCGGGGAGCGAGCGCGCCGTGTCTCCGTGGTCGTGATGACCGTCATGCCGGGCGGGCGGGCGCCTGCGGACGCGGGGGTGCCAGCGAGGACGGGTCGGCGGACGGAGAGAGAGAGAGAGACGAGGCGAGAGTCGTGTCAACTCAGTTGATTTTTGACTTAAAACTTTCGTGACTGCAGGAATTCATATTCTTGGTTTTTCGGTAAAGTCACGTAGATAGCAAATAAAAAATAAATGAAAATTAAATTATTTCAATTTCTTAAAATTAAGTGACTTTACCAAAAGAACCATGAATAGCAAATCAGTTAATTTCGCCACAGGATTATTGTGTCTTTTTTGGGGTTTTCATGCTTGACGAGATGTTGTCAAAACGACCTGCAATAAAATATATGGCGACTTTCCTGGACGCGGATATTACGCTGATTGGAGGAGGGATTCCCAGGCACGCGTTAAGGACCCCGCCGTGAGTTAACCACCTTTAGTAGCCGGTAAATTGTCGAGTGACGAGGCCTGCCCAGCAACGTCCCAGCAACGTTCCAACAACGTCCCGGCAACGTCCTAGCAATGCTGCGCAGTTCAATTGGCAGCCCCCCACCTTTAGCAGTTGGCACCAATGACGGTGGAGGTGGATTGGGGGGGGGGCACGATCTAAACTTGTGGTTTGTTGCAGCGATAAACGGCAGTAAATTAAATAAACTATTTAAACTAGTAAACTAAACTATTTTTTATTTTTAGCAGCTCAGGCCCACTGAGCTATAAGGCTCTTTTTCAGAAGCGACCTGGCCACAAATGATAGCTCAACGAAGTGGCTTACCGTGTGGAAATTGATATCAGCCAAATACTCTAAATACGTGATGCCGATGCTAAATGTGGAGGGAAAAACCGGAGGAGCCGGACAAAAATCCACGCGACCGCGGTGAGAGAGAAAATCCAAACTCCAGATATACAGGCGTCAGGGTTGGCTTCGAACACCGCGACCTCCGACATACCAGGCAAGGATTCACATACGGCAGTGCCTGTTTACCCTGAGGTAAACGAGGAATGCCAGAATATTCTGTGGTTCTGGTGCAGATAAAGGCATTTCAAACGATGAAGGCATTTCAAACATATGGGCATTTCCAGCAGCCAAATACTCCAAATGCACGTTGGTCCTAAATGTGGAGGCAAAACCCGGAGAAAAATCCACGTGCGCGCGGGGGAGGGGGGTGGGGGGAGAAACACCGCAAACTCCAAATACACGGGCGGCATCGTCAGGGTCGGTATCGAACCCACGACCTCCAGCACACCAGGCGAGGTAGTACACATCTCGCCACCCGCGGCGCCCAAAACAAAGAATAGAAAAACGGAGCAGCCCCGGCTCGGCCTCGCCCCTCCGCATCGTCGCGCCACCCACCTCCTGTCCCTCCCCACGCCGTGCCCTGGCTGGGGCCGACCTGGTAGGAGTGCGCGCCGGGGCTGAGCGGCACGTTCAGCGAGTGGAGCGGCGCGCCGGGCATGGCGGGCACGCGCGAGGGCCCCAGGCGCCGCTCCATGCTGCTCGTCGTCGACACTTTGCGGTGCGCGGAGCCGCCGAGGCCGCCGGACCCTGCGGGAGGACAACGTGAGAGGCGGCGCGCGGCGTCGGTTGACTTCTCTCATCTTGCTCGCTCTATTTATATTTACGTGTGCGTCCGTGGATTTTTTTTTCTATCGCGCAAGCAACAACAAAAAACCCCGACGATTCGGGGACCTGAACAGGTGCGTGCGGAAGTTTGTGCCTGTAGACCGGACAGTACGTGCGCTTATGGTGGACATTGCCCATTTGTGGGCACTGGTAGCATTTGCCACCCCAGTTCGTATCTAGAAATTGCCTTGGGCTGATGGGTATTCCTGGTTCTTGTGGGAATTTAAGGGACGGTTTATCACACCGTTTCCCTTTGCTCTAGCGGAACTATGAGCACACAATTTACGGGGCATGTCACCACCACTCAGCCACAAATGTGAATTGTAGATCCCAACCAACATCACGCTTACGTGGGGGCAACGAGGCCAGACTGGTGCTGCTGAAGTCACCTGCAGAAAGGAGACCCATCACAACGCATTAGATTCGCATGCCAAAGTAAGTGATGTATTGTCAAGAATGAAATGCACGTTTGTGTTTTTCGTACGAAAAAAACGGAGGCGTGTCCAGGACATGCGGTGCGAAAACGGTTCAACGTACGTACATGCGAAACTGTATTTACCATACATTACTCTTCATTTGCAAGATAGCTTCATTATCACATTTTACAGTGCACTTTTGATAGTTTTTATCGCATAATCTCCCCACAGATGGTGGCACAATTTATTGAATTATTCCCCCTTAATTTATGTAGCGCTCTCCAGCAGCCGAATGGATCAGGTGATATACCATTACCTGCAGAACAAAATTCATTTAAAACAATCGATTCTCACAAATGCATTCATTAATGCACGTTTAAGTCTATATATTAAGTCTAATATGTTTTTGTTAACCAGGTGAGAACTCCAGAGACCAGGATGAGCCTCATTTGCTTTAGTCTGCCAGTAGGTTGGCAAGGATTGCTGCTGTGCGTGGAATCCCATGGGAGTAATTTTGCAGTGTCATTTCCGAATTTCTGCCAATTTCGGAACCTGTCTCTTTTTTGCGAACGATGTCACGAGGTATCGTTAAACCTTTGCCGACCCACTGTGAAGCCGACGGCGCTTACGAGCATGCTCATTTACACACCACCGCAGTATTAATCAGGGCAACCGCTGGACTCGAACCACGTATCGCGTGAGCATCTTTAGAGAGCAGGTTTACATAGAACGAGTGAAACTCGAGTCCAGGCCAGGGACAACTCGATCTGTCCCGTGTCTTATTTGCCACTCGTGCTAGTTGCGGAAAATTGGGACCACGTGAAAACCTGGGATTTTATGTGCGTTCCTCATCTCACGTCACCTAGCTACACCTGGAGTTATTGATAATCAATCCACGGGGCACACACAGAGATCCCGCTGTGTTGTTCCACAGTAAGCTCGGTCTAATGGTCAGGAAATTCAAGTGCAATTAAGTATTTTTTGTTAAGTTTATTTCTGACATCTCTTTAGTGCAGTAAGTCGTACTGGAATTGTGTTATTTTTTTACCCATCTTACAAGGTGTTAATTAACTTAAAATTTAATGTTTATTTGACGTCACTTTTACATATAACCCTCGTCATCATCGTCATCGGCCATGATCAATCCACTGCTGGATGAATGCCTTCCCAAGCCGTCGCCATCTCTCTCCGCCTTTGCGATTGCAGTGTTGTGCAGTACCGCGTGTTTTGCTGTACCTGCTTATCTAACACAGGTGTCCTTTGACAAAGAGACCCGTCATCTCAATGAGCCCCTCAGCCGCTCATAAAGACACTCGCAATCTATCTGTTTATGTCTTTGTTGGCTTGTGAACTTCACAGGCGCTCGCTAAAAAAAACGGCACTTGCCCCAACAGTCTGTGAAGGCTACACGGGGTGGCGGTGGGGGGCGGCGGCGGGGGGGGCGGGGGGCTAATGGAGATCTTTGTTGAATTTTGAACGTGCGGAGGCCGCTGAGACTCACCGTCGCGCGTGTAGCTCGGCCCGCCGTGCATTTGGGGTCCGGTGGCCTGGAACCCCATTGGCAAGTCGCCGTGGATGCCTGTGGGAGAGCGGTGGGAAAGAAAATAAATCACACAACGTCACGACGATGGTGGACGGAGACGGAATACGCCTGCGAGGGTCGCCCCCAAAGTATTGCCCCACTGGCAAAGGGATGCAACTGCTCTCGTTTCACGATGCGCAGGGGTCCGAGCCTGGACGGCGCTTTATGCTTGCCACGGCCGATGCCAAGAAGGGGTTCTACAGGCTGCAGCGGCGACCATGGTGGGCAGCATAGGGCAGAATAATCCAATGTTGTGCTGTGCTTATGAGCCTCGTCCACGCTCCCCCACTTTCACCAAGCCACCACACGACGAACCAGCGCGGTGGAGTATGGTCAAATAACAACCGAGTGGGACGCGCATGGCTCGTCGAGGCCCTCATCCAGCAGTGGATGTGGGCCTTAGGGCACGAGGAATTTAACGTGCGATGAACTGTTCCTGACAATCTTAACTGTGGTGTCATTTGCATGGTTCTTGTAAACAAAAAACCCATCGCGAGGTCTGATGCGGGTAGCTATGGCAGCGTACACGGGTGTCTTTATTGTGTGTGTGTGTCGAATCGAAGAGTGTTAGAAAGAGAAAAAAATGCGACCAATTTTTTTGTTGTTGTTACCGTTGCCCGACTTCAGTAAGTGTTAAAATATTCGTCCGTCACTATCACCACCCCTAACACGCGAGTGTGAGCCCAAGCATTGCCGCGCGTGAAGTGGGGGTAGGAGCAATGCTGGACTAAGCTAGTGCGGGGCCTGAAACATATGTTATATAGGGGCCCTAAACTTAAAAAAAACACCTAAATATTAAAACAATTTTTTACTTGCATAGTAAAGTAATTGTATTTTTTTTCATTTGCTTATACAGCCAGACAATACGACAAACCGCTAACCTTAAACACCCAGTTGTTCACAAAAGTTGAAGGCGGTATAGTACTATAGTAATGGAGCAAGTGCAGAATCACTGAACCGGAATTGATAGCTTGAGAGCGTTCAGCGCGGGGCCCGTAGCTACTACATATGTAGCTACTTTTTCTACGAGCATAATCCGGCGCTGGGCATGAGTGCTTCTATTGTAAACATAGCCCGCGGTACAGCTGGCAGCAATGATGTTTAAACACATTCCGAACATAGTTTATACCAGCGTCGCCATTTAAGATAATAGTTATGATAAAAAAAAATATTTATGTTTTATATATATGTATGTATCGCGCCCAAATGAGTGTACGGCACTCTTTTGTCAATCCGCTGCTGGACAAGAGGGCCTGCCTCTGCCGTGCGGGTCATGAGGGTTATTTGACCGTGCTGCACCACGATGGTCAGCGTGGGTTTGTGAAGGTGGGTGGCGGCGGGGTGGGGGGGGGGCATAGCCGTAGGAGCACAGAAGTACAGTACAATTTAATGTTGCTGTTGTGCTACACCCTGCTGTCCCAACACGAAGCATCCCTGCGGCCTACGACACTGGTTTCATTGTCCAGGCTCAGGCCTGCTTAGCTTCGGAGATCTGATGAGATCGGGCAAATCAAATGCTAACATTTTCAGCAACGGTCCTCTTTCTTTAGAACAAAAAATTGTGCCTTCAATTATCTCTTACCAAGTTATTAACTAATGGCCGACTGACTTAGATTGCATCTCTGAAATAACGATCATTTTACCAACATTTTAGCTCACTCTTTGTGCCAACTTTGTTCGTGACAGTTTAATGACATTAAACATTTTTGCCGCCCAACAAATGTGGCTTATTATTGGATACAAATTACGAACACCTACCAAACTTGATTGTTTCCGTCATCACTTGGCAAGCCCGTCGTCGCTGGAGGCTTCCCTTTCCAACGCAAGACTTTTTTTTCACGCATGAGCACAACCGAACGCGAGTAGTTGGACAGGCGTGCTGGACTCGCGAAAATTTAGTGAGCGCCCCCCCCCATTTCAGAACGCGTTTGACAAGGCGAGGGTTTCCTCGCCCAGGTGGTCCCGACTTGGGTGTCCGCAAACCCATATACCTGTCACCCCCTTATCAGTGCCCTATCTTATGACACACCTAATTAGTCTCACCCCGTGCCCATATAAATCTCAACGTTCATCCTACAAAGTCCCATCGCAAGGGAGAAACACAAACAAATCGACAAAAAAATGTGCCCCGATTGAAACGGCTGTACGTCGTATGGACCTAAAAACTCAATTTCTTTGGACAAGAATACGTGGGTAAGCCGTGTGGGTTGACAGGTATGCAAACAGGTCGCGTTGGAGGCGTGGGTTGGTGGATCACGTGGACGTAGTTAACTCATTGGCGCGTTTTGTTCTCCCGCGACAAAATCTTACTCGGGTGGTTGGTGGGTTAACGACATATTTATATTGACGCGAACTTATCCAAGTTTTTTGTTTTGTTATGGATAATTTTGGTGGTGGAAGCCTACGTGTTAAACTGACATGGATATTTGTGAAACTCTCAAACCCGCTGGGCTGCCAGAGGAGGGCCTGGAGAGTACGGGACACCAATGGATTCTCGAAGCGACCTCATGTGCAGCTTTGACTGTGATCCTCGCGCAATGCGTGCCTTTTCTCTGTCAAATTTTCCCACATGCCAAACATTGACGAATGGAATTGGCCAAACATCTCAATGCAGGTCCCTCCTGAAAAAAAACACTCCTGAAACTCAGTGACGCTTTCTTCGGTAAACAGAAGACATCAATTACCCCCCCCCCCCCCCCCCCCCCCCATTACACGCGTACACAGGAGGCTTTGGTTTCACGAACCCCAAAGTACACCTCGTGTGACCAGTTCAGATTTGATGACACTTTTATCGTAACTACCATGGTCATTATTCTCGTGAACTTCACACCTTGATATCTCCAGTCATATGTAGGTATGTTGAAATTCTTTCGCACCGTACGTAGCCAACCGTGCTCATCAGCCACGCTAAGGCTTCACTCTACCGGGTTGACCTTCACGTCTCAACCAGCCGTGTTGCCTCCACCACATCACGGAACAAATAATTTCACTTCCTCCTCCAACCGCTCGCTCTGCTCGACTTGGAACTCCCATCGTCCCTCCCATCGTCCCTTTTCCCCTACGATCTTTCTCCTATAACCTCGTTCAATTAGAGAAACACGTTCTTATCGGCTCCACTTGCATCCGTGCTCTGATTACATGGCTTTGGAGCACACCTGCCATCGTCTGTTGAACATTCCTATCGTCGTCATCATCATCACCGCCGACCATCGATGTAACCCTCCCTAAGCCATCGCCCATCCCTCTCAGTCCAGCGATGTAATAATCCACTAAGCACTCGCACACGAGCTGATTTAATTGCTCGTCTCCTCGGCCGAGTTCGATCCCTCGACTGACACGCACCATTATTCCTGACCATCGGTCAAGGTCCCTTCTAGCGGCAGGGCCTGCAACCTTGCTCAATGCAAGAAAAAGGCATTCGTTCTTGATCTGCTGTCTGCTGTACCCTTATGAATGCTCTAGGTTGCCAACTACTCTGTGTTACAGCCCACCGCGCCCACGTCCAGCAACTAAGATTTGAACAAGAAATCAATAGACATAAAACTAAACCAAATAATTTGTATTTTACCAACTAAGGCTTACTGAGCTACATAGCTCTCTTTCAAAAACGACCTGTCCACAAGTGATAGCTCAACGAAGTCGCTTATCACGTGGACATTTATAGCAGCCAAAGTCTCTAAACGCGTGACGTCGATTCAAAACGTGGAGGGAAAAACCGGAGGACCCGGAGAAAAATAAACGTGACCACGGGCAGAGAGAGAGAGAGACACCGCAAACTCCAAACACACAGAGCAGGCGTCAGCGTCGGGATCGAACCCGCCACGTCCTGCATACCAGACGAGGCAGTTGGCATCTCGCCACCCGCGTCCAAGCGCAGGATACTGCACGGACGAAGTTCCCGGCAGCGTCGTGACGCAGGCCGACGTCGCGACCGTGAGAATGAGCCACACTGGGGGGGGGGGGGGGGGGGGGGGGGGCGACTCGCGGGTCCCCTCCGTATTTGATACGTACGTGCCCTGTGCAAATAAAGCGCGTGGACTCACCGCCTCCCGACTGGCTGGTGTAAGTCATCTTTTTAATGACGGTCTTCTGCTGGGGCAGCTGAGACAGGTCGCCTGCGCAAAGGACGAGAGCGAAACATGGAGAGGGAGGGAGTGGGGGTGGGGGGTTAAGCGAGGGTAACACCACCGACGCCGCATCCATGATGACAATGCGGGATCGCGAACTTTGTTGACCATCGTTGTTGCTTGATGTAGCGCCGAACGCAGGTGACCAAAAACAGGTCCCCGGAGCGCCCACGGGGATTAAGAAGCGCGGTCGGACACGGCGAGGTTTCAGTTGCCGCTCAACGTTTTCCGAGGGGCGACTTCACAATGATCTCGGCTCCCTAGGAATCGGAGGCGATAACTCGAGGACAAAGGTACGGCTGTCCACAACAATCCTACATGATTGTTTCCCAAGTGAACAAGTGTTTTTTTTTTTAATAAATGTCGGGTACAATGGAGGACACATTTAAAGGTGGGTGAGGTTTACTCCACTTGATTATCCGCGAGAGTCACGCTGAGTTGTAGTACCCGTTGTCAGGAGGGTCTGGCTGCTCCAATGGGTTTTTAATTTCAAGATTTTTTCAGGCAACTCATGGTGAGTGTTTATTATACAAGTGGAAGGAAACCGGAGCGCCCGGAGAAAATGCACGTGCACGCAAGGGGGCAACACTCTATCCCAAAACAGATGTCAAAAATATGTACTGTATGTACTGCATGTTGAACTGATTTCGCACCGTACGTAGCCAATCGTGCCAATTGGAGGTGCGGGAAAATGACACCAAACTAAACACAACAAGCAGTTCTGAAGAAATGAGTTTTCAATCGAAATCTAAAAGTGCATCGCTCCAGTGGCTTCCTAATTTCGGAAGGAAGAGCGTTCCAGACGGCCGCAGAAGCGCATCTGAAATCGCGATTCTCGCCCGCGTCTTGTATTGCCTTATCCTGGCGAGGGAGGGTGTGGTACCGCATCGACGCCCATGGGGAAGAGAGTTCCACAGCCCATCTGTGTGGTGATCCACCAACCCCTCCACAGTGCTGGATGACAGCCAGCCACGTGCATGGCCACCACCACCACCAGAGATGGGATGTTGGCGAGTGGCGTGCCACGATTTACATCCCGGAACAATGCTTCCGGGATGTAAACCTTGCCAGGAAGTTCACGTTTCCCAGACAAGCGACAACCGAGTTTACACCGGGGTGCTTAATAAGCGAACGCACAGATCAGTCAGCTTGAGTGGAAGCGATGTTTGCTTAAGTCACGCCAAGTGTCGCGTACATGGTTCGACAGCATATCTGGGCGTCGCACACAAAGTCGTGAATAACAACACACATCCCCCCCACCACCCATCTCAGGGAAGAAAGTGCAAAATAATAGTGGCGAGTCACAACAACAATAATGTGCACTTGTAATACTGCACCACCGCACAATATCCGGTCACTCTCGCGGAGAGAGAGAGAGCGAGGATGTATCTACTTTGAACTTCTTTCGCACCGTACGTAGCCAACCGTGCTAATCGGAGGTGCCGGAGGAAGGACAGCAAACTACGAACACAAAAAGAGCCCTCCTAAGGGAATGTGTTTTCAATCTGGATTTTAAAAAGTGCAGAGGCGCGCGGGAAAGGCAGCAGTCGCAGCCATACGATGAGCCGGCGCCAAATGCCACTCCCCTCTTCACGTTCCCCAAGCTCTGCGGTCCTCTATCAATGTCAAGGTGTTGTCGTCCAATTGCCGAGCGTTGACGTGCCTGCTCGCGTGTTTGTGAATGTGTGAACGGTAAAGTGTTGAGCGCTTTACCTTCACCGGAGCCATAGCCCAGGTCTATGGTGTGGTCGGTCTTGACTGGGCTTGGATTTAGCAATGATTCTGTTGGACAAAGTGACAATACGTTATCCTGTCAGTATTATTACCAACAAAGCGCCAAACAGTTAAATAATGCAACACGTGATTTATTTTAATTTAAAATAAATTTGAATTGCGCAACCTGATTTTGTCCCAAGCGTTGTCACATTTCACGTTGTAAGTTAAACGGAAGTTCCGTGTCAGCGACATGCGGTAGGTTGCGTTAGAGTTTACGCTTCCTGCATGTCGCTGAATTCTCGACGGTATTTTTATTTTACGGGGCGGATAAGCGGCGGCTCGGTGGTTTAGGGCAGCGATGGACCGAATCCAGCGACCTGCGATCAATTCACGCCGCGGAAATTCACAAACCCGCAGCGAGCAGCGCGTGAGTGAAGTATCCGAATAAGAATCTTTATTTAGCCTGCAAGGAGGAATCCGATGAGCTACGAAGCTCTTTTTGGCAGATGTCCAGTACGGGAGCGTCGGCAAGTTATAACAGCAAACGATCCAAAAAAACCCGATAGGAGTGCAAAAGAGAAAGATAAATAAAGCTTAGTACCGTAAGTTACTAAATATAAATCCATTCATTCTACAAGTCACATTTATCAAGCTTGGGCAAGGCAGCAAACACAGTAACAACAACACAGTCCCAGACCACACCAAGATAATACCACGCAGCAGCAGCAATCCCTCAATAAAATTGACTAAGGAGTGTGGTCAAACGAACCCTGTTCCCCACGCCCTCGCTCGCCATGCCGTACCTAAAACTCTTTCCAGATCTGCCATGTCCGCGCAGCGATCGGCCTCTCGCTTGTGGCTGTCAGAACAACTCTCCCTTGCTTCGTACGACTCCCAAAAGCTCTAAGGCAATCGCAAGATCTGAAAAAAGAGGTAAAGTAAGCAAGTTAGGTCAGTCAAGGGGCATAAGAGCATCACGCAAACTCCGGTCATCATCGCAAGCGGCGGCTTGTGGCTGGCCATCGAACAAAGACGGTGGTCACTGCGTCGTGACGCTTTCAGATTGCGCTCCTGCGGCCGTCTGGAACGTCTCTTCATCCCGATATTAGGAAGCCACCGATGCTATGCCCTTTTAAATCTAGATTGAAAACTCATTCCTTCAGAACGGATTTGCGTGTTCGCAGTTTGTTGTCCTTCCCCAGCGCGTCCGATCAGCACGGTTCGGCTACGTACGGTGCGAAGGAAGTTCAACATGCATGCAGATGGATACGCGATTTTAGTTCAACTGATGCGTCTGCCACTCGACAACAGCGAGCGTTGCTCGCGTTGATGTTAAACCAAATAAACACGGCGTGCGCAGTGACCCGGTCAGTCAAACACAGTCGTGCGATTTTAACAGAAACTAATTAATAATAGTAATACAATTTTTTTTCTATAAAAAATGTAAAGCACCTTTCTTACCCGAGTCTCAAAGCGCCGCGCAAAAAACTAGATCCACAAATATGAACACATTCCAAACGAAATACAATCAAATCTGATAAGAGCAATATTAACTACACTCACAGCATACACGAAATTAATAACTACGATACAATATTGTCCAATATAGTCATGTCAGTACAAGTCTGATGAAGGTAAACACTTGGGCTTCTTGTGATAGAAATTTTTGCTACTCAGCACATGCGAGCACGTATGAGCACGGTTGGGTAATACATGGCTATGTACGGTGCGAAAGAAGTTCAACATACATACTTGCATGTATGCAGTAAACTGGATAACATCCACGGGAATGTGGCCACAACAATATATCGATGGTTCATGCATGCAGCATAGCAGATTCTAAGATGGCGAGGATTCAACTCCACAATTCAATCTGCCCAGACGAATGTAGTGAATATATACCACTCATTACATTAACGCACGATGATGAACAATTGCTCAAATTTTTGGTATCCATTTCTTAACTGTAAAATGATAAATTTAGGATTTAGTATTTTGTGTATGCTACATAAGCGCAGCTTAACTTAACAGGCTAACATTCGGCATTCCTTGACACTGGACAAGTCAAATAAAAAGAACTAATTCAAAATCAAAACTCTCATCTAAATATTTCACAATTCCTCTATTGCCTTCTTAACACAAATAGCACAGTTATGCAACCGTATGAATTCACGAAGAATATTCGTGGAAAAAAGTTTCAACAAATGTCTTTAAACGCACAAATAATAGTAAATAAACTTTGAATATACTTTAAATGTTAATCCGAAATATTTTAGACACATGTAACAGTTGTCCAAAGTGCACGCCTCTAATCGAGTGCATTCCATGCTGGATTAAAATCCCCCCACGTTAGAGCCGATGGGCATTTAACAAAACAAAGACCTAACCTGCAATAAAGTGTCCACACACACACGGGCAGCGAACCGAGCGAGAGATCTATGCAAACCCGAACCCACCGATCAATCCCGTCACACACACGGGGTTCCACCACCCACCCCCGTCTCTCAAGCTGTACTCACGAAATCTCCGTCGCACCTGCACGGGCAGCGAACCGAGCGAGAGATCTATGCAAACCCGAACCCAGCGATCAATCCCGTCACACACACGGGGTACCACCACCCACCCCCGTCTCTCAAGCTGTACTCACGAAATCTCCGTCGCACCTGCCCAGCGCGCAACGCGTGTTCTGGCAGCTGAGAGCAAACCGCCCCGCACTTAAGACTTCGTGCGACTGACGCTGCCGCACAGTCAGCGCGGAGGAATGCACGCGTGTCGCACAGGTGGGGGGGGGGGCAGCCACAGGTACGCACCTGAGCTTTCCACAGGAGCTGCCCGGGCAGGTACGTGGGGCAAGGTTGGCGGAGGCACAGGTGGTACACCCCCTCTCACCGGAAAAGGGAAAGTGCACAAATAAGGACTTGTGTGGCGAATTTGAATTTGTGTGCGCACCGAGGGGAGATGTCAAGTTGCCGTTGGGCTGGGCTGGGGTTAATGGGGGTGGCGTGGGCCGGGGGTGGCTGTGGGTGGCTGTGAATGGACGAGTGAGAAAGGGAGTGGCAGGTCTCTTCTCTGGAATTGGGCTCAAAAACCTCGGTGACCTTCCCACTGCGTTTGATGGAGATGTTGTTTTTGTTTGAAATCGGTTCGCGTGGCAACGACGGAGCCAAACACGTAGAGTCTGTTCTTTGGTTGTTTTTTTTTAAAGAGGCCAAGTTTCAGTGAGGACATGTATCACTTTGGGCCAAATATTACCGTTATCGATTTGATCACAATTCCTGTCAATGCCAGCAAGATAAAAACAAACCATTCTTGAACCAGGTGAAAATGTAAGAGATCAGGATTAATTTCATTCCCAATATGTTTACCGGATTTCCAGTTTACTTTGTTTAATTTGAATAAGTGCCGTTGATTCAAATTAAACATTAATTACGTGGAATCAAGATGTGTATTTTACGAATAGCATATCAACAACAGCATCAGCCATGGTCAATCCGCTGCTGGACGAAGGACTCTGAAGCCGCCACCACCGCCTCTCACGATCCTGCGATGTAACAATCCATCCAGCACCGACACAATGGCGAAATGTTAACTACCTCACCTGGTATGGAAGAGGTCGTGGGTCCCATCCTGACCGACGCCTGCTGGATATTTGGAGTTTGCGTGCTATTCCCGTCGTCGTCGCGCGCATTTTACTCTGGGTCCTCCGGGTTTTCCCTCTACATTTAGTAAACGTACGTGCATTCAGACTATTTAGATTATTTGGCTGCAAGAAATATCCACGGAATAAGCAACTTCGTTGAGCTATAATTTGTGGCCAGGTCGCTTCTGAAATACAAATAGTTGCTCTGTGCGATTTATCAAGTACTGTAAAAGAAAAAGTTTAGTAACCGTTTATTTATGTATTTATCGTGATTTGCATACCGTGCATTTTACTTTGCACTTCAATCTTTGTTTTGTATTGTTTGTTGTAACTTTATGACCCGACTCGACCGGACACGTGAATAAAAAAAGAGGTTCATAGCTCATCGGATTTCTCCAGAATAAAGATGATTTTTTAATTCTGATTTCCTGGCAGACACCGCCGTCTCATACGCGTTCCATTCCATCGCTGCCACTTGCGTTACTATTCTCGACTTGACCGTTGGCTATCAACATCCCTTCTGGCCGTGACGTGCCCTGCCCAAGCCCCATTGACTTTTCTTCACAGTTTGAATGAAATCTTCAACCCTGCGAAGGTGCTGTAATCCATGCGTTTCTTTCTGCGTTTAAATGTAGCGAGATACATGCTGAGAATTGGCAACAGAATATAAAAGTGCATATCATAGTTTTAATATATTGTCGAATAAGTGAATACTGGATGCAGTTAATACGTTTCAAATGGAAATAAACAGCACGTGGGTGACTCTAACCAATTGCGTGCCATAATCAGGACAGATGGTGTAAGAAGAAAACGGTTGATCGGAATATACCTGTGAGATCTTCACTCAAAACTGCTCTAGAGGAGTTGTACACCCCTAGCTGCCACTGCTATTCAGTGGCCTAAAATCAAATGTTTCGCTCCGGATGACCGCTGCAAAGTATGATCTTGTGTTTTGATTTAGTGTGCTGATCTTTAAAGGTACATTGAAAATGTTTGATACTCCTACTGATGCCCCTGCTGTTGTGGAGTGACTCATGCAGCCAGCTATGGCTACAGGTTTTGGTGGTACATGTTGATGTTGTTAATTGTGAAATTTCGGTCACAGTTCCTATGATAACTGTTACATTGCTTTTATGGCTTTATTTTGGTGATTTCAAGAAGTTTTTTTGTTTGGCCATGTTTGTTTGTTGTAGTACGGAGTTAAACTAATGGCTTTAATATAAGTTGTCTTGTGGTTGTTGTTGTTTGACTTGCATCCCACTGGGATTTTTGCACACAGCGTTGGTGTACGGTGCTTTTTCTGGAAGTTTTTGCAGTTTTTTCCTGGATTTTTCTGTTTGCGCGTAGTCACTTTAAGATGTTTTCTTATTCATGTTTGTGTTTGTTGCGGTTGCACCCGATTCAAAAGCCGAATGGCTAACAGGGCTATACCAAATAAATGAAACTGAAAACTAATAGCTACTGAGTGTAACTATTCACGTAAACTGAAAAACTGGTCATCAGAATTGTTTTTAAGCGTAGTGCTCATGGTGCAAAGTGCAGTCTCCAACGAGCCTATAGCCCGTCCAAGGACGGGTGTGTATTGCACTTAATCTGAAATATTCAATCGAAAATAATGATCCGCTCATGATTATTATTGAGGGCGTGATCCACATGAGTGACGCCATCAGCTCATGATTATTGATGAGGGGGAGCTCCATGTGCAGTGACGTCATCCGCTCATGATTATGAATGAGGAGGGGTGCCCTATGTGGAGTGACGTCACCCGATCATGATTATGAATGAGGGGGGGGGGGGTGCCCCACATCATCCGCTCATTATTAATGGGGGTGGTTGCCCCATGTGGAGTGACGTTACCCGCTCATGATTATTGATGGCTGCGGCATGTGGAGTGACGTCACGCGCGGGAGACACACATTCTTGGCTTATATTATTACTAGCTTTTTTCCCGTCCAAGTGCGGGTGTATATTGCAGTAAATCTGAAATATTCAATAGAAAAATTGTTCAGCTCATGATTATTAATAAGGGGGGGGGGGGGGGGTTGCCCCATGTGAAGTGACGTCACCCGCTAATGGTTATTGGGGAGGGGTGCGGCATGTGGAGTGACGTCACCCGCTAATGGTTATTGGGGAGGGGTGCGGCGTGTAGAGTGGGCGACCTTCTTGTGCGTTTGTGTAAATTTCCACGCGGGCATGAATATTAATGAAGGGGGGGGGGGGACTCTTTTGCGGTGACGTCACACACGGATGTAGCGCTTGCTTAGATTGATTTTTTACTGTCACTTTCTGTAAAGAAACGTCATATTCGAAGCGACTTTGCGTAATAAATCATTTCAGTCTGCTCGATCTTCCTCTGCGTTGGTGTAAAAATCCACTCATGAATATTAATGAGGGGGGGTAGGCCTCATGTGGAGTGACGTCACGCGCGGAACACACACATTCTTGATACATATTAGTAATATATCTCACTGAAATCTCAATGTAAGTGCTATGAAGAAGGGACATTGCTATTCGTGATTTATCATCCTTCCGAAATGTGGATAGAGGGGTGCGAGGATTGTGCACGCAGTCAACCGCCGTAGCTTTTACATTTATACAACGCCGTCCAGGATCAAGACCTCACAATGCGCTTAACCCAAAAGTTATCTTTAAGCAACAAACATCTTACACGTTAAAACCTTAACAATACAATTTGAATTCATATAAAGTCTAAAATGTCACTGCAGCTCACGATCCTGTACAGAAACCGTGTGCATATTGAACATTTTCGGGGTATTCAGTCAGAAGTGAAGGAATAAAAAGGACATGTCTTGAGCCTGGGACTTGAACAGGGAGGCTGGGAGTAAATACATAAAAAAAAGCTCCTCACTGATATTAAGTGTCTTATTGAACAAATATTTAGTTGGGCACGATTTTCAAAAGAAAGGTTGAATTAATCTTGGTTGCAAGTGCAACTCAGCAAACCGTAGAGGCCCGGTTCACACACAACACGTGGAACACTGAATAACTATTCAGCCTGTGGCCGCACCTGTCGCACTATAGCTATGCCGCTGTACTCATTTGATTATATGCTTTTATTATAACCTTACAACAGGGTCGTTAAACTTCTGTCGGCCCCATCCCTGCCTCTTGCCCCACTCCTATACTCCTTAAGCCCCACACCTTACACTTTGGGCTCCACTCCTCTCCTTTTATGGCCCCACCTCCTTTAGTCCCTGAGCCCTTCCTCCAGACACAGGGTGGGCCTTGTGGGTGGTGGAAGGGGGGCAGGGGGCACGGCAGTGGCAGTCGTGGGTGGGGTCAGTCGGGGTGGGGCGGCTTCATGATGACCGGACCACACATGGTCGTTCGGTTGAACTTTAAGGACCAATATATGCAGTGGTGAGGGAATGCTGCCATGGTGTACTGGTCAGCACATTGAACTTCCAGAGGTCAAGCTACCAAATCGATGTCTGGAAGATAAAACATGTTCATCTTCTTTGGTTCTTTCGGTAAAGTCACGTAGAATGAGAATTCAATAAATTGATAAAATAACTCAATAAAATTCTCACGACGTTCCGGCCACAACACAAGCGGCCTTCATCAGGTGAAGGGACGAGATTGTCTGGAGGACAGCGCTGGAGCTCCAGACAGTCTCGTCCCTTCACCTGATGAAGGCCGCTTGTGTTGTGGCCGAAACGTTGTGATAATTTTAGTGTTATTTTATCTTATCAATTTATTATTTTATTCTCATTCTACGTGACTTTACCGAAAGAACCAAAGAAGATGAATCCTTGCAGTCACGAAAGCTTTAAATCGAAATAAAACATGTTCTTTGCAAGTGCTTGCCATTCAAAACTTTCTGATAGTTCCCATGTAAATAAACACAGGAGGCCATCCATTTCTAGTGCTTTGATCTTTCAGCCCTCCATGTAAACAAATTACGCAGAATCGTCCACTTCAGAAAGTCACTGGTTGACATGGACATGACTGCATATAACTTCCAACTACAGCGTTACTAAACTCAGAACTCAAGGGTCAAGATCTTTCATTTTCGCACTTATTTTATTACAAAAAAATAGTGATTTGAAGCTTTCGTGACTGCAGGGATTCATCTTCTTGGTTCTTTTGGTAAAGTCAGGTAGAATGGAAATAAAATAATATAAAACATAATAAAATAAGATTCTCACGACGTTTCGGCCACAACACAAGTAGCCTTCTTCAGGTGAATAAACAGGACTGTCCAGAAGACAGCGCTTGAGTGAACATTGCCAAGCATGGACCACGTCTTTTAAGCTGTGTGGGCGGGATTAACATATGACTTAGCATGTTACCCAGCACCACCACCGGATCGGAGGAGGGTGGCGGCTGGGCACACAGAAAAAGAAAGAAAAGAACAGCCACGGTGCTCTGCTCTGTCCTGTATTGCGTTATAACTATGCTATAAACTGGACTACTATACAATACAATATTATACCTTTCAATCTAAACTACATGGTATAACATCATATCCATAGACAAACTTCCACTTTTGAATTATACAATGCGTTACTATACACTACCCTATACTTTTAGACTATAAAATATTAGACTTGTAACTTTACACTGTCTTATTCTATCAACCCTACTATATACCACACTGCTGTATATTCACTATAGAATTATGATACTATATATTGCCTTATGAATTATGTTAAACATTACAATGTTATACTATTTATTATTAGCCAGATGCTATATACCATTGACCATCGTGTGAAAGGTATTAAGAGGCAGTGCCAGCGAATGGACTGCGGTCTGAAGGTCACCGTAAAATACAATCAATTAAGAACTGAAATGGTTTATAACATCTTTCCAATAGTTACTAAGCCAGAATCCATCTTCTCGGTTGAAATTGTCTCTGTGTTTGTATATGTGGATGGCCTCATGAACGAATCTCTCATGGTAGCCAGATGGCTTGCAGAGAACCTCCGTCTTGGAGAAGTCAATGTCATGTGAGCCCACTGAATTATAACAGTGATCTGCCACGGCTGAGGAGTTCGTCCTAGCGTGTTTCAAGTCTGCTTTATGTTCACGGATGCGGTCTGAGATGTCGTTTGGTTTCTCCAATGTAGCTACTACAGAGGCAACTTAGTTTGTAAACGCCCGGGTACTACATACAGTACTACATACAGTACCCGGGTATTTACAAACTAAGTTGCCTCTGTGGTAGCAGCTACATTGGAGAAACCAAACGACATATCTCGGACCGCATCCGTGAACATAAAGCAGACTTGAAACGCGGTAGGACGAACTCCTCAGCCGTGGCAGATCACTGTTATAATTCAGTAGGCTCACATGACATTGACTTCTCCAAGACGGAGGTTCTCTGCAAGCCATCCGGCTACCATGAGAGATTCGTTCATGAGGCCAACCACATATACAAACAGAGACAATTTAAACCGAGAAGATGGATTCTGGCTTAGTAACCATTGGAAAGATGTTATAAACCATTTCGGTTCTTAATTGATTGTATTTTACGGTGACCTTCAGACCAGTCCATTCACTGGCACTGCCTCTTTATACCTTTCACACGACGGTCAATGGTATATAGCATCTGGTATAATAATAAATAGTATAACATTGAAATTGTATAGTGAATATACAGCAGTGTGGTATATAGTAGGGTTGATAGAATAAGACAGTGTAAAATTGCAAGTCTAATATTTTAGTCTAAAGTATAGGGTAGTGTATAGTAACGCATTGTATAATTCAAAGGTGGACGTTTGTCTATGGATATATTATACCATGTAGTTTAGATTGGAAGGTATAATATTGTATTGTATAGTAGTCCAGTTTATAGCATAGTTATAACGGAACACAGGACAGAGCAGCGCACCGTGGCTGTTCTTTTTCTTTCTTTTTCTGTGTGCCCAGCCGCCACCCTCCTCCGATCCGGTGGTGGTGCTGGGTAACATGCTAATTCAAATGTTCATTCCGCCCACACAGCTTAAAAGACGTGGTCCATGCTGGGCAATGTTCACTCAAGCGCTGTCTTCTGGACAGTCCTGTTTATTCATTCACTCAAGCGCTGTCTTCTGGACAGTCCTGTTTATTCACCTGAAGAAGGCTACTTGTGTTGTGGCCGAAACGTCGTGAGAATCTCATTTTATTATGTTTTACTTTTATTATTTTATTTCCATTCTACGTGACTTACCGAAAGAACCAAAAAGAAAAAAAGTGATCAAATAAAACATTGACATGAGACCCAGCCCCAGGCCCACTTGGATAAAAGTTTACTTTTAAAAGTATGAACGGGAACAGTCACAAACCTAGTTACCTGTGATGTTGGAGCTGTATTGGTGGGAAAGAGTGGAAGGAATATACGAAGAAAAATGCATTCAAATGCCTACTTGTGAGCATGCAATCATTCAAACCATTTTTATAAAAAGATACCCTCCAATCTTGCACCTATCACAGCAGTCTATAAATACAAGGCTATATATTTAAGTAAAACAATTGTGCTCTCTTGGCACAAGGCACTATTGAGACTGGCTATTCTACGCAGATACCACATGAAGGTGTAATTGAATGCAGGCTTCAACAAAAAGCACAAGGAGGAATTCGACCCTGGGACAGTATGGCAGGCAGCACGCATTGGCGCAGTGCCACACAGACCATGAATGTTTCCAACATCTACAACCAAAGGAGATATTTTCACATGATTTAAGACAAGCTAAAGTATTGTAAAGCTGCTTGTGTAATCACCATAACAAAGACCCCAGTAGCCATAGGCAGGCCAGACCAATCAAGTTCAGTGCACGAGAACAAGAACACTGAAATGGGGTATGTAATAAAGCTCATTCATTCATGCCCTATACGCTTGGGTTTCTCATGGCGATTTACATCATATCTCACACATTTCAAAGGCCACCCCTAGTGGCAGTTGTCCATGCGGGTGACTCGGTATCTGACCTGCCCGAAAACGGGAATTAGTCTGCCAGTAGGAGGCAATGATTTGCTATGTAGAATCTTAATTGAGCAAGTTGTGGATAAGTTTCGATTTTTTTTTCAAATTTTACCAAAGACGCAGGTACACAATAGTCTATTTTTGCGAATGATGGGGGGGTGGGGGTCTTTAATGTCCACTGCGAATGATGATACCCACTGGAATAATTAAGGCAGCTGTCAGATTCGAACCGCAACAAGTGGTGAACGCGCTACCGCTAGGCCATCTCACTTCCCCACTGAGTAAGCCTTTTCCTTCAATGTCATGGTTGGATATCCGGGGTGTACTGACGTCGATAAATATTTGTGCCAAAGCATTTCAGACATCGCATGTAAAGTTGTGATAGATTGAAGGTGGATATATTGACAAATAAAAAAATGCATACGACTCAAACTAGTGAAAACAGGTCATACATTAAAAAAATAAATTCCTGCCATTTACATTGCAGTATTCACATTTTCTAATTAAACGACTGTATATAGTTAAAGTCAATTACAACTTACTCTCTATGTTTATATAAAAACAGTACTAGCGATGTTTCTTATAAAAATTACTTCCAATGGTCATTTAGCTTAAAAAGTTGAACATAACATGAGAATATTCTTAGCTCTTTCGGTAAAGTCACGTTGAAGGGAAACAATAAAATAATAAAATATATATGAAACAATAAAAATTCTCACGTTTCGACCATAACACAAACGGTCGTCATCAGGTGTCGGTTGGCATACATTTATTTATTTTTAAACGGTGTATTTATTTATAAAAAAAAACGTCAGCGCCAAGCGCAGCGATTTGGCAGTTTATTTAGAAGGACTAGTCCATCTATGTTCTGAAAAGAGGAGGGGGGAGACGAAAATTTAATGTATGCTGTCTGAAAGCCACTGTAAGCGTGAACAATCAATTAAGACCTGAAATGGTTTATCAAATCTTTCCAATTTTTCGTCTCCCCCCTCCTCTTTTCAGAACATAGATGGACTAGTCCTTCTAAATAAACTGCCAAATCGCTGCGCGTGGCGCTGACGTTTTTTTTTATAAATAAATACACCGTTTAAAAATAAATAAATTTATGCAAACCGACACACCTGATGACGACCGTTTGTGTTATGGTCTAAACGTCGTCAGAATGTTTATCGTTTCATATATATTTTATTATTTTATTGTTTCCCTTCAACGTGACTTTACCGAAAGAGCTAAGAATATGAATTACTGCAGTCACGAAAGCTGTAAATCAAAAATATAACATGAGAATATTATTGTGTTATTTTATTTTATCAATTTATTATTTTATTCTCATTCTACGTGACTTTACCGAAAGAACCAAAGAAGATAACAAAGATATTGGCTGTTCAGAATAATTTTGCCTAAAGCCCATCAAATAGAGATTTTAAAACGATGACCCCAAGTATATTCTGTATTACAATAGAAATGCATTGAACAGCAAAGCTGGGAGACTGTACAAGCAGACGTAACATAGTTGTACGTCGGATATTAGCTAAGGTCCTGATTTATTTTCAGGTCCAACAGGTCTTCTTGTCCAGAGATCACCAGGTTCTTTGGAGAGAAAAAAGCAAACATCATGAGAAATACGTACACAGGACTGTTCCCCCCCCACCCCCGAGACACAGCCTCTTTTGTCAATCTTCCCCATGCTGCGCAGGTTCTGGGGGCTATATAATCATACTCCACCACGCTGGTTACCGCGCGTTCATGAAGATGGCTAGCAGATATGGAAGCGTAGCCAACTTATAACAACATGACGCGCATTGTGATCACCCATCAAAGCACAATCCAGGTTCAACCCTGCTTAGAACAGAGATCAAAATTACCTGGGGCATTCCGGGTGATTTGGTGTCAGGCCCTAGACACATACATCAGTCCTAAATACTCGGTGACCTACCTTCCCTTACTCATCGTTGAAATTGCATCCTATGATTTCTAATTAATAGCCGTATGAACAGAATTACAAAGTTTGGTACTGTGTAAAACATGTACCTTTTCATTGGCCAGGTGCAGGAGACAGACAAACGCCATGGGCACCGACAGGTTCTTAGACATGGAGATGGGTAACCTTGGGGAAGCAATATCCACACGTCATAATACAAAGCAGTTCACAAGCCACGGGAATTACTATAGAATGTAAGTAACAATCATAACTGATATAGTGTAACTATAAAAAACATGGCATTATATGGACAATTGAATGTATTTGTGAAAAAGTGGGTTCATTCTCACCTAGCAGGTAGTTTTTTGTACATTTCTGAAAAGAGAATTTCTTTGGAGACTTTTGCATCTTCATTTTCATTCGTATTATTCTAAAAAAGATATAAACATTGATTACAAAAACAAATAAAAAAATGTTTATTCAACTTGATTTGCGGTTTTTAGATTTAAACATTTGAACTGCTGGTTTCTGAATAATGTATAGATTTTGATGAGCCTAAACTGAACTGCAGTTACTGGGACTTAATACATTAAGCCAGTCTTCCATACACTAAATAATATACATGAAACACATTGTAACACGTAGAAATATCCCTCACATAGCCATTAAGAGACTATTGGTTTAAACGTTGTTCTCGAACACTTATAATTATTAAGGATGGAATGGCACACCTGGCCAACCATTTGTTTTCCAGTGCATAATGTTATACAACACACTGTGTATACATTCACAGCCGAGTTCAATTATGGAGAATCCTAGAACCGTTTCCAATATCATTTCGCAACAAATTTTAGTTGTGGTCAGGATTTATAGCGCAGTGCGCTAACCACTAAGCCACTGCTCCCCATATTGTAGCATTATATACACACACTCACAAAGTGTAGCATAGTCAGAACACAATGTTCAAATGGCACATTTTCTCTTGCATTTTAATAAAACAAATATCAAGACACACGTGTCCTTCAGTGTAAAGAATGGGGAGAGAATAAATTAAGATTGGCTCCACATGATAACAGCAATGGATCCTATTTAGATCTACAAGTCAACAAGAGCAGACTCTGGTGTCACAACCAGTCTTCGTGAGCTGCAGACATAAGCAGCCACAAAACCCCTCCAGGAATGCTCCGTGTGGCTTTTTGAAATGGGGTGACTGTTGCGTTAGCGGCACAGAAAACAGCTCAAGGGGGTTTAGGTGGGGTCGACCACATGCACCGCATTCGGGCAAGTTTTGACAAACTCCTTTAACTGCAGCAAAACGTTCGACCACCCCCACCTCGACACATCGCATCCAACCTCTATGTGAAGCTCAAATGCATACATACACACACACACTGAGAGTGCACAAGCTGCGATTTTTTTTGTGTGAAAACCTCTCTCTTGAGGTTGAGTCACAGCAAAACGTCAACTTCTGATGACACCAGGGGGATGAATAGAGAACGTAGTGTGCTGGCCCATGTTCACATTTTCAGGATTACAAAACAAATGAATGATTCATTTACAATTAGACCATTAAATTAATCATAACGTACTTTACTCTTTGGTTCTTTCGGAAAAGTCAAGTAGAAATAAAAGAAATTAAGTAATAGAAAGAACCAAAGAGTAATTTATGCAGTCACGATAGCTTCGAATCAAGTTTATAACGTACTTTGTAAGAGGCATCTTGAAAAATAAAACTATTCATTTTAATGTACTTGTCATCATAAACTAAATATTGATTTTATTTACGTAACAAATATATGTGCAATAAAAGGAAAATAGGTTTGTAATTTTTCACGTCAGTTTTATCATGTTTTGAATATCACAATGGCCGAGGCATCATTCCATGATTGAGGTATGAAGGCTTTGGAAGGCCTTCATCTAGCAGTAAACATATCAAGGCTGATGATGATTTTAAAGAAAAAAGAAGGCAAATCCTCTATCTTAAACCATTTCCAGTGATAAAAAAACTGTTTTAAAACCTAAAAATTGGTAAACAGTTTGTTGGCTGGGATTTCAACAATATTAATCAATGCTGAGGCCAAGTCATCTACTGATGATACTCAGAAATTGACATTGCTAATCCAGGGTTTGCATACTTAAAAAAACAAATGCTGCTTGAAAACATCGGTAGAAAAGCCACATTGACTGAAGAATAAAACTTGAAATTTCGATCTGACCATTTGCAATCTCATATTGCTAATTCTATAAATAGCCAACTTAAGAATGTTATGAAAAAGTCATAGGCACTTCCTTAATGTGAAAATGGATGGTTTGACAAAGTAAAATAACACGTTGAATTACTTCTCATGAACGGTAGAAATAATAGCAACAGCTTGTAGAATTCACAGAACATTTAGACGGGTACCCCATAATTGACTAACTTCATGACAAGTGATTTATGTTCGAACCAAAAATGAAAAGTGGTTTTTAGTCATGCCAGCCTGAGGTTTGGCCGTGGGCTTGGGTGTAGCATTATTTGTAACCCGTGTATTCGGTCTTACAATGAAAAATGATGTTGACAACTTTCATATGGAAATTGTGCAATCCACCACAATATTTACGTTAAGTTTATAACAGTTTATTAAACATTTGTAATGTTCCTAGGTATGCATTAAATGAAGCTGTATTTTCAATATTGGGGCAATGAAAGGGCTGAATGCATCAATCATTACTGCATCGTTAACACAATGGCTTTGTTGTGGTTGGGATATTGTGCGAGTTTAGTACAGTACAATATTGCCATTACTGAAAATTTACAAAGCTTAAAAGAGTTTCAAGAAAACCTCAAGGCTCTCTCCATCGACGAGTTGCAACAGGCCTAAGATAACATGATATATCCTCTTCCATGAAACCTAAGGCAAATAACAATGTTGCGTCTCACTGGGTATGATTAATCAGCAGAAGGCTCCCGCCCGCACCACCCCTCACCCCCCTCCCCATATCCAACAGCTTCTCTATGAACATTTGAATCCCTGGGATTTTATATATTTATTTTACGTTTTCTTTAAACTGTCCCCTTTCAAAGTGAGGTTGAGAACTTTTCATTGGTGGTGTTGGCAAACAATAAACCACGTGCTTTCGCCACACTGTCTTTGAATGATGGCTTGTCTCTCTGTATTGGATGTAAACACAATCCAGCTCAGCTAGATGGAACAATCTTTTTCTCAAAAGCCACAGGTTGACATCGATTGTATACTGCAGCCAAGCTCAGTCAGATAAAGCAAGCATTGTTTATTTGTTCCTGTCTAAGTGTAAATTTAAACGGTTCAAGTTCGACAGGTTATCATCATCCTGACCGTCCTAATGACTCGGGGAGCCATCTTCACTGGCAAAGAAAAAGCGCCAATGAGAGTTCACTCTTTGTTCTGCTTAAAGGGTAACAAACAAAAAAACACCCAGCCCCCACCAGCAATTCTGCAAAAAGTCCTCCTTGAAAACTAATTCAATAAAAGAGAGCACAAACGCTGCTTCTGTTCCCACACTGAAGACGTAATGCACTGTTGAACTCTTATTTATAGCTGTACATTTGTATTTGCACAAAGCATGGCTGAATACAATATAAAACCCACACAAAGACAAAACTTCATGAAGCACCAAGGCAGAATAACAACGTGTTAGAGGAATGCAGTCTCCCCTGATCTGAGTGTTAAATAATACATTTAAAATTGTAAATGTGCACTGCGGTAACTATTAAAAGTTTTTAAGCGCAGCTGTTGGGGAAGTTTTTTTTCCATGCAAACCAAATCTTGAAATTGCCTACTAATCTACACAGGTTATGAATGAAACGCAATGGCATTAATGGTGAGACAAAGACATTTTTATCGCCCTTGCCTTTAATATAAGCTTGCCTTGAAACCAAGACTGTAAAACTATTGGTAAAATGCCAAGGTGGGTTAGAGTAGAGGAATCGAGCACAGCTCCAGCTGAGTTATGAAATTTTTGCCAGCTGCATAATATACAATAAAACACACCACACAAACGTATTATATATCAACGCATTATCAATAATAATTGTGCCTACTTTTAACTTTTTTTAAGGAGAGTTGGCCAATTACAATTCCATTAATTGTTTCGTGTGGAAGGAAATCAGAGAATCCCAGAGAAATTCCATGCCTACAAAGGGAATAACACTCAAAGCTCCATGCAAATAGATGAAATACAGATAGTCCCCGAATTACGATATTTAAATCTTACGATGGCGATACGACAAAATTGTAAAATATTTGAAATTTCGCGCAGCAGGCAAACGCAGCAGCATACGAGGTACGACACTGTACGTTGGTAAGCTGCCGGGATTGTTGTCTGAAAAAACTTTCTATGAAATTGCAGTTCATATAGGTAGGCTAAGAATTTACCTTGTTTTTTTACTTTACATTTTACTGTGTAATACAGTATTGTAATTAATAAAGACATACAGTATATAGTTTATACAGTACGGTACTGTAAATTGCTCTGTTTTGCTAAATTATCACAATTCTTTAAGACTCCTGGGTAGACTAGGCCATCTTCGACACGATATATTTGAATTACGATGGGGTCATCGTAACGCATCTCCATCGTAAGTATAGGACTACCTGTAGTCAATTTGCTGCACTGCCATCCCCTGGCCACATCACAGCACAGTGAATACATTTGCATGACTGAAAAATTCTTGCCTTACAAAGCACTGGATTTGCAGGTGGGAAAATAATTATTTAAACCAAAGTATTGTGTTAAACACAATATTTTATTTATTTTACTTTTGGTGAAACACATTTTAAAACACTGCTTCTACATTCACAAAACAAGAATAAAGCATGTTCATTAAAACTGTCCAGGGTAGGCTAAACTTTGCTGTCAATGACTTTTCCATGATGAGATGACACGGGGACATCGTACATTTTGTTAAAACGTGTCGTATGTACTCTGGCATGGGCCGCTCCCTTTGGCTCATCTTACGCTGTTCTGCACTGCCAAGTCTAACGGACAATCTAAATACATTGGCCTGGAAACCAAATGCCGACAAGTCACAGAAAATACCTCGTACACAATAGCAAGTAGGGAGATGATGGGGCTGTTAGGGATAAATCGATTCAGTTTGGTTTAAACTGGTAATCTCTCAAGCAGCTGATAATTTAACGTATAAAAAAAAATCTTGACAAAACGCCAAGCTTCTGAGAATCCACACATAAATAAAACCCATTGCGAGTATAAAGTTACAGTGAGGGAAAAAAGTATTTGATCCCCTGCTGATTTTGTACGTTTGCCCACTGACAAAGAAATGATCAGTCTATAATTTTAATGGTAGGTTTATTTGAACTGTGAGAGACAGAATAAAAACAACAAAATCCAGAAAAACGCATGTCAAAAATGTTATAAATTGATTTGCATTTTAATGAGGGAAATAAGCATTTGACCCTCTGCAAAACATGACTTAGTACTTGGTGGCAAAACCCTTGTTGGCAATCAGAGGTCAGACGTTTCTTGTAGTTGGCCACCAGGTTTGCACACATCTCAGGAGGGATTTTGTCCCACTCCTCTTTGCAGATCTTCTCCAAGTCATTAAGGTTTCGAGGCTGACGTATGGCAACTCGAACCTTCAGCTCCCTCCACAGATTTTCTATGGGATTAAGGTCTGGAGACTGGCTAGGCCACTTCAGGACCTTAATGTGCTTATTCTTCAGCCACTCCTTTGTTGCCTTGGCCGTGTGTTTTGGGTCATTGTCATGCTGGAATACCCATCCACGACCCATTTTCAATGCCTTGGCTGAGGGAAGGAGGTTCTCACCCAAGATTTGACGGTACATGGCCCCGTCCATCGTCCCTTTGATGCGGTGAAGTTGTCCTGTCCCCTTAGCAGAAAAACACCCCCAAAGCATAATGTTTCCACCTCCATGTTTGACGGTGGGGATGGTGTTATAGGCAGCATTCCTCCTCCTCCAAACACGGCGAGTTGAGTTGATGCCAAAGAGCTTCATTTTGGTCTCATCTGACCACAACACTTTCACCCAGTTGTCCTCTGAATCATTCAGATGTTCATTGGCAAACTTCAGACGGGCATGGATTCCAAGACGTAATATATGCTTTCTTGAGCAGGGGGACCTTGCGGGCGCTGCAGGATTTCAGTCCTTCACGGCGTAGTGTGTTACCAATTGTTTTCTTGGTGACTATGGTCCCAGCTGCCTAGAGATCATTGACAATATCCTCCCGTGTAGTTCTGGGCTGATTCCTCACCGTTCTCATGATCATTGCAACTCCACGAGGTGAGATCTTGCATGGAGCCCCAGGCCGAGGGAGATTGACAGTTCTTTTGTGTTTCTTCCATTTGCGAATAATCGCACCAACTGTTGTCACCTTCTCACTAAGCTGCTTGGAAATGGTCTTGTAGCCCATTCCACCCTTGTGTAGGTCTACAATCTTGTCCCTGACATCCTTGGAAAGCTCTTTGGTCTTGGCCATGGTGGAGAGTTTGGAATCTGATTGATTGCTTCTGTGGACAGGTGTCTTTTATACAGGTAAAAAGCTGCGATTAGAAGCACTCCCTTTTAGAGTGTGCTCCTCATCTCAGCTCGTTACCTGTATAAAAGACACCTGGGAGCCATAAATCTTTCTGATTGAGAGGGGGTCAAATACTTATTCCCCTCATTAAAATGCAAATCCATTTATAACATTTTTGACATGCGTTTGTCTGGATTTTTTTGTTGTTATTCTGTCTCTCACTGTTCAAATAAACCTACCATTAAAATGATAGACTGATCATTTCTTTGTCAGTGGGCAAACGTACAAAATCAGCAGGGGATCAAATACTTTTTTCCCTCACTGTAAAAGTATAAAAATCTAACAAAAACATATCGTGCCTGACGATGTGAACTTTCCTGCAATGACAACCAATCCACACTCGGTTGTGATCATCTCCACGTGTACTTACTACACAGCAGAGCTAAATTAGTGTAATTAAATCAACAGTAGTTAGCTCTTTAATTGATCCCCTTCTAGAAGGCCGAAGTTAATTTTCAAACAAATGTAGAGACACAAATCTACAGATGAAGTAACAAAGAGATACAGATATCTGTGAATAAATAAATCAAAGCAAGGATCCAAAGGCATGGCAGTACTGCAGATAAATAGGTGGAGTTTTGCGAGACGACTCTCATTTGGATGAGCGGAGAGTATATAAAAGTGATAAGACCAGTATTAACATAGGGTCTGAACGTTAGGCTAAAAACCACAGCAGAACAGATGTGCTCCACAGAAATCAAAGATGACCAGATGGATCTCGGGGATTACAATACTTAACTGGCTCAAAAATGCATAGATGAGGAAGGCAAGAGTGGTAACCCCCTTCTCGGACAAGCTTAAATAAAATTTACTCAGATGAGTAGGACATACCATGATACGACAAGGAAACCACGTCAGAAAGATGTGATGAACATGGAAGACTCAAGATGGAGACTGAGAGGCAGGCCTAGAAATAGGTGGGTTCCAAGTGGTGAATGAGGACATGAAGGACTGTGGAGTTTACGTGGACAGGAATGAGTGGAGAAAGGAAATCACCAAGGCAGAACACCACATGAGTGGGAACAATGCAAAAAGAAAAATATGTTGTAGACGTGTGCTAAGATAGGTACACACACCAATATATGTCGAGAAAAAAGTATATACGTTTTAACATTTTTATAAGCATAAACATAATAATGTAAAAAAAAAATCAGGAATGCCCCAATGTTTTAAATATATATATAAAAATACATCAAACACTTTCAACAATATTTGAAAATTCAGGCGTATGTCCCTAGGGATGTGAGCAAGTCAGTGCTCAAGGGAGGGTCTTATTCTTCACGAGGCTCAGCACCTGGACATAACAACCTGCGCTCGGGCACACCAGCCAGACACATGAGACAGCCACCCCCCCATGGCTTGTCATCTGTCTGTACCCCCACCAACACATCCTCCGTAACACACACACACATTGCAGTATCTTTCACCTTCACGCGCCTAACAGACTAAGTCACAGGACTGGTTTGACAGGGATACAGTAAATATATAGTAGTTTAAAAGTGTATAAATAATTTACATCCCTTTGACAATCCACGACTGGATGAAGATCTCCCCCAACACACCTTGGGATATGGTTTGATCATACTTCACGACACTGGTCAGTGTAGGATGATGACTGTTTGATATTACTCACCAAAAATGATGAGTAATATCAAACAGTCGTGGCTGAGATTCAAACGTACGTTGCCAGGTGTATTGTGCAGTGTGCTAATCACATCACCAAAAGCGATACTTAATTAGCAGTGGGGTTTTCTAGTATTACGGCCGCATTATTAAAATATTTGAATGCGGCACCTCTTCACGCTATATAATCCAGGTACCATTGCATTAAAGGTTGTTCATACCATGTCTCCCTCCTGCATCGTCAGCATATTCCAAATGTTCTGCTTCAGTCTCTTGACATCCATTTTCTTTGCCGTTTTCGCATAATCAAGTTGAATCTTGTTAACCTGCCCAGGTCCGTCACACACAAACAAACGTGCTCATTAAAGCAAGTTCGGAAAGCCAGTTTTTTTTACAGAAGCCTTCCTTTTGTTAGGGGATTCAACATGACAATCAAATTTGTGCTTAGTAACAAGCAAACACACATGGATATATTGTTAACGCACACGTTACATCTCGCAGATATGCAACAAAGTGTATTTTACCATATTAAAAATGCTTTATGAAAAGTTTGAGTGCAAATCTTGTCTAAGAATCATAAAATCTGGGTAGCGGTACTCATTCACTGTATGGTAGCTTAGTAGTGACTGGTTTAGGGGTTTTGCAGTTAAGTTAAAACACAAAACGTTATCACACAAAAATATATATTTCTTGGGCATAGCTTATATGTTCTCTTATAGACAATGTGCATGTATCCATAAATGCTGCCCACTAGAAAAAAATAGTTGTTACAGGGGTCTGCCATAGTGGGAATGTGGCATTAGTTGTGGGCATTAATGTAAAGTTGGACACCCAAGGGAGGAGATAGCAGACTCTAACCTTGTGAGGCTCGGCAACCAGATTGTCTCCCCCGTAGGGGGTGGCGTTGTTGTTCATGGAGTCTGAGTATAAGCACATGGTTTGGCTGAAGTTCTGGATCTGGTCTGTGGTGTTAAATTGTCCAGGCTCGTATGCAGGTCCCGCATCGTTGTCGTCGTCGTCATCATCAGCAGCCTGAACACAACACGTGTACATTAGCCTGAGTACATAAACTTCTTACAATGGACACATTTCATTTACTGCCATTTGTGTTTCTGTATTAACAGCACTGTTTGAAACAAATTGTCACGTTTGCTTATTTTAATTGAGAAACCTGTAATTATGTACACGCCATAATTAGATGCTTAACTTGGACTAGGAATCGGTCGACAGATATTAATCACAAAAGTGGAGATGTGCGATTGATGAAGTTTGCCTGTCAAATCCTCTCACATCGAAGTCACCACCTGCTGGCCATTCAAGGACCCCGCCGCCCACCAAGCGTAAACCGTGACTTACCGGCAACGCGGGGCAGTAATTGGCGGCGTCGTTAGCGTTATTGTAGTTGTACGCAGCGATGTCGTCGTCATGATTGCTGCCCATGTCGGCTCGCACGACCCGCATCAGCTGCAGCAACAGAACAACCGTTTGGGAATGGAACAACTCATTCACAAGACTGTGAGGAATGGATCAACCATGGCCGAAGTATTTTTATGACCGTAATGATGATTGATGCCAAGGTGAAGCAGAATGCAAGTACAATACTCTTAACTACCCCAGTGACCTATCATTATTGAACTATGATTATTGGATAAAGGAGGGACACTCACCTTGAGCGAAGGTCTGAGGAACGCACGGATAAGGTTTTCCGGGTCGTAGTGAAAGTCATCCGGAAGGGTCGTTGATTTCATGTTATATCTTTCCACAGTTGTCTTTGTGATGGTTGTAGCTGCCTGCAATGTACATACACGCATGCACATACATCACAAGTATATTTTATCAAGGGCAGTAGCCTTAAATTATTTGGTTACATTGTTTACAGGTGCATAATTTATGCACATTTGTAAAACACTAGAATTTCGGCGGCTTGTGGCCAACTTATTCTAGCTCTTGCGGAGGACTTCTTTGTGCTTCTCGCCTCGCCCATCGCCCCCACTGATGTTCTCTTGAAGATACTACTGACTCTATTGTATGTTGGGTGTGTTGGCATATATGCCTGCAAAAGTAATTTCTTTTTTTGGGGGAAGGGGGGGTGAAATAATATTTTTTTGGGGGGGGTGGTTGACAATTGTTGTAAACCTGTTGGATCAACTTTTTATGCCCACATTTGGGGGGGGGCACTTTCTATTAAAAAAATCATTCAAGCCTCCTGAAAGGCTCTTATGTGTTGCCGGACAAACAGAACGCTGGACTTTTATAATAAAAACGCTCAATAAATGGAAATTATGTATTTCTGGATAATGGTTGAAACAATAATTGAATTGATCATACTGGTTCAGTTGAAAGCTCTCATGTAGTTTTAAATATGAACATTGTATTGCATAACTAAAAACTTCCATTTACTAAAAAAAAAAATCCAATATACACTCTTCTCTATTTGTCTGCAAAGAAAGCATATTGAAAAGCAAAAACAAGTGATCTACTTTGAACCACTGAAAAACACATGTTTAACAAAGTTTCATTTAATACAAAGCACTGTAAATAAAATCTAACAATAAAACTGCACACAAACCTTTGACTGCTTGAATTCATTCAAATTGATTTCTTGGTCAAAGTCGAGACTGAACGTCTTCTTCACTTTAGGTATTTTAGTTCCATTTTTGTCAGTCAATAAAGAAACTGTAATGGACAAAAAACCACACGTGACATTAAAAAGCCCACGCAAATATCACCGCAGCAATTAAGTTAAAACTCTACAAACTATCTTCTTTGGTTCTTTCGGTAAAGTCACGTAGAATGAGAATAAAATAATAAATTGATAAAATAAAATAACACAATAATATTCTCACGACGTTTCGGCCACAACACAAGCGGCCTTCATCAGGTGAAGGGACGAGACTGTCTGGAGGACAGCGCTGTCCAAAACGTCGTGAGAATATTATTATTTTATTTTATCAATTTATTATTTTATTCTCATTCTACGTGACTTTACCGAAATAACCAAAGAAGATTAATCCTTGCAGTCACGAAAGCTTTAAATCTACAAACTATCTTTCGGTGTACAGTATATGTGCACAGCACAATCATTCAATATTTTGAAATGCATGTCACTCCAGAAAGGAGTCCTCAATTTCTTACATATACAACTACTTCTGCAGTCTACTATGAATACATTTTGTAAAAACTATACACACAATTCCCCAAACTACCAGTTTTCCCACTCATTAATTGGTTCAACCTCTAGAAAACTGCAGAATCAATATTAACAGCTAATATATACATACATACACAAGAATATCTACTTTAACAATAATGGGATGTGAAGAATATAGATGAGATGCACTACTATTACAGAAAAAGTAACCACAGTTGAGGCCATCAGATGCAAGTGGAGAGTTGTTTTTGCCATAACATATCAGTGATTCACTCATCAGTACATTACACATGGCCACTCACCTTTACATGTGGGCTTAAGCCTCCAATGGTCAGGGCCTGCCCAGGTTGACAGTAACTTGGGATCAAAGTAAGAGTATTCGCTGGGCTGGAGAGACAGCTGTCCTCGCATTGCCTCAATGCCAGCATTCTCAATCCTCATGACAGCATTGCTGCAAAATACAGCTAATTATTACTCTCAAAGGAAAACGTAAACGGACATTCAATACTTAAATAAAATTAGTCTGACTCCCATCAGTGAAATCAATGACAGTTGTTTTTTTCCCACTAAAAACCTGCAATCGGTCCTTTAACTAAAGACCTTAGGAGCCAAATGTTTAACAGAGTCCTGTGAAGTCCAAGAAAGTATTGCTCACCATTACATGAAGTAATTGATGAAGCTAGTTGTAATTACTGGCAAAACGTCGTACTCAGATTGTAAATGTTGTGGCTTGGCTCTCCAACACACCGGTATGCTGTACTAGTGACGAATTGGCATGTTCTATTTACGCGACAACCATTACTAGTTGCCTGTGTCGGGTTGTTGGAGGGTTTTAACGACACATATTTATGCGATCTAACCCAAAAAACCTCTACTATTCACACAATTAGATACACAAAAATGAGTATGTATAAATTATGTCCAATTCGTGCAATTTTTTTAATTTTATTTGTCATGATCAGCACAATCAAGACAGACTGAGATATTATGAGACAGCAAAGAAAGGACAAATCAAACAATACAAATTAGAGTATAAGTAGGATCACAAAGTACAAACAAGATAAAAAGACAGCATAGAGATGGGGAGTACAAATGACACGTGAAAGACCATAACAAATCGTGACGCATAATTATGAAAATTCTTCAAATTACTGGGATTTTAAGAACTAAAGCCCCTAATGTTGTTTGTCCAAGTGACTATGCTCTCCCATTCTCGGTAATAACACAGGAATGTGGTGGTTCCTCCCGCTGTTGTGTGGTCGCGACGGTTTCGATGTTTCACACCTCTTCCCAGCCACGGCAACGCAACCGCTCCTGAATTCGTTGATCGTCCCGCCCTCGCCGTTGTCACCATTGAAATCGTCTCCCACGACCCCGAAGTCGCCGCCGCCATCGTTGTCGTCATCTTCGTAGTCATCTTCTAGGGGTTGAGGCTCCGCATCCATATCAAAGGCCAGACGGCCGCCTTTGAGCTTTTCTAGCATGGCCATGGCATCCTGTGTGAAACCACATGCGTAAGCGACACTTCCCAGAAAACTATACTGAATTTTATTTTATTTTACCAGGTAAGGCCCACTGAGCTATGTAGCTATTTTTCAAAAGCAACCTGGCCACAAATGATCGCTCAACGAAGTGGCTTATCATGTAGAGGTTTATAGCAGCCAAATACTTGAAGCGCATGTTTCTAAATGCAGAGGGAGAAACCCGGAGGACCCGGAGAAAAATCCACGTGACCACAAGGCTGAGCTGAAGGGTTATGAAACACCTCACCCTTATCAAAGAGCTGCAGATGTTAATTTTGATGAAAGCAGTAATGTACTGTAGCATATTCTTAGCTCTTTCGGTAAAGTCACGTTGAAGGGAAACAATAAAATATATATATAAAACAATAAAAATTTTCACGACGTTTCGACCATAACGCAAACAGTCATCATCAGGTGTGAAAAAACCAACGGCAAGAAACATTTTATTGTTTCCCTTCAACGTGACTTTACCAAAAGAGCTAAGAATATGAATTACTGCAGTCGCGAAAGCTTTAAATCAAAATTTGTACTGTAGCATATCAATATTTTAACAAAGATACAGCATAAGTTATATCTAGGTGTTTTAAATGACCCACTGTAATTTTAGTCAGCATGCTGGGGCATGCCTATAATCCTGTACTTTGGAGACAAGGGTTGGTGGAACACAGATTTATATAACTCTAAGATTCCAGTTAAACCTTCCTTGACACATAAATTATATACTTACATCGTGAGAAAACAATAAAATCACTATTCTATTCTGGAGAAACCTCCAACATCAATGTCTCAAGGGCGGCCATACGCTGACTTCATGTGATGTCATGTAATGTAATGTGATGTCATATGAAGCATAAAACACATCTACATGAATCAGAGATGAAAGGCCCAGCTGATTACCACCAGGGTCAGGGTTTTGAGAAGTAACTTTTAACTGCAAGCACGTACCAGTTTTGAAGTATCATTATCACACTGATTGAACAAGAAAGAGGCCATGGAAGGACAAATCATCTTGTCCTCAAATGAAGACTGCTGCAGAATCCCTGTAATGTAAAGCACTAGTTAAAATTAGGAAAGAAGCCACCCTTTCAAAAGGTCACCATTTAAATCCAAACACTGTATGGGTAACATAAATGAATTTGTACAACAAAATATGTATTGCTGGTTCAATTCAGAGTAGGTTAAATTCCAAAAATGTTTCAACTTGCTAAAACAAGTACACGCTGCAGACAGAATTCCAAAATGTGTTCCCCCTTCTAGATGTACGACTGATTTGAATTACATTAACTGTATTAGACACCATTGCCAGCGGCACATTTTATGGTCGATGACTGTTTCGTAAAAAAACAGCCCTGTTTTTGCACTGGGCAATACAAGTGATCAACAAGACATTTCATATAATGATAAACTGCTTATTATTAACTTAATGGGCTCAGCCCGGAGTGCATAATTATTTTTACATAAGATTAGATTTTTCACTTAACTTTGACAAATATAAAATAAATAATCTTGCCTCCAACAAACATCTCGATAGCAGGAAACACAGTAAATATAGTGTGCATTAGAGGTCACTTTAAGGGAGCTCAAGTATTTTTGTGATGCCACCTTCTGTGGGACATTTTATAACAGGGTGATGCAGTGGTCTGCAAAAGTACAGTGCCATGTTGTTAGACATGACACCAAAAGCGCAAATGGAAAAAAACATGATAAAATAATAATAAACGAAGACTGTATATTGCATGCAATATTGACCAATGCTAATAGAACAAATGAGACAACATATGAGGGTCAAAAAAAGTCAGTAAAACAGCAACAACAAAGGTTCTTGAATAAAATGATAATCCAGAATCATCACAATGCTTGGAATTGCAGGGGGATAGGAGGTGAATTGTCACATGCTGGGTATTTTAGGTGGTTGCTTTAATAGGCTGTGTACAACACATCTACTTTAAGGTACTAAATACTGCAGGAAAGAGATAATTAAGTGTCCATATGGATAATATTTAAAAGATAAAAATGGGAAAAAACAAGTTCACATTTTCTTAAAATGAGTCCTTAGTTATGGAAGACAAAGCAGTAAAACATTATAGGTGAATAGGTTTTTGCATTATTACCCCAGAACACCTATGATGAGATGATTCATATCAAAAGTTTCTCAAGGTGTTACATTTAATAAAAAATGTAAGGTTATGGTATTCCATGCAACTGGGTGTACGTGGACCCTCCTAGACAAAAAGGCCAGTCCTGGAATGTACTGTATGCCATGAGGCACACCCTGGCACCGCAGACGGTAATAACAGTGGCTGTCTATGGCCAGAGAAGAAATCGGACAAATCCAATAGAAACCGCACAATTTCGTCCGCTTATGCAGGACCGGACAGGCACAATTCCTAACAGCCGATTAGTCATTTTTGAATTAACAAAACTCATTTTTTGACTTGAAAACACTCAACAATTATTTCTAATAACAGGCCTATCAATTAAACCTTAATCCTACTCTAATCTTGCCTCCAACAAGTATGCATGCATGTACATGGAAGCCCTGTTTTAAGTCCACTTCTGGGTGAAGGCCTCCCTACACTATCCAGGTCGTGTGGGTTATTTGACCATAATTTACCATGCTGGAGCAATACGTATTGGTGACGGAAGGGAGTGTAGTATAGTACAATAATCGGTTTACCTGCACTGCTCTCTGCTGACAACATCGCCCCACAGCACCACGTGTAATACCTGTTTTACCCAACCTTAACCTTGCTTAGCTTCCAAGCTCTATTGAGATCGGGCTCATGCCATGCAATTTGGTGATAGAACAAGCCTGCAATGCTGTAAAATTACATTGATGTGGCACCGATATACACACCGCGTAGCTCAGAGAAGTCGGTGAGAGAGCTAATGGTGGGCGGCGTGGACTTGGAGTTTACTCGTAGCGGCACCAGGTCGCAGTCGAACAGAAGATTACAGCTGTAGTCCGAACACTTGAGGTTATTCAGGAGGAGGCCCATCGTTCCACACTCGTCGTACGAGGTACCAGTCTTCAACAACGGCTCACACTGAAAAGTGGGGGTGGGCAGGAGGGCTACATGAGTTGAGCACGGAGGAACGGGAGCAATAATTCACGAAACATGGTGTTTGCAGCTGTAAAATACATTAGAGGGTGTAGGGCAAAGAAGACCTCGGTCAGTACTTGTCGTTTGAAATCGAATCATTAAAATTTTACACAAAGTTGTGCACTCATAACTCCTGGGGTTTTCCATTACCCAAATGTCTAAAACAGAGAATATACTTTTAGAATTTTAAGCAATTGCCACTTAAACAGAATTAGCGATGCATTTGTGTTATCATTAAAGATGCCATTGAAAATATATTTAAGTTTAAAATGTATTATCAGTATGCACCATCAACACGTTGGTCCAATAACCCAGCACTCACTGGTCAATAGTTCATTGTAGTAGAAAACTTGTTGGCTCAATTCCATGGTCCAAACAGTGCTCAAATGCTCAATATATGTGCATCTATGTGAACTTGTATGTGTGCAAATGCAATCCCACCTTTTCCTCCACATCAAATTTGCTGTTTGTGATTTTGTCCAAATTCGTTTCGATATTCTTCACCGAATTCTTCTTCCTCTGCTTCTGCTTGCCCTTTTGTACGCCGTTTTCTGGGTTTTCTTCTCCATCACCTATACAGAGGATACAGTTTATGAACTCAAGATGGTCTTATTTGTAATCATATACAAACAGTACAAGATTAATAAACACTCTCTAAGCAAAACTACAATTAATCAAATCAGACAACGGATATCCTTTGCAATGTACTGTAGCAAAATTCCCTTTTTTCTGCCTGTTGCTGAATGAGGGCCTCCCTAGGCATGGGGTTGTGTGGGAGTTATTTGAGCATAATTTTCCCACTGGTCAGTGTGAGTTGTGGAAGAAAGCATAAAATTATAGTATCAAAATGAGATGCTGCTGCATTGCCCTCTGCAGCCCATAATGCCAAAAAACATATGTGGTTTGGCAAGGTGATCAACCATCAAAAACCCTACCCCGATTCAACCCTGCGTAACGTCACATTCGTTTGTTCAGAGGCAAATATACAGTACACATTGACTAGTAAAGCATTTCACTTTACGCAAGCTTAGAAATGATTTTATCTAAAGTGACACACATTTCCCTATGTACATCCAACACCTTAACAATGGGGATTATGACATGGGAGTTCACCTGTTTGCTGCTCATTTGAGGTTTGAGAATTTCCAGCTATGTCTCCCAGCATCTTGTAAGCATCGGCGTGCACGGAATCTACTCGCACTGCGTAAATTTTGGTGCTGGCATCCAGTGTCCCTGCTGCCATCTGCAATGGCACATACGGAAGTTTTTGGTGTCAATTGAAATATGTAACATGCAGAGCTTCCAGAAAACTTTCAAACAAAAAACAATGTCTGTGAACAAGTCAATACCAAAATCATCACCGACAACAAAAACATATGGCTGGAATATAGTTGACCGTAAAATGCCATCGTATACCTGAAAGTTGGTCATTTCAGTTCCTTTTTGTTTACACAAGTCGGCCATGTAATCGATCAAATGCAGGCCAAAAGCATTCTTGGTTGTGATTTTCTGAAGAAAAAAATACAAAGCACAGTCAATCATTAATTGTGAAATATTGCAACATAATGCAGTCAACGACTATGATGATTGAATTTGCGCATGATGATCGGGAACTTAGTTACCATCATATATATTTTTACAAAACTATATAAAATTTCACGCGGATAATTATCACGATATCAGCTTCTCTTAAGTTTGTAATTGAATTTCACATTTTTATCAACTTGTTTTTTGTGTATTTTTAGTATGAATTGGCAAACTAAAAGTTATTCATATGAAATTCACTCAAAGCAAGCCTACCATAAGTCTTCTCATCATTTTAACTTTATAATATATAATGCTTATAATGCATGTGGGATGTCAGTTACACAAGATTTTATTAATCGATGAAATTACGTTCGAGAATGAGGACATCATATAACCATCATGCATTCAATTACTCCGGAAAACATTTAACAAAACACTACTTTTTTTATTTTAACTATTGTGGACTTTAATTATTGGAAAAGTAAACAAATGGAAGGCATATTTATCGTGGATCATGTATCATAGTACCGCCATCTCATGGCAATCCTTGGTATCATACAGCACTAACTCGCACAAACATGTTCCTCTACAGCAGTGGTTCCCAAATTTTCTGGACCCGTGGACCACTGTGAACTCTCAAAATGTTTGTGTACAAGTAAAAATTACAACGTTTTGTGGATAAAAATCATATCTTAAAACATTTTTGCGGACCACTTATTATGGCCTGGTGGAGCAAGACCAGTTGCGTATCTCATCACATTCACTTGGATATTTTCTAACTTTGTAAGCTCACACTTTCATGTCATATAGGACATATGCAAGTGTCCACAGATCAAGTAAATATATCAAGATGAAACAAAAATTAAGTCTAGAATTGAATGGTCAAGGGAAAGTACAATTATAGGGTGCATTAAATTGTTACGTACATAGTCCTTTTATAAATCCACTGCTAGATGAGGGCCTCCCCATGCCGTGTGGGTCGTGGGGGTTATTTGATTTAATTTCACCATGCTGGTTAATGCAGATTGACAATGTAGCCTACATCACCTGTTTTACGCAAGATGGTGACCCATCTAAGCACGAGTGAAGCACAGCCCTGCTTAGCTTCTGAGATATGAGATCATGCACATTCCTGACAATTTGATCATCAGCTAAAGGATATATACTTGAATATGTCAGAGACATTCTCGACACCAGTGCATTGTACACTAACATTTTCAGTTGATAGTTTGATGCACGTGGAATAATGCTCAGATAGCTGAGCGTTGGTCATCCCACCAGGCAAGGTCAATAGAGATCTGCGCCTGCACAACAGATATAAAAATAACAGAATATTTCAATGCAACATCACATTATGAAGTTGCTTATGTTATTGCAACTGGAAAATCCAACCATAATAAAAGCCTAATGTGGTTATTATACATATCAACTAGATCAATAAAAATACAATCCTGGCTCATTTGTGAATTATAAACATTGTGAGTTAAAACTGGCTAATATTTTACGAATGAATTAGGATGCACTTAACACTGACGTTATAGTTTCCGCACTGCCATCATATGGATCCCAAGTCAGCACACAAACTTAAATTTGACAAATTAACAGCACACTTTGTAATTTTTGATTTAAAGCTTTCGTGACTGCAGTGATTCATATTCTTGGTTCTTTCGGTAAAGTCATGTTGAAGGGAAACAATAAAATAATAAAATATATAAAACAATAAAATTCTCACAAAATATATATAAAACATTGTTTTATATACATTTTATTATTTTATTGTTTCCCTTCAACGTGACTTTACCGAAAGAACCAAGAATATGAAGCACACTTTTTGTTGACATTACAGTGCATAAAATATATAAATTAATACATGTTAAGACTCAATATATACAAATATACACAAATAGAAGCATAACCAAGCACACTTCAACACAGCAGTCATTAAAAACTTTATTATCCAATCATAGATATGTCCAAAATGGGACATCGACTAAATCATATTGGGATGTTTTAATTGGCTGATTTTATTTAAGTGTGTAAGAAATATTCTGTCTCAAGATGATTTCGAAGAATGACCCGTGGAGGGCCTTTTCTTTCAAGCAGCTTAGGGCTGAATGTTAAAAAATTAAATAGACAACAAGTTTAAAAACAATGGCTCAGTGACTTGATGGCTAAATGTATGTCAGTCCTGAACCAGCAGTACTGAAATCCTGGGTTCCAAAACTGTTAGCTGCCAGTGATGACATCATACTCTCAAGTACAAGAAACTTTTGATCTCAAACCAGGCACCAATGACAGCACAAACATTTGTTTGTCATTTAAGTTTAAATATTCTGCTATAAAGATTAAATATTCCAGTTTCATTGTCCTGCGATGGACACTTTTGGCAGGGTAAATAACAAGGTGCACCAGGACAAGTACCTTGTCCTTGTAAAATTACTTAACAAGTCGTGCTACAAATTCTGAGGGCCATTCTTTGTCACTCCAGACATACAAAACGGAATATACCTGGGTAAAATCGATATATTATTTATATGGAACCATGTGGCATGGTAACAACTTCACCTCCACAATGGTCATCCTCTCAGGCATGTTTCCTTCTTTGGCTGCCACGAACCAGGGTAGACCTTCAGCTTTAATTCCTTTTTAAGATATCCTGCCCAAGCCCACTTTCTGGTCCTAAAAGTCAATAATATTCTGTAATCTGCATATTCACTTATGCACGCACTTCACTTTGTCCCAATTTAATTAACAGCATACATTGGTTCATATTTCTTTAGGGCTTTTCAGATTTTGTTCGAAGTTCTTGGTCAGAGTCCAAGTTCCGATGCATACATGATCATGGCTGTTCAGATGTCTGATGAAAACGTACTTCTTCAGAAACATGTTCCTTTTTATAATTTGATAAAAAAATGCACTCCAACCTGCATTTGCTTGCCTCTTTCGTTCATTTATCCGCCTTAATAATGCAGATTTCTAGCTGGTATATCCGAAAGCTACAGATTTTTTTAAAATTCACGTCTACTCCAGTATTTACCGGTCTATGGTAGGCGAGATGGGGCTCACCCCTCCCTTCTGTTGCAGCTCTATCACCCGGGACTTGCGCCTCTCCTTGCGGTCGTCGGCATCACTCTTCTTGCTGCCGAGGAACAGGGGCGAGTTGGCCACCGATCCATCGTCGCAGCCGGGGACATTCTGCTGCCGGTGCGTGGCTGGCGAGAGGAAGACCCCTCCGCCGGATGTCGTTGCTCCATGGATGCCAGAGCCCGTGGAGCGCCGGGGAGTGGCGAACATGTCACCGCTGCCCGGTGTCAAGAGCAGGTTGCGGTAGCGCACCTGCGGAGAGCTCATGGCTGCAAAAGCCTGAAAGGTTCAGAAATACCAGTGTGAGTTCATGAGACACACTGCATATTACAAATGAATGTGTCTTATACACAAACATTTAACGAAAATCAGGTTACTGTGTGCAACAATCACGTTGTGTGTCAATGGACACAGCTAGTGGGAAAGCAATGAGGCTCTCTCACCTGTATAAATACTATATAGGAGTGTAATTATTGCCAGATGATATTACGATGTATAAAAACTAACTTCGCACCGATGTGGAGGATTTTAATAAACAGTAAAGAGTAGGTATAAAGTATCTTCACATAACGGTAAAATTAAATTATATTGTCGTGTATATAACAGGCCTGACTGTTGATTAACCTAATTCGGAACTTATCTGTGATATTATTACAAAACACAGCTCGGTAATATTACAGAAATCAATGACAGCACAAATATTAAATGTACACAAAATTGGACATTCCACAATCCCATGTCGATCCATAATGTATCTATCCTTTAACTAGTTATTTTATAAACAAAGCGTAGCCTAGTAATACAATCTAATTTAAAACAAAAACATGGATAGAGCATTTAGGTGGTATTAAAACGACAGCACACGTTAATTATAATGCGACGCAATGAGTGGGTTTTCCACATTGTTATTCCAGGGAAATTTAATTCATAGAATATCTAATAAACTGGATATACAGCCCTTTTGTTAATATACTGCTGGATGAGGGCCTCCCTATACCGTTTAGGTCATGGGGGCTATTAGACCAAATTTCACCACGCTAATCGGTGCGGGTAAGTGAGAGGCAAGGAGCGCAGACGTACGAGCATAGCACAATGCAAATTATATTCCAGCACTGTCCCTATACTCTCCACAATGTAGCCACACAGCAGCTGATAGCAACGTATTGTGCATGGTGGTTGCCCATCCAAGAACTAGACAGGCTCGAATTTGCTTAGCTTTCGTGATCTGGCGCATTGGGTCATGGGAAACTACCGTTGTAAAACAAAGCACAGGCTTAGTGTGATCATTACCTGAAACAAAAACGATATTAAATGAGATGTCGGGTGTGACCAAAACTAATAGCACTAATGTGAATTAAGAGACAAAATGAGTAGGAATTTAACTTTTCCATTGCAAGGCCGTATTACCCAGAGTAGTTCAGTTCAGTTTATTTTGGTATAGCCCTGTGAGCCATCCGGGCTCTTGAATCGGGTGCAACCACAACAAACAAAAAAACACGAACAAGAAAAACATCTTAAAGTGACTATGTGACTGTGCAAACAGAAAATCCATGGAAAAAAACAGCAAAATATTCCTGAAAAAAAAGCACCGTCCACCAACGCTGTGTGCAAAAACTCCCAGTGGGATGCAAGTCAAACAACAATAACCACAAAAACTTAGATTAAGGCCATCAGTCTAACTCCGTACTACAACAAAACAAACATGTCCAAACCAAAAAACGTTTTCCAAATCACCAAAAAATAAAGCCATAATTGCAACGTAACAGTGATCACAAGGACTGTGACCGAATTTTTACAATAAACTACATAAATACGTATATGACACAATTAATGTGATAAATAACAAAGCAGAGACTAGCGATATCCAATTTAAATAAAACACGCTAGTAAGATATGTATTTTGCGTATTTAAAATTCCGAGTACAAATGTCAAAAAAATAATTATAAGAGACGCTCATACAGCACAATGTTAGGCCTCGTCTAGGCTGGCGGCCGAGCCGCACTTCGACAGTTAACGAAGCAAACATCGCGAGGCTTATCCCCGTCACGGACGACGCGATTACTTGTAACGTGTCACGCCACTAAGGAGCGATCGTAAAGTCTTATTTGTGATACAGTTTAATCCGTGTGAATATAAATGCGTTAAAAGTCTTTTACCAGACGGAACGGATCCGAGTTTGAAAATCGCGCACGGCAGCAATGCGCATGCGCGGCTACCGGGTTTAGATTTCCCAGCGCCGACAGTCCGTGTCGGGGCCGGTCACGTGGGTGAAACCGTCCAACGGGGACGCGGCGGCGCCGCCAATGCGGTGTATGAAATTTGAAAGTGTATGCGTGAAAAGCGCGGGAAAAATGTTTTTGTTATAAGGCGGTGGTCCTGTAATTGTCGCGTTACCAACGTTGGACATCGCTGTCCCTTTGTGTTGTTATTGCTTGCGGGTTTGGTTTGTTTTGTTTGGTATGCTTCATGTCATCTTCCGTTTGCAACGATGAACACAGGCGGTGGAGACGAACGTTCGGTCGCGGAGCGCAACGTTGAGGCATCTTCGCCAGCCGACGTAACGTCAATCTTAACAATTATTCACCGCATCGCGTTTTAAAATAAATTACATTTCCAGTTGCGGTAGCAACAACAGTGCAGGAACGTAATCGAAATGAACCCCCCAGTCGTCGGTTCTCATTCCACTCGGGGATGAAGGCTTCCCTCGCGCCGTGTCGGTTAATGTGTTGTTTGACCATACTTCACCACACCCGGTCAATGCGAGTTGGTGAAGAATGGAGGCGCAGAGGCGATATCTGAGGATCGGTTCCCGATTTCACTCGCCACTGATGTGAGCCGTGTCCTGGTAGAGTGCAGTGTGATAACCAGGCACTCCTTTAACCAATAATTCGACTGTAAAGCAGGGTTAATGCCAAATGCATTTGGGCGTTTCTAGTCATGCGAAGTAGATTACGTTTGGCTTCTGTCCATATAAAAAAATATATCACATTAATCACTGTTTATACTGGAGGAATACGATGAGCTAAAAAGCTATTTTTCACATCCAGTACTTCGTGTTGGGATCACGTGAAGTAATCCCAACTTCATATCTCCCCCCCTCACGTCTCGCTGTAAATTCTAAATAACAACTTACAAAGGGCTGTTTATTATTATTGTTATCACACTTTGAACCACCCAAGTATCAAAATTCACAAAAGATACTTGCAGTTATTGAATTAAAACACGAATCCTTAAGGTGGCAGAACTTGACTTATCCTGTGGGTGGTAAGGTTAGTTCTTGACTTAAAGCTTTCGTGACTGCAGGAATTCATATTCTTTGGGTCTTTCGCTAAAGTCACGTAGACAGGTTATTTTTTGTTATTTTCTTTGAAACAATAAAACAAAATAAGACAATACAATTCTCACGACGTTTATTGTCTTATTTTGTTTTATTGTTTTATTCTCATTCGACGTGACTTTACCGAAACAACCAAGAAGATGAATCCTTGCAGTCACGAAAGCTTTAAATCTAAATTCTTTGAACCTATCTACGTGACTTTACCAAAGACCCAAAGAATATGTAAGGTTAATTATCTACCGTTGCATTAATCAACTTTGTTTAGCCCGTGATATTCCGTGCTATATTTTATGTGACCAATATTCATCTTAAGATTCTAAGGGAATCAAAAGCGCGTTGCTTCCGGCTATTTTATTATTAACAGAAGTCTTATACAATTTATAGTTGGAGATCACATTGTAACTCAGTTGATACTTTATTTGATATAGTTTGTTGTACCCAGAATTATAATATCACGACGAAGTTAAAGTACATTATTTTACTTAAATTACTCGTGAAGACCATCGGACCTTATTCTTTTTAGCTTAAAAGGTAACGCAATTGAAGTATAATAGCTAGACATGATTTCTTAACGCACTTTTTACTTAATTGCAATGAAGAAGTAAGAACCTTGACTTAAGGCTTTCGTGACTGCAGGAATTCATATTCTTTGGGTCTTTTGGTACAGTCGCGTAGATAGGTTCAAAGAAAATAACAAAAAACTACGACGTTTCGATCGCAACACAAGTGGTCGTCATCAGGGAAAGGGGGTTAGCTTCTAAAGACAAACTGCTTATAAAGGTTTTAAATGTTAATGTAAGTGGTGGGCTGCCCACCACTTACATTAATATTGGCTGCTGACATTTGGCCTATGCCCATTTCAAACCTTTATAAACAGTTTGCCTTTAGAAGCTAACCCCCTTTTCCTGATGACGACCGCTTGTGTTGCGATCTAAACGTCGTAGTTTTTTGTTATTTTCTTTGAACTTATCTACGTGACTTTACCGAAAGACCAAAAGCATAAGCAGAACATTTCTACTCATTTTGTTCCAAATTTGTACACGTATTCGTGTAAGTGGAATACTTCCCATTTTTCAAATTAATTGCAGAACTGAGCAAAGTGTTGTTCCCCAACCGTCTACTTCATTGTGTTCAGCAGGGAGCAGCTAGACCAGTAAACTTAATTTGTTGGACCAAATGTGTTCTTCTCTCAGATCTTTGGTCTGATCTTTCGCAACCCAAACGACCCAGCCTGATGAAGTGTGATCATATAACCGCCACGGCTGTCACGGAGTGGGGGAGGCCCCCATCTCGCAGTGAATTGTACACAAACCCATTGGCGTTGGTATTATATGGCGTACGCATTGTTTACAGCGTAGAAGAGTATAGTAATTAACACTGACTCTATGGAATTAGTCTTGTGTACCTTATACCTTTCTCTTTCACTTAGTCCTTGGGCCAGAACATAGATTGGTATCACCTAAGGTATAAAAACTCTAATAATACAAATGTATTCACTGTATATGCCAAAAAATGAAAGATTGCATCATTTGATATCCCACTAATTTCAAGTGTTTATTACATAATTTACTGTCATTGGTCACTTAAAAAATTGGAACCACTTTAAGTTATGCTACCTCAGGTGCAGCATGGAACTCCTGCCCTGTTGCAAATAAATCACAAATTAAATATCTGGTCTGAGCTCAGACTAACTGGCCAAAATGTATTCATTTGAAATGCTGTATATAGAGTACACGTACATTTTCTTCCTGATAATAATCATGGCGTATATTTTTTATCTGGCCTATCCATTTGTTTCTTCCAAACAATGTTTAATTTAATAAACATCACTTATTCAAACAGATAACTAAACGTGGAAACCCTGTGATTGTTTTGCAACAGCGCATGAGTTCCATGCTGCGACAGAGACTCATAAAGTCGCGGCGGTCCTTCGAACTGACCCACCCCAAGAGACGGTGCTTTGCGAGCAGCACCGAGGAGCCGGCGTCTGAAACAGTCCTATCGCTTGAGCAACCCAGCCAGGGCCTGGAGGAGGATGTCCGCGTGCTGTCGCCCGATCGTGGTGCCACTGAACGCAACACCGAATTGGGGTTAAGCACACCGGAGGGATGTGCTCCAACCACATCACCGGGAGAGTCGGACTTGAAGCGTACGCCTGCGTCCAGCTTGAATATTAGTACAGGTAAAACTAATCGAGTCATTTTCAGCTATAGTACATCATTGTTGATCGTATGAATGTTAATAATTTTGAGCATTTTAGAACAATACCTTTGTACGAAGTGCAGCCGTTTGTCAATCTTCTGCTGAATGAGGGTCTCCCCATGCCATGTGGGTTGTCGGGAGCATTTTACTACATTTACCAGACTGGTCAATGCGGATTAGTAAAGGTGAGACGTATCGATGTAGGAACTGCATGTGTTGAAAATTACAGTTTGCTATTTTTTCGTAATATTTATTAGTAGCAATAATAAGCTTACGTAGCACCTTTGACAAAGCTTAATCGACGGCACTTTGGAATATACAAAAGAGGTACAATCGTCAAGAAATGTGATTAAAACAATGAAAAGCATTTTTTCTTAAACTGTACAATATATTTTAATACAATTGACCTCTGCAGGCAGCAGCACTGGTGTGATGTGGACTCCTGGATCAGGAAAAGCCCTATCGGAGAGCCAGGCCACTACTATCCAACAGATGGCGAAGGAGCTTGAGGATATGAAAAGAGCGCTTGGAACAAAAGAGGAATTGTTGCGCAGACTCCGATTGGTCTCGAGCTACAGGAGTAAGGTAACTGCATGGAGCTGTGCCATCTACATTTCCCCATTTGTGAAGCTGAGCAGTATTGTTTTTTCTTAGGTGTGGTCCAGAAAATTAAAATCAATGTATTCGAGTATATTGCAATTTGTTCGTGAGGCTAAATGGTAGAAACTAAAGTGCATATTATGTGATTGTACATGGACATGAACCTACTGACCAATTATTGCATAATAAAAACATTATTTTTGGTTTGCCACTTAAACCCGCATATTCCCGCTGTGAGGACGAAAGCAAGTTGGTTTGTCATGTATCAAACCACTATAGTATGGCATATGAGAAGGTGCACCATGAGTTTCCCCTTGAGGATTAAATGAAGGGACATCCCAAGTAGTTATGTGATGTTATCTTCTAGAGGCTATTGTTTGGGATGTAGTGCTGTTACACAAAGCAATGTAATATCACCGAGAAAAGATAAAGATTTGAAATAAAATTATGGTATCCCAATTGATCACTGCAAAGCTCATCCAAGCCTCTCATTGTGTTCAGAATAACCTGGAGGAGTTGCAAAGGCTGATTTTAAAGTGGAGGAGCGCCTGCCAGAGCCTTCTGTGTGACCTGCAGCAGGAAGCCACGTCCGACAAAGTTTACAGCCTGGGTCAGATAATTGCTGGAATGGGCCTGGACCCTGATCTTCTGCAATACAACTCCACCGAGGACTGCTTCACCTAAAAAGTGAAGCACAGAGCAAGCTGAGAGTCCTGAACCCAGAGTATGCCTTGTTTGCAAGTCCATTTGCTGTAGCGTATGTTTTTGACATTTAAACTTGCACTATGATTTTTTTAAAGTGGAAAATATGTACGGCTTACCTTTCAGGTGACGGAGCATGTAAAAAAATTTAAACAGTGTTTCAAGGGTGAAAATATTCCCCTCTAGTAACTGATTATTGCAGCTAAGATGCTTGCATTTATAGAAAATCATCATTTACAGCCTGTTATTAATTTGTCAGTTTCATGAAATGCAGTCGCAAATCAATATATTCCTCTCCCTGTTTCAGGCTGAACTTAAACGGTTCAGTATTCCTACATTATTAATGTTATATAAATCAATGTTTGTGTTGCTCCATTTAATATGAGACAGAACTCTAGGGAAATGAAGTTGCACAAAATCTGCAACTTCCAATTATTGTTGCACTCAGAAAATTATTCGATTGGTTGGACAGGTTCATGCGGTTGTCATGGGTTACAAATGGCTGTGTCCAACATGGCTACATTTATTATGCTTATGGTGGCATAGTTATAGTATTAGAAATGTGGATGAAGCTGGCTTTATTTGGGTTATGGGGATTTGCATTAATTGGGTACTTAAATGCCCCAGCATCTCAAAGCACCTCATATTTCACCCAATTTCAATGATTCCATAGGCCAGCTATAGATTTCTTTTTTACTGATGGCACAAGGTGACGCAGCACTGGCTGGCAAGTGGGCATTAGTCTGTCAGTAGAGAGCGATGATGCTATTGGCTATGACAAAAAAAGTAATACTGTACAGGTAAACCTCGATTTGAGAAAGGGACGCATTCTTTAACAAACATGTGCAAAACAAAATTCGTAAATTGGAATTGCTTTTCCCCCCCCCCATTTATATCGTGCAAAAACTTAAGAGATGTATTTCAGACAGTCATTCTAACTCTACTCCTAACCTAAAAATATACACCTATACCACTTTTCACGAGCATAATAAAGAACAAAAAATTTTAACTGATGAATTGCACTAGGGTAGGGGTCGGCAACCAAAACAACGAGCCTTGTTTTTCGAATTCGGTAAAAATAATATTTCAAGAGCCGCAATTTTGCGCATGTGGTGAATACGAGACAGCGGTCCTTAATAAATAATGTCACGAAGCACTCTTTAATGAGCCGCATGCGGCTCCGGAGCCGCCGGTTGGCGTTCCCCTGGCTTAGGTTGTTCTATCCAAAGATGGTCTTGTGTTTGTGAGTGACATTGTGAATGTATAGGTTTTCATTTATTGCTGATCTCATTGGACTTGAGTCCTGCAACTATTGTGTAAAATGAGGTGTATTGTGGTATTCCAACATTAATTGAATTGAGATAATGCTCTCTTGATGAAAACAAATTTTGTTTGCACTTTTAGAAGTCTAATTCACATTTGTATATTATTGCTGTGTTCGAGGCGATATGCGAGTTAAGAGAGCATTGCATGTATTATTTGTAAAGACTTTGGAAGTTAATCTGATGCTTGTCGTTGTAATTTAATTGCTGAAAAGAACAATAAAGAAACAATGAGAATGCCCATTCCAAGATTGGTTGAACCAAGGTATGTTAACGCTGAGTCACCGTTTTCATAAGGTGTTTTGAGAAGCAAATGTATATTCCAAAATGTGTGTCTCTGTGGAGCACATTTCAATTCAGTTTATATTGCAGGGACTCTTAGAATTCCTATTTTAAAATCTACTTGTAAGGTTTTAGTCATAGGCGGCACACATTCACTTTGTTTTGGGTCATCTGGCTCTGGGTGATATCTATTGCTATACTCTCTGGTTCTAGGAGTTTCCCCTTTTGCATACTCAAGGGCAGAGTTTACTTCTATCAGTGTGGTCAGAATCTCCAAAACTTAATGTCTACTAATAATATCACTCCCTCATGAACATAATCTCTCCCTAAATTATAAAACAGGTTGCCGCTCTTCATAAATGGAATTCTATTTCCTTATTGCTAAGACCAACTATGTCCCATTACTTATTTTAATGTCCACAATTCAACAAGGTTTCATTATTAAGATAAAAGTCTGCACAATGTATCAATGGTCAAATCAAAAAAGGTCTGTTATTTAGTGATGCCCAACACTGCTGACACCTACTCTGCTGTCATCAAGAATGATGAAATTAGATTTGAAAGTGATTGAGGACCAGGCTTCAGGCTGCATTATCATTGGGGGACGATATACAGTTATTCACCACATTGGTGAGTACGAGTTGGTGAAGATACCCATAAAGGGTAATGCACCGCTCACATTTAGGTGATCCAGCCAATTGAGGCATACAGCGTAGGTTTTTACAATTGTGCTGTATTGTCCTCCGATGTTTTTTCAGCTTGTACCGTGTGTTGTTTGGCATGATGGCTGACATTTCACTCCACATGCTGAAAGTTTTTTCAGGAACTGAATTGAGCAGCTCACTTCTCCCTCGATCATATAGCATTGCCTGCTGCTGCTCATGGTGTTGCCGGTTCTTGATGCCGACTGGCTCGACTCTGACGTAGGCCGGCTAATGAATGCTATGCTTAATTTGGAAGGAAACCGAAATCTCAACATTCGTTCGCTAAACAGATGGATTCACAAACTTATTATCCTGCCATATCCTGGCCAAGACTTTACAGCGCTGCGGGTTTAGGAGGTTACGTTATTCATAAACCCTTCAGCACAGCTTTCCAGATATTGCTTAACTCTCTTGAAATTGCGAGAAGTCTTTTTTTTATTACTTCCTGGATGACACACTGATAAAATGTTGCTGGTCTTACCAGAACCATGTCTTTGTTGAAGTTGACCCACAGCCGGTGCCCTGGTGTGTGTGCTCAGCCACAGCCTATTTGTCAGGTATTGGCAAGCCAAATCCAGTGTTGATACTTTGACACAACACAACCTAGATGTGGCTACACGTGCAGTCCAGGCAGTAGACTCATTCCTTCACAGCTTGTCCTTGCTTGATGGATTCCCTGATTGGATCTTCTTCAGTGCTGGAGTGGGCTTGGTACGTTTCTCCTATGTAATGTCTTGCATATCCAAGACATGACGAGGAAGAAACGTCCATGTTTTGAAATGGTCACACATGAGAAAACAAGATCCCTTGGCCTGAAGTTGATGATGAGCCATGATGTTATGGAGTTTTAGTATCTAGCAGCAAATCAGCTTTCACTTTGCCTCATCTGGGTTCATTATGTGGTGCTGTTTTATGGCATCCAAAAGCATTCTATAACATACTGTTCTTTTTGTCGAATGGTAAAAGTAGATTATGAAAGTTGTCACAAAATTCACTCATAATTATACACATCCCAAGGGCTCTGTTTATTTGTGTTTTATTTTTGAAATAAAAATGTACATAGAACTTCAAACTACAGACTGAAGATGAACATACAGTCATGGACAATCAGGTAACATTCTTTAATCATGTAAAGTAATTTAAAGTATTCAAGAAATTAAAATAATTAAAATACGAACACGAAGCAGTTTCTTTATATTAAGATCCATTCTCAACAATATGCTAATGCACCCAAAAAAATACACCTGCATTTCGCTGCGTGTGCTGTTACAAGAGCAGCTGGTGAGGTTCGCTATGATTGAAAAAATACTTCTGCGAGAAGGTGGATATGTTCCCTGTGTAGACAGCATTATAGTTGTAGATGAGAGCCTTTGATTCCATCGCCTCAGTTGGGAATTTGTGGAAGTTCTTGCGAGCTGCAGATTTCAAAACCAAAACACGCGATGAGCCTAAACCAATACTGCCGCGTCAACCCGAGAAAAACGATGCTGAAGAGGCAAAAAAGAAAGATCATCAACGATTGAAGAAAGGTAATCACATTGTGACTGCTATATTACCATCATGGGTTGCGTGTACAACTAATATTTTAAACTACCCATTCTATGGTGAAAAGAGGTTGCCTTTATCAACTCGAATACAGCCGGGGTGTGGAAAATGTTCAACTCATCGCTAAGCAAGTTTGCACTGCAGGCGCATGTTGACATTTATACTGGGCTGCAACTCATGTGTGAGTTGTACGATAAATTGTCGAAAACACAAAAAACCCAAGCAATGTGCCTTGAGTGTTATCACACTCGGCTGGCATTTCAGCCCAAGGGAAAATGTCGTTTAAACTGTAACAAGCATCTAGTTGCGTGCAGCTCATCTTTGTTGCAGTTTTAAATAACTCAAGGTATCTCCCTTATCTAAAACAGGTTGTTCAAAGTAGAGGGTAAGTCAAATGTCTTTCATATTGATCCAAGAGCTTTCAAACGCTAATTTGTCCAGCTCAAACAATTCTTAGCATTTAACGATCACGATTCATTGTGAACTCGACTCAAGTATATATTTTTTACTGGCGAACGTAGCACCTCTAATGGCTGCACGTGTCATACGAACCAACTAAAATATGCAGAAACTGTAAATGATAAATTCTGACACGCACAATCTTATTCTCTCACCAATTATCTCCGTTAAACAATGTATTTACATGGGATAAGAGGATAATGGATCTGTAATTCTCACCGTTGTTTGGTACAACCTATAAGTGCCGTATATAATTTAGCGACGCGGAGGAAAAAGGCAGGCAGACGCACCTTCATTCACAAAGAAGTCCCCCATGTAGAAGGCAGCGCGAATAGCGTCTATCGAGTGGGGGTTCTGCACCTTGATGCTCCACTCAAAGGGGTTTTTCTCTGGGTGCCACTGCACTCCATACACCGGATACTTGAAGGCTGTACACAACGTAACAGGGGTCAGCGCAACACAGTGGGTGCAGCATTGCTGTCACGTCGCAGCCCAAGCCTGGAATTCAGATGCAAGTCTTCCCATCCAATTCAAGAACTCATCACTACCCTCCTTCTCAACCGGTACAGCTAAACTCCGGATCTCATCACCCTCCTCATTCACAACCTATGCTGCTAAAACTCTGGCACTCATTAGCTTCCTAGCATGTGATGAACGGATGAGTGGTTAATGGAGAAGCCTTTGGTTGTATTAATGATTCACTCTGGGGCTTGTAAAGGCATAGGGATATGCGGTGGTGCTGTGATGACGTGATGAACTCACTGCGCTATGAGCCCAGTGACCTGAGTTTGATTCCCAGCCACGGTTAACATCAGCGACGAGTGATATCTGAACCGGTCCTGCTCCCACCCCCAATTCACCAACCTATAATGACCAGCGTGGTGAAATATGGTCAAACAATCCCCCATGATTGTTCATCGTGGCCAAAACCGTTGATGCCACCATACCTCGCCAAGCAACGCACATCTGATTAGCACGGTTGGCTACTTACGGTGCGGAAGAAGTCCAACATACATACACACATACAAACAACACTTCCTGCCATCTGCCAGGTCCTGCGGTTGCTGCACGCGGAGATGCACGTTTACCTTCCATTGTGGAGATAAATTCGACACCGGTGGAATCGGTGTTCACCGAGATCACACGGTAAAACGACTTGAGCTTCTCATTGGCTGTGAAGTTCTGCATGAGAGTAAATGCCACAATGGTTAGCTGCCTATACACATATTGAACAACATAGTTATTTGCTGTACCGATATATTTTTTTGTCAAAACTTCTGTTTAATAATGGTAGGAACCTCCTGGTTACATCAGCCCACAGGGGATTATTGTGTCCGTCCGTCGTGCATACAAAAATGGGTGGGGCGGGGTGGGGCTGGGTGGAGAGGGGAGAGTGGGGAGGGGCTGGGTGGGGAGGGTGGGGAGGGGCTGGGTGGGGGGGAGGGGCTGGGTGGGGATGGTGGGGCTGGGTGGGGAGGGGCTGGTCACCCTGTGGTGCCCTTATAAAACTCAACATTTAACCTACTAACGCCGGCTTGTGCCCGCCCTCACAGTCGGGCATATTTGCGGAATACACCACGTGGTGCCGCCGTTGACCCTGGCCAGTGACCGAGCAACCCAACGTTCCTACCAGCTCGCTCCGCAGGAATGTGTTTTAACATGTAGGATTTGGCGACAAATATTATTCATAATAAAGATTTTTGAGTTAGACAGGATAATAATACATGTTCAGCGTGACTAGCACTGCCTGTGCATTTGCCGGGATGCAGGCGAAAGGTCATCACCCAGATGTGTGTGATGACGTCACTACCACGCACTTGCCTGCCTGCTCGCGAGCCAGCCAGCAAAACTTATTTTTTTACAATATAGTAACATGAGTAATATTCTTAGAATTAAATTGACTTGATTCATATAGCAACACATGGATTGGATAATATACATAGGTTAATGAGATAATTCAAACCGTTTAAACGAATAATATTCACTTGATTTTAACAAATGCTTGCATGATTGACATTATACCACGAGACAAAGAGAGGAATGCATGGATTTGAGATCACAAGCAGGTTAATTTCATCATTCAAACCGTGAAGAAATGTGAGTGGGCTTGGGCAGGATACATCACTAAAAGGGATTTTACAATGATTATTCTTTACCCACGAAATGGTCAAGAATAAATCATTGGTGGCCCAGGAATGGAATGTGTCTGTATGTACGTATGTTGAACTTCTTCCGCACAACACGTAGCCAACCGTGCTA